AGGATCCAAATGGTGGTAATGACTCAGTTTTATTTCTTCTAACAAGTAATATTCAGGCTTTTTCATTATACTTAGTGGACTAGACTCGGAAATGATGAGCGTTTATCACTAACTTCGAAAAGCATAAGAAAATTTTATTTAAATACCAAAATTAATTTTTTATTAAAATTTTTCTTTTCTGACAACAAAAGATAAATAAATAATTAAAGACAATTGGTTTATATTGGTTTGATATATTATAAAAATATTTATAAAAGTACCAAACCAAAAAAAGCCAATTAAACCAAAACCGATAATTCGCGTCGAAAGTCACTTTAGTACCAAAAAATTTAGCGCCGCCACTTATTGTTGGTGGTGCTCATTGTTTCTTGGCTAATCAAGTGAAAAATGGCAAAATAAAAATGAATAAAAATAAGTATTAAATATAAAGGGATAGCAAAAATGAGAATAATTTTGTCTGATGTCCAAATAAATGCATTTATAAAATACATGAATATTCTTCTGTTTACGAACACATTAGCGCTAATTAAATTATTTAAGCCATTTTGCCTTGTATTATTGCTTATCGCATCAGTCAACAAATGAAATAATTGACTAAAGAAGCATATAATATTATTGCTATTATCACATAAATACATTATTATTGGTAAATTATTCAGTCCAAAATAATATTATCTTGATTGAGCTTAAAAATCCTCTTTTTTAGATAAATAATAATCGAACTAATTGTACGGAACCATTTGTATTTATATACACAATTGGCTCTCTGATGAAGTAGCTTCATCTGTTAGAAAAAGAAGGATCAGCGACTGTACTCTGAAATAATGAAGTATCGAATAAGATGTTTTCGAATAAATCCATAATTACTTATTTCTTTTAGTTAACTTTCCATATTTTTCCATATTTTAAGTACTTACGGGATTTTCACTAAACCAGTTAGCAGGTTCACTATGGAAGCCAGGTAAAGCGCTATACCGAAGTTCCACTTGGGAATCTCAAGCAGAGATAAGGAAAAAATAGAAAAATCAATCTGGTATCAATTTGATTTTTGGTATAGTTGGACACTAGGGCATTCAAAAGAATATTGAGCCGATTCTGCTAATTAATATCGCTAATTAAAAAAAATTTCAAATCGCTAGATTTGATCATCAGCAAAATATGAAACCTGCACAAATTGTTGGACAAATTGAAACAAAACTTTACATCCTATAGTTTAAAAAATAATTATGAAGGGACCCAAGAACTGGGTTTTGCGAGTATTCATCAATTGGCACTTTTAAATCTTTAAATCTTCAAGGATCTCGCGAGTATTTTTCCTAACAGTACCATTTATTCCATTAATCAGGATGGAATCTTTCCACGAAGCGAGTCACTTCGCATCACCATCACTATCTACCCGAATATCATTTTTAGTGACAGATTTGTTAGTAGAGTCGAATCGAAGCAATAATTTCATAAAATAATTTCACAAAATTCAGTTTAATGAATATTTGAAGGAATATTTTTAAAATTGTCAATATATAACTAAATAATGTTCGAAAATCTTGAATCCATATTACGATACTTGTGGCCTTAGCCGAGGCAATAATATTTGGTTAAATGGTGCTTTAAAAATCTTAATTGTTTTTTCTTTTTTCATTTCATCATACATCACAATCAATATGATCAATATCAACATGAAATAGGATAATTAATTAGTTTGATGTAGTAGATTTTATCAAAATTAATTGAAGTATAGTAAAGCTGCATTATTGTCGAGTTCCCTTATGTTTATTTACGCTTTTTATTAAATTTTAATAAAAAAGATCCACGCGTTATAAAAACCGTGTTTCTCAGGAAGTCAATCAAGTTTCATCCATATTCCACTTTCAATAAAAGGTTCACTCTTGTTAAAGAAGAAAAATCAAAGTCATGATAGTCATGGTTTTAACCGAATCAATATATCCGGCTCAGTAGAATAGATATAGATGATAACTGCCCAGCCAACTGTTAATTGACTTTGATTAAAGCCACTTAAGCATATATCTGAATAGACAACCAAATTCAAAAACTTATCAATATATCAATGGGTCAATTTAACTTATCAATGGGTCAATTTTTTTATTTTTTCTTTTTTTATACTGGTTTTTCATTGCAACAATTTTAATATGAATTTATTTAAGTAAATTAAAGTAATTTACTTATTTTCTATTAAATTTCTATGATTTCACGTTACGTAATTTGCATTTGAAGATTAATCAAACATAAAGATCGCATAGCTAAAAAAGAATCTGTTGGCAAGTAGCTATATCTTCAAATTCACGCTATAAAATAGATAACGCGCTCGAAGGAAGGAAAGAATTTCTTAAGAATAACTGCGGGAAAAAAAGAAAAGCCATATCGTATATAGAATCTTCCAAACAACCTAGCATGAAACGTTTTATTTCAAATAAGCATTTAGTTTAAAATCGAGGTTAAATCAGTTCAGTAACATTAATTTTAATCAAAAATGGCAAGTTAAGAGAAAAATTTTATAAATTTCGCAAAATTAGAATTAAACAATTGAAGGATAAAAAGAAATTATTTGAGGACGATTTAGTTAGAAAAAGAAATAATTTTTATCAAAACTTTTTATTTCGAAATTGTTCATTTATATGGATTTAACGATGTATTTTCTTCATTAATTGTGAAGAAAATGAGCTCATAACTTTGCATTTAATTTGCTATTTCTAACGACTAAATTAGACAGGGAAGTAAGAAAATTCTTTAGTAAAGTCTGTTGAAGTTAAAAGATCGGATTATATTTGAGCATCAAGTTTCTTTCGAAGTTCACCTTACTTAAAATAAAAATTAAAATTTTTGTTAAATTTTTTTTAACCGCCATTTCTGGTTAAAGTAGTTCAACTAGACTATTAAGGTGAGGCAACCTTCGGCACACACACGGGAATGCAAGTGTATGTGAGACCACGGTACCATTCAGAATTTATTGCACCACGAAGCTGTTTCGGAGAGGATTTAGGCGTAATAATTTATAAAAAACATATCGAACATATCATATTAAACATATCAAACACATACTCATACTCATACTAGTCAAATATATTCATGTTAAATTGAAAAACTGGGCTTATTTAAAATGCAAAATGTTTCGTCATAATGAATAGACAAAAAAAAATTTGTTCTTTTCTGGATCAATTTTATTTTTGCATCTCATTCCAATTTTTTGAATGATTAAAAGCTCATCATTTTTCAGTTTATATTCAGTTTATCTAATTTATATGCCTAAAACATTTAATATTTCTGGTTGAGCGGGCTTTTAGCATGGTGAAAAGTTTTTACCAGGGGGTTATTTTGTTATTTTTTGAAGGTAGGAAATATAAATGGGGCTATCATTATCAGTATTTCTTAATATCAGTTTTAGTTCATCCGCATACTTTAAACTCGATAAACACTAGCACATATACTCTGCGTCATACTTATATTCATAATGTTTAAATTGCAGATGGATTCTTTTTGTTCAAAGAATGATATCTACCTTTGGAACTGCTTCACTATGCATCAAAATCGCAGGAAAAAAATAATTAATTTCAAATGTTTCAAGCCAAAGATTAGCGAATAAGCCAGCCAAGTATCAATGATACCACGTCAACTACTCTCTGCAATTATTTTATCAAAAATTTTTAAATTGTCAGCCAATGCAACGAGTCTAGACTAGAAGATAAACACTATGATGTAAGATACGAAATAATTTCGAAAGACCGCAGCAGAAACGGATCCCGTGATTACAAAATCTCTGCAAACCACGTCAACTACTCTTTGCAATTATTTTATCAAAAATTTTTAAATTGTCAGCCAATGTAACGAGTCTAAACTAGAAACACTAATTTTACACTAATAAACACTAATTTTCTTATTTATGTACGGTCAATGACAAACAACCTGCAAAGATGCCCATGAATGAACTGTTCTGTTTCACTAGAATAGAGTATTCTGGAGTATTTACTAAATTTAAATGAGGCTTTCTTCCAATTATCTCAAATTAAGTTCCCTTGGGCCATTATTGCCAGCTTTCGCCCACAATCCAACAATCCATTGCAATTATCAACTGAATAGCGTCAGTCGCCTACCAGTTTTCTTTTATTATATGGAACTGAGATTACTTTATTAAAGAAGTATTTTCAAATTATTCTTACTCAACATAAAATACTTTTAATAGCAGATTTCTCCTGGCAGGAATCGAACCAGTGAGACTTTAATCGATATCACATCCTTTACATTATACATTATGCAAATAATGAAATATTAATTCAGTTTCTTTTTGGTAATTTTAATGAAAAATTTTCGCTTGGAATAGAAAATAAAAAGCAATATTACAATGTTTTCTCTGAAAACGTTGCTGTTTAATTATCAATCTTAATTAAATGCGATATATTTTCGACAACTTCCTGCACTTTAAAATTGAAATAGCATTAGCAAAATTTGTTCATTTTCAATTACTCATTTTCAATTAATTCGACAGAAAATATTTGAAACGGTGACTGTGATCAAATCAAATTGATGTTCGCGAAACAAAGGTTCCCTGCACATATATGTATGTGTAAAGAAAACACCACTTTTAAAACGTAAAAGACAAAATTCCACGAGTATCTGGACATCATTCTAATGAATCAAAAAAAATCGTGAAACAAAACCAGGGTTATTCTTAATTTTGATAATTTTGATCTGTTGGAAAAGGAAGTTATTCATGGATAAGGAAGTTAAAAGGTGCAAATAAAATGGTGCAAATAAATTTTCATTAAATTAATATTTATTGTCGAAAAAAATTTGAAACAACAATGTTATAATAAAAACCGTGCCAAAGTAAAATAAATTTTAGAATAATGAAATTTTGAAACCTCTATTTAAATGCTTCCTTTTAAACAATTTCTCAGGCAGTGGAGGCAGTTGAAATAGTATAATTTGAGATTTAAATAAAATCGCTAATGAACATGTTGACTATGAATAACAATGAAGCGATAAAACTAGGGATAAATCTTAGTATATCTAATGAAAGTATGCTCTTGCATTCCATGCGTCAGCGTTTCCATATCAAATTTTGCCTGAAGGGTATTGCCATCCAATAAAATCCATTCTCGGATCGTCTGAAAATAAAATTTTGTCACATATGTGCGTTATGCATAAAAGAATTAAAAATAACAGTAGACAATGAGCACAATAAACACCATATACATCACCGAATAAAATCGATCATTTATTTGAAAAACATTCAGTTGAAATAAATGTGAACCAGTTTTGCAATGTTGCACTTCGGCAAAAATAAAATATCAAACTTTTAGTGAATATTTCAAATTAATAATAAAAGCTTCAAACATTAATCCTCACTTTGATGCAGGTTAAATCGACTATAAAATTTGTTTTCGAAGTTTTCGCATAATTAGGAAAATCCATAATTGAAATTCTGGCACGTCGACTAATTTACTAAATCATATTCGCACACAAACACACAGAGTCACCCATTTTTAATTGTTTTTTCTTATAATATTTAAATCTGTTTGAGTCTAAACTCGGCCCTATTAGGCCAATATTTTATTTTTATGCCGTCAAACTGTTTTTATTGCCCATAATAATCTGATGATATGAAGGACTAACATTGTGAACAGGAAGATCTCTACTAAAACTGATACGTCCTATATCATAAAGATGAAGTACTATACGATTAATTGTTAGCGGTCCTTGTTCTACGGTGACGAAGCCTAAAAATTAAACAAATAATGAAATTATTTTTTCGTTGTTAGGGCTTATTTAATTCGATAAGTTCGATACAAATTTCAGTGATAGTATAATTGACATATTTTTCCTCACCATTACTAGTATAACTCGCTCCGCTGGCTTGTCACATTGGACAAATATGCCAGGGAGTGCTTCGTGAGATCGTCATTTATCCACAAATAAAACGAACATATCGCTATGTATTTTCCTCAAACTAAGTATTTCTTTCATCTATGCAAAATTAAAGAAAAAAATTCTTTCCTGCGGCTGATTAATATTTTATCAAATTTGGGCCTAAACGAGAGATATTTATAAATGTAAAGCAAACATTAAATTGAAGATGCAATGATTTGCGTTAATCAATTAACTTTAGTAAATTTAACGAATTTAACATAGATAATGAACTAATCAACAAATATATATAAGAAAAGAAATATTCTTAACGAAACGGAAAAAACGCATGCTAAATGCATACAAGCATGCGAAATGAATTTTTCATGTAAAAAAATGAGAAATAAAATAGGGAAAAACAAAAAATATTTTATATTGGGAAATTTTTTAATTAAAGAAAATGTGTAGTTTAAGAACAATTGATATGGAAGAATTTTGTATCTGCCAGTAAACAACCCGCTAGAAAGTCGATGAGTTTAATTTCCAAGTAAGAATTGTCTAAACGCACTAAAAGCCATTGAAACTAGCTTAACCAGAAATGATAAATATTATCAACTTTCTGAGCAAAGTGAATAAGAATAGCGAGTGAAACTTTTTTTCCATGGTTGAACGGATCGCATAAAGAATCTTTGAATTTCTTCCAAAAAATCCAGGAAAAAAGTCTATAAAAAGCTTTTAGGCAATCATAAATTTTGTTTTAAAATAATATTTTTAATTCTAAAAAAAAAGGTTCTGTGATATTTTCTGAGGTTCTGAGAGGTTTTGTCAATGGAGTAATGCCTGGACGGCTATTTGCCTTTTAAAAAATTCCAGGTTCAAAAATTCTAACCATTGTTCATAACAGTAGTAAGAGCTACGAGATTTGTTTGTGGCTGAATCGTTATATAACCATATTCGCTATGTAATTCATCTTTATCGTTAATTCCCCATGCAAATGCTCTAAAAATAATGATAGATGATATTTTTATTACCATTTTTTCTTCGAATTATAATATATGCATATATCTATTAAAGAAATAACGGTTCTTAAAACTTAGGAACAAAGGTGAAACAGCTGGTAGATTCTCAGAACCCAGAAAGAAAGATTATGGAAGAATCTCATAAGAGAAGGGAAAAGTTGTCCACAAAGAATGAGATAGACCTTAAAGATCCAATTCAATGAGAAAAACGAAATCCACGCAGTTAATCTATAAGTCCTACCAGTCATCACGCAGCTGGCATAATGAGATGGTCAAATTATGGAGACTGTCGATGTGCAGATCCGGAGCCTCACAACACAAATCTACCACCTGAAGACTGCATATCAGGCGAAAAGAAATCGAGCATTTTGAACAAAACCGGAAGCATCCAGGAATCAATAAGGCGGCACCAAAGGATGAGCTGCGGAAATACCTGAAGCAAACGTTGAAAAACGATCAAGTAGAAAAATATCATGGCGAAGCAAAATGAATTTGGATTCTCCATGGAATCTCCAAGCAAGATTTGCAGAAATATCTACTAAGTACATATAATTTAGACCAGGACAAGATGGGAGATTCCCCAGAAAATCATGGAGAATAATAACGCCAAGATCATCTGAGATTTCAATATGACAAGCAATTTCTGACCAGCCAACCGATTATATTGACAGTAGGGAAGAATCAGAAACTAGCACTGGTAATAAATATAGCAACGCCAGATGACAGCAACTTCAGAAAGAAGGAATATGAAAAATTAGAGAATACCAGGAACAAAAAGAAGAGTTAGAGACGATGTGGAAAATGAAGGCCAAAGCTGTCGCAGTGGTAATATTGGGGACTGTGGGCTCTAATCTAAAGAAATGACTTCAACAGATTCCAGGATATGTCATAAAAATATAGATCTGTCTAGAAAAACATTGGCAGGAACAGCTAGAACATTGAGTAAGCCCTCTAACTCCTAAACCTCTAATAGATGACCTGAGGTTGAGATGGCTCATACCACTCACAGAATGAGAAAGGGATTATTATACATATGCACCTTTGCGAATGAATCAAATGGCTTTTTGGAAAATATTTCCAATCACGCAGTTAGTTGATTTATACGATCATTCTTTTGTGTTTTGGCTGCATTTTAATTTATTGAAATATCAATAAGAAATTTCTATGTATTAATATAATAATAAATAAGAATTAGTTATTTTGTAGCTTTAAGTTAAAAATTAGGTTATTTAGCGACAACAAACTGTTAATTGGAGGATAAATAAATAACATATAGAAGATATAGAATTCGTTCCTCTTGCAAAAACACTTCGGTGGAAATCGTGGATTTTGATAATTTCTAAGTGATATTTTCAATGAAACTAGAGTTTGGTGCATTCGACCATTTTTTTTCCCAAACAGATGGGCGATTCGATGAAGTTAGGAGATGAACTTCATAGAAAGCATACGTTCGATTTCAGAATAAAGGAGCTATGAAATAAGTTTATATAAAAGATACAAGGGAATTAGGGGCCTTAACCCATTTTAAGAAAATTGCTTTTATTTTTATTAATTTTGTTCATATATAAAGTAATATAGCACATAAATCATTTTTTCCATTTACAAAAAATTGATAACTGGCATAAACAGGTTTCTCATAACTGAAATTTGGTAATGTTATGCTTATGTCGCACAAAAAGCAAATTTTCGCCATTTTTTACAAAAATTGCAAATATCAGTTATTAAATCGTGGAAAGAACTTTTTAATATATTAAGTTATTTCAAATATTTCAAATTCCTTACTCTCAAATTTTAATCAAATTTTATATATTTTTTAATATTCGTTAAAAAACTGATGTATTCCTTTGTGGGTCTTATTTGTTGCTTTCAAAAGAAAATATCTTTATCGAGTGTCTTTGGTATGAAATAAAAATTTACAATTAATTTTCTTGTACATAAGGATTGTTAAACAATTTTCACCGTTTAAATATCTTTTTAAGGTAAAAAAATGGAATAGAAGAAGAAAAAATTTACGAGTAATTCAATGCCTTTAAACCTTGCATATGATCATCTGATATGGCGATTTCAATTTGCTCACCATATGTGAATTTTGGAATTGTCGGAAATATTGCCTTTCCTCCATGCTCCGATCGCCAAATACCAACAAGCCAAGCAAGAGGTTGTAAATTACTTGGCAATCTGTGTGGATCAAATCCTAAATTTAAATGTTGTGTGAGAAGTTTTTTGATCATTTTATTTTTATTTAAATTTCTATGATTCTTTATAATTCTAGCATGAAGAAGAGTTGAAGGGCTATGCCAACATACCAACATACATTCCTTTGCTTTAACGAGAATTAAACCTGTAATTTAGAAATTCCAAGGATGCTAGGAACCCAGCAGTTCTACTTTAAAGTGAATCTTTAACAAATAGGTCCAAATGCCTAATTTTAAAATCAGGTAAAACAGAGTGCAATAGAAGAATAAAAAGAATTCTATGTTTTACACTGAAGTGGTGCTTTCAAAATAGTCATCCTGGACAAAAAATTTAATAAATGAGAAATTTGTCAATGTAAAGTATTAATCCTTGAAAAAATCTTCAATGAATTCGAAAGTCATCCACCAATAACTGAAATTCTCTTAATGATAAGCGATTCAACTAATCCGTTAAAATGATTTCTAGCTTTAGAAGTTGAATAACTATGGTTATAATTCCCCTCAGAAATAGTTATTATTGAAAAATTTTTTATTTCTAATGTTAAATAATAAAACATTATTTTCTGAAATATTTTTAGAAAAATTTGACGATTTCTTTTCGATATTTAAAAAATTAGGATAACATATATAGCAAACTTGAATCGATTTTCGGTGAACAGTGGCCACAAGATTTCATACAACTTCGCATAATATAATCTGTTTTCATGCATAAACTACGATCAGCTATTATCCAATCTCGGCAACTGTTATCGAAATCACGACATTCCTGACCTGACCAAGATTTGATTAGCCTTGAAATATTCTCGCGAATATGAAGTAAAAAAAAAAACTAAAATTAATAAAAGAATGTCCAAAATGTATTTTTTAAAAAGAATAGTCCCTTTTCTTTTTCTAATAAGGGAACAGAATTTTTTTGTTTCACTAGCTCGACTGGCTATTTGGAAGATCTCATGATTTAGGTGCAAACGGATCTTTTTCATTCAGCTAGATTTTATTCTTAATAACAGGTTTAATCACATAAAGGAGAATGAACTTAGAAACATTTGATCCTAGTAGAGGCAACCATTATATAACTCGGCCTCGCCTTTTTGCCTGCCGAAAATTGAATGATTCGCATGAAATCATCTTAAATTTCTATTTTTTTGATTTTGTTGATATGGCACTTATCACTATTATTCATTAACCGATAAATTTGAAATTGTAAAAAATGTTTTCAAGATTTAAATAAAATTATGACTGACAACGATGGACAAAAAGTAAAAGTTAAAATGTAATTTAAAATGAAATGTGGTTAAAATATTCAAAAATGAAATCTACAAATTTAAAATAATCCAATAATCTTGGAAACTTCTTTTCTAACCAACAGAGCCAACTTAACCAATGAATAGTGCGAGCTGTTACAAAAGGAATCTGTAAGAATTATTTCCATTTATACCATTTATTAAATGCGTTAGATGGTTGTGAATGGTTATAATGGTAAAATAGTTTGCAGATTTTCAAAAATCCTCCGAAAAATATAAACCTTTCAAGAACTTGATGAATTCAATGAAAATGGCTATCAATAGTAGCATTACAGCGAAATATTTATATAAGCGTTCGTTTTCAAGCACTAAAACAATTGCAATTGCAATGATCGTTAAAATTGTCCATAAAATACTTATAATTGATTAATGAATGATGATGAACGATTCGAGAGATATGGACAAAGATATTGCATATCGTATAATTATTAAACAATGGTGATGAAATTCAAACAATAATTATTATTTAATTAGTGATTATTAGATATCAACAAATTTTCATTGTTTAATTTCAAAAATTTATGCCATAATTTCGCTAAATTTCTGTTATCACTGCGACATATCGTTGAAAGTTTATAGAATTTTATTCACTTTTTCCGGTTCTTTTCCCATAAAAGATTTTTTCAAGAATGATTCTATGTAATAAATTAATTCATTATAAATTTATTTTAATAGGGCCGTAAGAAGCTAAGATGAATTAAGGCAAAATTTGATATTTTTTTATATTCGGAATATCGCATTCTTCATAAATTTGATTGTACTTCCTGTATTTTTGAGCTTCAAGAAGAATAATAAAAATTTAGATCATTGTAGGTCCTAAATAGTTATTTAAAATTGAATTCATATGATAATTAAACAAAAAAATTCAGGAACCGGATTTTGAATTCTTATTTCAAATATGATAAATAATTGGCTCAATGGTTTTTCAATCCACAACTCAAAATTTCAATGATTAAATAAGTAGTTAGTGCTCACCATTTCTGTTTACTCCACTAGCTATACCCAGATTTTTTAATGACAGGTTTTCTGTCGGATAGAGAACTCGAGCCTTGAGAAAATGATAATCAGGCTATCCTACGAGTAATCAGTTACTTTCTGGCAAAATTTTGGGTCGAAACATAAGTCATTGTTGAACATTTTGAATAAGCAGCATTATGACCGTAGAGTTGCTTAAAAAAAGCAAAATGTGAAAAAAAGAGAAAAAAATTATTGTTCAATGAAAAGGAAAGATAATAAATACATTGATGAAAACTGCATCTTTAAAAATGATCATATGTAGTGATATTTCGTTAAATGAACATTGTAAACTTGTCTTAAGTTCGTCCATTGACGAATCATTTTTTTTCTTCATTTAACAATGTTGCATTATTATTATTATAGAAAAATAATAGCAATTAATAATAATAATAATAATAATAATAATAATAATAATAATAATAACAATAATAATAATATAATAATATAATAATAATAATAATAATAATAATAATAATAATAAAAGATAACCACAACAATAATAAACAGCTGATCTATACTATATTATAGGTATAGAAATAATTAACATTCCCACAAAATCACAAAACAGTCCACCAAAATGTTTATTAAATTTCTGCTAAAGTTATTATGAATTTGATAAGTCTGTGAACTTGATTTTTTCTCGTTTTTTTTTAGATGATTTTTCATTTTTTATTTTAAATTTACTCAAAAAGCGATCGATCATTTTTCGGTTTTTAATTCTATTTCACAAAATTTTATTTGGTTTTCCGAAATTGATTAAGAAAAAATAATTTTTGGCACGGATATAATTAGTTATACCGTTGTAACGACATTTTTAAAAGAATACATCATAATAAATTTATAGACTTATCAGATAAGGTCTTATCATCTATAGCTGTATTTGCATAATTTGATAACCATAAATTTACCAATAATAATGTTCAAGTCTGGAAAATTTTAAGCTTTCATGGGAAAACTTTATTAAAATCCAATTCATACAAATTGTTAAATAAATCATGCAAGAAAATATTCCCTTTAGCTATTTAATAAAGAAAATGATAATAAAAGTAATAATAGAAATAATATCATTAATAACAATAATAAGTATTAATAGCAATAATAGTTTTCATACTTTTAGTAGCATTTATTCCATAATGTTGTGGAGAAAGAACATTCCATGCAGCTGAGGAAGTTGAGTCGCATAGGAGGTAATGTAAATAAGCCGAACAGTGCGCAAAGATCGCCCGAGATAGCTGCTCTTCTCGAACTTTGTTTTTTGGTGGTTTTTTAACGTTGAATAAATTTTTTTAAATTCCGAACATTTTTCTTTCTGAAAATTTAGGGTTAACTTTGAATTCATTGTTGATTACATAACATGAATGCTGCGATATTACCGCTATTAACATAGCATTTTAAACGGAATTTCATCAATATGTAACATTAATATTTGACGATAATTTTTCCTCAAACTTCTTATTTTTCTTTTTCTGCTATATTCAATATAGCAAAGAACATTATAAAACATTTCTGTTGATACGACTTCATACCTATTCATCTCGAATTTAGAACTATTTTTTAGTATGAATTGAGGAAATTTATTTCGCATGAAAATTTTCATAAATTTATACGAATTTTTTTGGATGAGACAAATGATCTTTGTTGAAATACAATTAAGCAGTAGAAAATATAAAATTACACGAAAAATGGAATAAGTAATTGGTAAATCAAATTAATTAATAAGCTAATTTGGGATTCTTGGTTTTTTGCTGATTTGCAGTTCATCTGATTTAATTCGTACGAGTCTGAAGTATTACACATTTTGATTATTTATATTATATAATATTATAATATTTTTTAATAAAATTCATTTCCATAAACGACAACATAGCCAGGTTTATCACTGGTACAAAAAGTATGATTTGTTGATGCTCCAAAAGATGTTTTAAGGTTGAATTTGGTATTTTTAGGGCTGATTTTACAAGATTGTTGAAGGATATACTTAAAGTAGCGATTATGTTAAATTATTTTGGCATTTTTTAAAATATATTAGATATTAGAAAAATATATTAAATATATTTTTATAATAATATAATAAATATATAATATAATATAATAATATAATAAATATATTAAATATATTTTTCCAGAAACGCTATTTAGCCATTTTTAGCCAATTATGTTAGGAATTCATACGCAAATAAAAAAAATAATTCAAGAAATCGTGCGATAAATTACGAAAAATTTGAAAAATTTATGATTATTTAAGAAATATCCATAAATAAATAAATAAATAACAAAGGAGCAATGATGAATGAATGATTTCCGCTTTCTCAAAATCGATTTAATAGTTAGATTCAGAAGGTAAATATTAACGCTATCCATATTTGCCATCGCGCACCTTTGTTCAACGTCCTTACTTATAAATTCGATATCCGTTTTGGTGTCTCAAATTTACTTATCTGTATACCTATTTATTTTTATTAATGAACTTTTGATTCTAATATTTGATAATTTGATAAAGATCTGATAACATATTAGCAACAATAATGCAGTACAGTAATGAGCAAAAATGATGTGTAAATATTCATAAAAATATCCATTTTTAATTTATAAAGTTGTTATTCCATTTAGTTCTCTGAGGAATTTTCAACATTGCTCGATTGATATCAAAATTTATTTAGAAAGTTTCTAGTTCTATAAACCATTCTGTCCTCGTAGTCAGTAAAACCAATGAGCGTAAAAGACAGAAGGAATTTCTTTAGGATTTTCGAATTAGCGAGGGAAATTCAGTTGAAGATTGGCTAATAAATATCACCTACCAGATAAAAAATTTTTTAATTTTGCTGCGCTTTTTTAATAAGCATTGATTATTGTTAGACTTTTTCGCAATAAATTAGCATTATTTTTATTTTTTTTTATTTATTTATTGACAATTGCATGAGACTGGTCGCTGGTTTACCGGCGGCTACGCTGAATGGTGCCATGCTACGATATCCATTTTTTTAAATTCTAGCATGAAAAATATTTATTCTTTTCACTTACACACTGCTTTATTTCATCCTCAATTGTATACTTATTATTTATCCCCACAGAGACACTGCTTAATGATTATTTGTGGATTTTTTTCCGTTCTTTTTAAATCTTTTGGAGCTTATTTTCAGATATAAACAAATTTTATTCATGTTTTTTTCCTCGTCATAAGTCTAATAATCAGGCCTAATAATTAATGTCAACTAATGTAAATCGTGGAATCGAGAATCGCCTCGATCTGGATCGCTCATATGCAGAACTGAATTTTCGTGGAATTAGAACCATATTTTATCGAAATGGCGATGAATATGATTCGGGAACGATGGTTGTACTCTCACGTAAACAGTTCAAACATTGGATAACTTTTTTGGACTACTTAACGAAGAAACTGGGAGTATTAACACCTGTGCATAAAATTCATCGAACTGATGGCTCACAAGTTTATCAGGTTTGTACGCTTTCATATAATCGTCATTTTCTAACAACTTGCATCATTATCGGTTAATATGATTCAACTAGCTAGAAAGGTGAAGCGTTTCCAGGCTCCTCGACGGTGCCGTATCTGAAAGTAACAGAACTCCATTTTCCACTATTTATGGTCATATACCGCTGGGCCGCTTATGCGTTCGAATACTGTGATCGTTTCGAGCTAGATCATAAATTGTGATCGTTTCGAACTAGAGCCTCCCTATTGCCATCCACCGTAATAAGGCTTGAGCAGTCACGGCGAAGAACTATATTTTTGATGCGATCTCAATCTTTTATAAAGATTTTAGTTTGAAGATTTCGAAGGCGGTGGCAAATATGTTGCAGTTTCACAGGGACAATTCATACATATGGAATATGGTATATATACCAGCGAGCAGGATGATAAGGTGAAATTTGAGGATTCCGATTGTTCTTTTATAGAATTTTGTACAAACCTCATGATTAAGAGAAAATAAATTAATTTGAAAGCAAAAACTAATTTAAATAAAAAAAGTAAATGAATTTGGCAACAAAAACTTGGAAAAGAAATTAATGGACAAAAATTTAAATGAAATAAAATATTTGTTTAATTGCTTTATTATAATATATCTGCAAATATTTTTGGTACGGCTTGCTTTAGTTACTGCTCAGGTAAAATCCTTCTATCAGAAAGTCACTTGACGATTGAAGTGCAAGTAGATTTTCAGTACAAGCCGGATTTCACTTTTTTAATCACAAGGTTTACTTTTTATTTCCTTTAAGTAGAAACTCAGTGCGTTCATTATAACAATTTATTACAAATAAATCAAAATTTAAAGAAATGGAAATTCGCCACAAAAATTGTCGAACCTCATATAAGCAATTTGGATTCTGCGGAAAGTGTTGATATCTATCTAAAACGTTGCGGCTATAAATCATGCACAGGTCTTCCCTTTCCATTTGATGGAATGCATCATGTCTTAGCGCCAGATGACTTTCAACATTATAGTGCAAGTGTTTCACCTATGTCACCAGTGCCATCGGCAGCTGCTTCGAATGCAAGCATTGTAAAAATTTTGATTGTTTTAATCTCCGTTTTGTCTTACTTACGAATCGCTTACTTGCCCTATAATATTTTTTTTCTCCTCATATTTGAATAGAATCTAAATATCTGTGTTTTTCAGAGTAATTTACTTAATGACTTCATCCATAAATTACGATGAATTTTTAGTATTATTACAGTAAATATCGCCAGTTTTGATACGCGGTGAACACGATTAAATTTTTATTTCTTCTGGAATTTCTGCCATTTGAAAAGGCTTTCTTTTAGGTTCTTTATCAAAATATGAGAAGTGAAATGTTTAAAGAACAGAAATTAGCAAACGAAACAGCGTTTGAAGGAAGACTAACAAATGAACTGAAAGGAAAAAGCTCGGAAAGTTTATGTGAAGATTCAAGTCTAAAAAGAACCGTGTCGGTTAAAAATATGATTGTGACCCCGCCTCTTGAAATAGATTTGAAAGATGTGGAGAACACTGAAAAGCAAGATAATGAAGTAGCTTCATTTAGAAGTAATCAATCTGAAACGAAAAACCCAAAATTTCATGAGGCTGTTGATGATAACTTTGATAATAACGATATGATCGTAAGCAATAAAAACGATGAAAGAAAAGAAAGCGTTAACTGGGAATTTAATGGTTCGAAGAATAACGATGGAGTAATGAAAATTGATGAGGATGAAATTGACGAATCGGATATAAATATCTTGAATCAAATTACCAGTTCTGAGTTTGGTCAACTATTTTATGAAAAGGATCTTGACGAAACACCACTGAATAGTAACTGTAGCATTTTCAATAACACGAACGCCAGTAGTGGCCAGAATAAACCAAACGAAAGAGAGCTAGGGACAAAAGAAGTTATTACCGATATAATGAATAATGATGATCGGGATTCAAGGGAAGATTTGTGGATCAAGGCAGAAAAAGAAAAATATATTGCACAACCGGATTCAAATTCAAAGCCAAAAGTTGAGGAACAAAACGATCTTAAAAGCCCACAAATAAAAGAAAGCGGAAAACGAGGTAACCCAACAATTTCTAAAGAAATCGGGGACTCAGAAAAGTCGAGTATTCCTACAAAAATGCCTGCTCAAAGTCCTTCATTAACAAGGAAAATTTCGGAAAACCGAAAACAGTCAGAAAAGAGATGTGCTCGGAATTCGGTAACTATGAAGAAAATATTAGATGATAGGACATCAATAAGCTCATTTGCTACAAAAAATAATTTAATGGTTAGTGAAGAAAATCGTATTCCTTTGCCACCAAGTTCCATTAGGCGTCAAATCCCCGTTTTGAACGATGACGTAACCATACAACAACGAAGCCTTTTCATGACTAAAGCAAATATTAAAAACAAGCAACTAGCTGGTGAAAAAGGAAGAAAAAAATTGATTTCACCAGAGACAGATGAATTCAGACCAATTTTCGGAAATGGAAAAAAAATCCAGCCTGAACTTAGAGGACAAAAAGATATATTGGTCACGAGAAAAAAAGTCATTTCACCAGATACTGATGAATTGCCACCGTCGAATATTACAAGTGAAAACAAGATTGAATCAAAAATCATAGCTAAAAGCGAAGGTAGATTGATAAAGAACCAATCCTCAATGAAAAAGGATCAAAATGATCGTAGGAGTAAATCTAGGCCGGTTAGATTCGACCCCAATCTACCATCCGATCGTGAAAAGTCTGAACAAACGGATCCTGATTTACCATTTATTAACTCATTTAAAATCTTCTTCGATCCGGATTTGCCCATATATCCAGTAAAAACATCGCAATCAGAACCCTCTCTTTATGAAAGATTCGCTTATTACGATCCAGATTTCACACCTAGAGAAATTAAACCAATACAGTTCGATCCCGACTTTATGGATTTCGATTATACATCACGAACATCTATTTTATGATCTATTACCGTTTGAATTATTTATTTGTTGATAAATTTCCAATACTTTTGAGAAATCAATCATTTAGATATTAAAAAAGTAGACATTTTTGTGACTTAATGGCGTTATGATTCGTTTTCCAGATAGTAGCTTTGAATTGTTTGTTGTTTTAAAATTATTTTTAAAACTTCTCACGATGTAATTCGATGTACCAGTTTTTCCAGTCTCAGCTGCAACTTTCGATTTCCAAAATATCGATGTTCCAGTTATTTTTTGAATCGTTCAAGGATGCGCCGCCAATCGCTGATGAAATGAGAATTTTGCATTGCCAATGGTTTGCAAAGAAATTTTTTTGTAAAAACTAATAACCAAATAAATATTTTATAACCAAAGAATTTTTTAATAAAATTTTCTAGTTTTTTGCGGTTTTTGTTCATTATTTCGCTATAAAGATGCATGGAAGGAAGATAATGCCGCATTTGATTAACATTGATGAAGTGTTGCATAATAGATAATGCAAATTGTAAATCATTTGTGATAAAAATGATAAAAATGATAGAATTATATTCTTATATTCTTACTATATTCTCACTAGAATTTATATTTTTCATTTTTATAGCGCAGAATGTTTATTTTTTATTCGAGTATAATGCATCACGACATTATGTATCTTCATATAATAACTATTCTGGATTGGTTGACTCCATTGACTGTTAGAATGTGACATCTCTATCAATAAGCCACTTGAAGCCATAGAATGAAAGGAGATTCCCCAATGGTACCAACTGGTCTACTGGTCCACTATGTAAATCATTCGCCAATAAATCGTAAAAGAATAAATTTGCTCTGTAAATAAATTTATTCCAGTAGAATTTGCAAATAAGTTTTATTTAAATATTATCAAGAAAAACCATAAATTATAGAAAAATATAAGAGAATGGAGCTAATAAAACGAGAAATTTACTTTAGAAAGAAATTCGTTTCAGCAAATTTTGCTAAGAGTGTAAATAGTGCAAATCAATTTAAAACATTTCATATAATTATTTGAATATTTATTTGCTTTTTTTTATTTAGAATCATTATAAAAATATTTTATTTATCGTTTTAGTCTCAAAAATTTATTAATTTCAAGAATTTAATCAATAATATAATCAATACTGATATGAATTTCATGATAAACAGTGTTAATATGGTTTCTTCTAACTTGGCTCAAATAACCATTAGTGGTGAATTACCATGATATGTTTCCACGTTTAACTTTCTGGCTGTGTCGCGGCAGAGGTTTAATGACAGAGACAGAAACATAGTGCTTAAACTGATGGTCAGAGTAATATACCACATTTTTGCAGGATTATGTTTTTCTTATAAATGGTAAAAGTTGGAACAAATAGAGTCTAACTGAAAATGGTGAATGAATGCTATAACTTATTTGCATTTTGATGCCATTTTATTTATATAAATAAATAATTAAGAGATTAAATGAACATAAACATTTATCATTAAAACTTATCATTTCCAACTGCCATTAAACTTTTGCCCTGACAGCCAGATAGTTGAAAGTGGAATCGGCCAGCTTCGCTGTCTACACCGAGTCAATCTGCGATAAAAACAAGTCACTTGAGTTTTTTAGTGGCACGTTTATGTCTGTCGGAAGTAGAAATCGAGTCCCTGTTTTTCGACAGAATGATCTTAACTACTCACTAATCATTCAACTAACCTGTCGCTCAAGAAAATTTAAAAGTAGATTAAAATATCGATAATATTTATTTTAGCAAATAATTTTTAAATTTTTATATCAATATTTTATAATAAAATTTCGCATTTTAACACCTCTTTTCCACAAATCTTCATTTCATCAAGTTAAATTAATAATTTTTAAAGAAATTCGCAAGTTTTTCAAAATAAACTAATCTCAGAATCTGCGAATCTCTCAAATCTCTCATCGTTCGCTTCAGTCATCACTTAAACAACAGTTATTATAAAGGCGGCGCTTGTTTCCATGGTCATTAGTTAAGTTGATTAAGGAAGGCTTTGTGATCTCAATCGTGTGATAATTTATACGAATGGAGCAAATTATTGTTGAACAACAGTTCAGGGGACGTCGACATACGATCCAAGGGGAGCCTTTAAACGTCAATCCAAATCTTACGCCAAAGCTAATTCAGCAATCGAGCCATTCATCTGATATTGTTCCAGAAAATGCAAATCTAGAGAAGCAGTCATCGCAAGACTCATCTATTCCAACGTCACCATTAAATATTTTAAAACCAGTTAAAGTACCAGCACGCTTACTGCATGCGAAGGATGATTCATTTATTAACCAGGTTAGTAAACAAATACTTAAATTTTAAATCTATTTTCTGGTATCTATAAATTTGACATTAAAAATAAAATCGAGGTTAGAGACCCATTTATATTTTGCAAGTGACTTTCTGACGATGCAATTTTTTCTTCGCCGAAATGTTATGCAAAAAACAGTATTTGGTGAGTTTTTTTAAAAAAGTTTTTTTCTATAAATCGCATGAATATTGAACAATAAAAGTATCTTTTTTTAGCATCGACATTCAATACCATCAAACGATAATCACTATCTGAATTATTTAAGTCGTCAGTCAATTGCTAGCAGTGATTATCTACATTCAAATCTTGTTGGAACACTAAGCAATAAACGACGCAATCGGCTTAGTCGTAATTCATTGCCAAATGATTACCAAACGCCAGCAGAATTTATTGAATCAGTTCGACGAGACCTCAATAAATTATAAATCAAGGTGAGCCGTTAAATCTTCGCTATCAAATTTTCACTGAAAATTTTCGGAAAATTTATAATTTAGTGGGAATAGGATGATTCAGGGATGGGCTTTCATATTGAATGCACTTCGAATTGTCGTTGCTGGACATTCTATTCCTGGCAGAAATAAACTTCTTCTTTACAAATCTGGGTGATGATCATTTGAATTTCCATCGCTATTGACAAAAAATTTGGAAAAATGATTTGTTTGGTTAAGTTAACCGGAAGAGCGAACATAACCAGAAATGGTGGACGTTAACTTTCTTCATTCTTTACGTGGATCATTAGTGTTCGTCCATCGCCAGTGAGTTCATTGACCGTAAGTTTTGTTTAATCTCTCAACTATTTCTGACTTACAGGTATTTTTATTTCCTCGCTATGCGCCATTAACAAAAATTATAAGAAATAGTCTTCAAATAAGCGGATTTCTGGAAAACTCATTATATTTGCCCTTCATAATACATATCTCTTATCATAATATATATCTACATTCTTAATTTATGCAAATTCACTGAAATATATTAAAAATGAAATGTTTTTATTTTTATCATTTATGGATTGTTTTTTTTCGTGTTTTTTTCGCAGCTTTACTTACTTTGCGCTCAATTATATGCTATAATAAACATAAAGTAAATAAAGAAATACTAAGCATTTCTTAATTTTATGAATTAAAAAAATGAACTAAGCGTTTTTTAATCACAGATCCAGAAACCTTAGGAGGTCCACAGATTCCAAGGTTCGCCCCACTAAAAAGACCTGCAACACAATAGGAATTCACGATTTAACTGTGTACTTTGTATTAATGAAAAGTTGAGTTGACAGCGATCTCCAAACAACAGAATCATAGGAAAGTGACGAATTTAACCATGCGAATTCTTTCAGACTGAAACGATAGTCGGTAAAAAAGATGCAATGCATGGAAAGAGGTCTGTTGTTTCCAATCACCTAAATATGTCTTAAATTTGCGACAAATGTCGATGAATAACCAAACCCAAATATTTTTTCATTTTAATTGCAAAGTTTTATAAGGCAATTTTCGGTTATTTGCCCATAGCTTTCACTATCATTTTATTCCTATTCATTCCTAATAATAATTTAACCAATCGAGATTCATGCATTTGCATTCAAAATAAACTGTGATTAAAACTATTTATCATTGATGAGAATAAATTAAACCCGCCAAGTTCTAAAAAAAATTATGACATTTCTACAACGCTAATCAAAAAAAAAAACTGTTTTACTCGGAATTTAAGACAGTAATAATATTTTATTTTAATTTAATAATAATAACAAATTATAACAATAACAAATAACAATAACAACAATAATAATAATTGACAATAATATTAATAATAATCAATATAGTAACAATAATAATAATAGTTTCCTTGAAAAAATGATTTAATAGTTTTACAAATGTAGTTACGTAATTTCAAAGCACTGCGCCTGGTTGACATTGTAATTTAGGAACAAGTCGTAAAGTCGTACTTAAAATCTGAACAGGAAAGATTTTTTTAATTCTTAGCAGCCTAACACCTTAATAAATTTAAGTCCATTGCACCTTTAGAAAAAATCTATTAATGATGATTGAATGTCTCATCAAGGATTATTGCTTTAACAGGTAAAATGACATAAGAGTCAACCAAATATCCAGTGGTCACATGAAAGATAAGAGCGCTGCAACGGTTTTACATCCAGCATTCTACCAGCACAAAACGAGAGATATATTATGTCTTGCGATCTTAACGTAACGTAAGGAAATCTCCTTGAACTCCTCTATGAAGGCAAAATATTTCTTCAGCATCCCATATTTCTATGCTATTTCATAGTCCTATTAATAGCGAAAAGATATCGACCCTCACAGCAGATTTTTTACGATTTAAACAACAACTTCCACTGCATTTTTTTCTGCCGAAATCGGAGCTTACTGAAATCTGTGAAACCGAAGTAAAGGATGCTCCTGTACACCTTATAACATTGGAAATTTATAGCATTTCCACCATTCACCTTAACATTGCCATTTCTTCTATCAATGATATCTTTAGAAGAAACACGTTTAAAAGAATCGTTAAAAACCACCGATAAAAATATTCAACAACTCGACACATTAATCATATAGTGTAAATCTTTAAAATTGCACACAGCACATTTTGATCACATTTAATTTTAAAAACTTCAAAATTTAAGATAACAAACAAAATGAACAAGCAATCTTTGAGCAAATAGTTAAAATGAATAAAACTGCAAAACGACTGTATCCATTATGTCAAAGTTTACGCATCAGAGAGCTTAGATAAGAGAACAGAAGCTCCACTTGTGGTATATTTTTTGAGAGCTACAGTAGATATAAAGGCTTTGATTAGATTTTTGGTCTCAGAAGAACCATTTTCAAACATGTGCACCAATATATAACATCCTTTGTTACAAGAAATCTGAAATTTAATAATGGCAGCAAAATTTGGTAAAATTTCAACAGTTAATTACCAATTACCAAAAATTACCAATCGCTTCGCAGAAAGTTATTATTATTATTAAAATCCATCTAACAATTATTTAAACCCATCTAATGGAATTTATCAAAACTGTCAGTGAAAAAGCTGATGATTCTTACTTTACTCTCCTTTTCTTTAAATATTAGATATTTACTTAATAAAATAAAAATCTGATGGAAACAAAATCTAAAACAAACCCAAGAAACAAGTTTATCCTTTCCAAGAGCAGCTAATGATGCGCTTAATTTCACTTCACATTTCAAATCGTTTTTAAGAAGTTTTGATATGACAAAATGAGAGATTGAATTTTCAATAGGATGCAACTTGCCCATATCGAGTGGAATAAATTCCTTCGCACATATCGTCGCTATTGAATTGTAGCAAATTGAACGAATCTCATCATCAATACTGCGTTTAAATGAGTGCAAATCATCTAAAAACCACGAAATATTTACCAATGTATTTTTATCAAAACCATTCTATTTTAAAAACTTCATTTCATTTCAAAAACAAGTGCAATAACTAATCTGACTGGTAATGACTGATACTGTCACAAAAATTCAACAATAGGAATATAATCATCTTATAAAATAATTTGCCCGAGAAGAACTGCCAAACAGTCCGTCGTTGCAGGCTGAAATAGTTTTAGACAGCCAAAAAGCAATATTTTGCGAAAAATGTCGAAATGCCCTTAATATCTTGTGGTTCTTCTTCAAAATTCTATAAAATACTGCACTGAAATCACTGGTAACATCCTCTTAAAGCCCTTCAAACCATTTTAATATACATTTATATTTCCATTGACATTTCTCTCAGGCTGTATTTGCTACAAATTTGTTACAAATGGATGAGTACTTTTGTTATATCATATCAGTCGTAAATCTAATCATAGTTCTCTCCTTCAAGTGCATTAAATACCCTTACCACCACTTCCGAATAGTTGATTACATTAATTACTCTTTTAACACTTAAGGAAGGAAGTAAAAGTATCCCCAGCATCACTTGAACCTAATTCATTCTACCCAAAAATCTATAATATTCTGTCGACTTCTTGTTAATATCAAATCTAAAACGCTACGGCTTATAATTAAATACCCTTAAAATATTCTGAAATCCTGTAGAAACATTTCTTTCTTTATCAAAATTTATTCTTTCAGTATTTTTTTCAAATTTTCCTGTTCGTTGGGCCATAAGCCTCTTATTAATATTTTGTTCATTGAAATTATAATTTATTCTCATTGAGACAGCCTCTGTCCAGAAAAAAGTTTAAAATTTAGAATTTAGGGAGGGAAAACGATAAGGGAATATAATGAAGATCTGATTCGAGTAAAAACCACATCACAGAGTTCGAAGGGAAAATAAAAATTTTGAGGGCATAACGACTGAAAACTAAAAGGTAGTTAAAGATAATGTCAGTAGCTTTTTGACATTGATTTTCAAGGTTGAGAATGCATGAGAATGTTTATTCCTAAATAAAATAATTTTGCCTACACATAGGAGAGGCCCTAGCCTTAAACTCTTCATGTCACCACAAAAATCAGGAAGTTCTCTAATTAATACATGTAAATATATTTGTAATATAAATATAACATTACTTTCGGCTTCTAAAGTGTTCAAAACCAAAAGTGCAGTATGCTTGCTAGATATAAGTTCATCGATGTTTGCGGCCATAAATTTACCTAGAGGTTTTGATATGCACTTAAATAATTCCGAGAAACGGTCCTGTGTCGGCTTTTTGGTAAATTCATTACTATCACCCTGAAATAAACAAATTCATAATGATGGATTAAAGTATTTGTTATTTCGATAACCATTTCAAAAGACAACCTTTTTGAGAAGTTCTATTTGTATTTTTGAAAAGTATCGAGGGTCTCTCGGATGAACGAGATAATGTAAGACATTTATGCCATATTTATCAGAAATTATTTCACTAATATGATTTCCGATTTCCTAAAAAAAACTAAATACATAAAATTATCTGAAAATTTCTCTAATTTTTTAAACTTGGAATTTTGATAATTTTTACAACAGCGAGCGCTTCGATCTGCTTTTCTTCAGAGATTTCGTGATTACGGAATCTTCCCCTTCTTTTGAACAAGCCTTTCATTAAAGGAAAAGTCTGGGCGACTAATAGTGATCTACTACATGATAGTAGAACATATCTAAATAAACCAAGAATTTAGACCACTGAGTATTGGAACATCACTTCCAGTATCAGTTACATAGCACTATCTACCGCACCATGATTTTGGACCAATTGGACCAGATTGTGCTTTGACAAGTCATGTAATGCGAGATGCATTTGCAAAGAAAATAAATTTATCCAGGAACGTCAACGAACATCACTTCGAGTGTACAGCGAATAGCACTACAGATCTCGAATGTAAACTCATCATATTATTCTTTTCATCATATTATTCATATTATTCATCATATTATTCTTTTCAATAATTATAATAAATATTAAACTGAATATCAAAAACGAAAATTAGCTGTTAAAATTTAAATAAACATTTTTTAAACCTTATTTACCATACGCTAAATACCTTTTATTTTTTTTATAAAATACCTTTTTTCATATATTCATAATCAGATTTTAAATATTTTGTGTCCAGTGGTAATTGATAATAAAAGAGTAGCTGTATCTAAGAATAGCTTCTTCCTTCTGGCGGAATCCCGATGGAATCATTCCAGAATAAGCAAGAATAGTGAATAGTGAAAAATTCAAAATTCAATTTCGAATAACTCTGTTAAAGTACACTCTAAATGCTCGCAATATAGCATTTAACATCATTCCACATGCATCGATAGTACCGTTTTGAACTATACTCTCACCAAACTTCGCTGTGGTCAAAAGCGAAGCCTTGTATCGACAATGACAGGTGAGATTTTGAATCGCTCATGCCGCCCAATATTTTAGCGATGAAAAAAAGAATGGTTTTAACCAATTCCAGATATGGCACCAAAAGCACTAATAACCAATAAATCAAATTAAACCCAAAACGCACTTTGAAAAAAATTTCAAAATTTACAAAAAAATCCACAAGTATGAATTATGGCCACTGACTTGGACTATATATTTATTCACTTTAACGGTATCATCCACAGAATCAAAAATTCCGAGCAAAACATGATGACCATACTTTTCTTTACACGCTTTCACAACCAGACCTTTGAAATTTTTCACTATGACCTGAATATCAAATATCGTACCAGAAATATGCAGTATAAATGTGAATGACTTGATTACGTGAACAGCAACTGATATTTGACTTTAATAAAAACTGAGTAAAAACCCTACCTTTCGTTCTTTTGCTGTTCCATGCCATATGCATTGCAAAGCAACATTGGCACCAGGATTTGTATGGACAATCTATAAATGAATGATTATAACAAAATTTAAATTAACGTAAACGAACCTTTGATTCATAAATTTTTAATTCTAAAAATGATAACAAAAAATTAAAAAATCAACCTCGGCGATATGATCTTTCAATGAATCGATCATTTCCGTTCTTTCTTCTTTGTTACAATGTTCAAAAAAGGTTTGCAGCAAGGAGTGAACCAGAGATAATTTCAGTTGTGGCCTACAAAGTTGAAAATTTACGTGAATATTAAGCAATTAGCGAAAAATAAATATAACACTTCCAGTTAGCTTATGGAAAATTTTTACTAGGGCACTTGGCAATAGAAAACGGAATTACTGGTTTACTTTTGACATGGACAGAAGCCGAATCATTAATTACCATTGGTTTCTATCCTCAGGAAGATGACTACTCCTAGGACTTTCTGATCAGTGATTCCCTGGCCAATACGTCTCTCTCTAACAGCCAGTGCAACAGTGGAGCCAAAGAAACTAGTTACAGTTATTAAAAGAGGGTGAGAGAAAAGTAATATAATAATTAGTTCATACTTAGTCACAATATCAATAAGGTTATCATAAAGGTTTGTTACGACTGCTTTTATTTTATTGGGTTGCTTTGCCAGTTCATCGAAGCTTGGGAAAATACCGGATATTTCCTGTTTATTAAAATTAATAACTGAATTAAGAAAAAAAATCAACAAAATTTTGAATAGAAATTATTGAATATACAATATAATACGAATAATAAATAATAAAAATAATAACAATAAAAAAATACCAAAAAAATAAATAATAATGCAACTGATGCAAAATATGTATAAAATATATACAAAATACTATATAAAATACGGAAGCAAAAAATAAACACTAAATATTTTTTTTAAGTTAAAAAGGCAGAGCGGAAAAGAGAATCGGAAATTTTATTCAAAAAATTTTTAAATGAGAAATAATAACCTTGAGCATACAATACTCCTTTCCATAAAATTCCGATTCGATATCTCGTCTTTGTTGTGCATTTGCATAATCATTATAAATCAATTCCAGTACTGAAGCAGAAATCGTTGTTCGCATTAAAGACACGCAGTGGTTGCGAATTGATTCTATTACTAATTTTCTTTGCGACCCAGTCCTCAAGAATTTTAAAAAATAAAAATATAGTGAGTATATACTAGTTGTAAAACAAAATCTACTCAAAATAAATCAAAACTCTTAGATCCTATGCTATTTAACAATAAAATCATGAATGAGAGATTTTTAACAAAATTTTACCAATCAAGAAATAAATGTTCAGTAAAAAATGCGCTAAAACGCAAAAAATGAAGCATAATCTAAAAAACAGTTACTTTAAAAAACTTCTTTTTTTCCTGTTCTATTACATCCTTTATTTCCCTTCTACCTTTGATTAAAAATATTTAAGCCAAATGCAAGTGCCTAAAAATAAATGCATAAAATTAATTACCCAAATTTCAGCATTTTGACGACGAAGAATCGAGCATATTTTGATTTTGCCATACGAATAATTTCTGGAATTAATTCTCGAAACAATGCTTCTTTCATTTCAGGTCCGGCAAAACTTAATAGACATTCAATAACGCGGCTTGTGTCATGTGCATATATTAGTTCCTTCATTTTACCTTTAACCAAACTATAAAGCTCACTTATTGCTTTTTCACGCTCTTCTTCTTTACATTTCCGCCTGAAATCAAACATTTACATCAAAATAAAATATCAAAATTTTATAAATCAAACTTTATCACAAAGATAATTAATAAGAACCAAATAAAAAACGTTTAGATTTTTAAAAAAATTATTAATCATCAATTATTAAGAAAAAAAGACTGAAATATTCGAATAACCTTCGTATTATTTCCCAAATTGATTTACATCGCATTGTCAAATCAAAATTCGCTTTTCGCTTTTTTTTAAATTGTTTTATATAAATTCTTCGTTGTTGCCCATTCATTTGCAGAAGTTTTTCCTTCATTTTTCGAGGAACCTGAAATAAACAACAAAACAAGTTAATAAACTGATGCTAATATCACTCTCTTATTTTCCACATCGATCTCAAAGAAAAAATATACATATACAAAATAAAATATAGATGTATATGGGTATAAAAATATACATATACAAAATAAAATATAGATATGTGTATGGATATAAAAATATACATATACAAAAGTATATGATATTCATTATGCTTTTCAAAATCTACCAATATTTATATCCAGACCTTTACTGAATAAAAATTCTATTTCGAAAATATGCAATTAAAGCAGTTTCTAAAATAACTGCTAAAATCACAGTAAACACTAATTTTCGACAAGAAAATTTAGCCAATAATAAAAAATGAAAAGCAAATAATTTCCCAATTTTCCATTTGCATTTTTTTTTTCATTTTTCCTCATTTACATTTAATGTACTGAATCGAAAATTGTACCATTAGCTTTTTTTTTCGTTTTGCAAAATTTAGATTATTTTTATCTCCAAATTCGTTGCCATTAAAGGAATCAGCTAAATAAGCTGATAATCTATCACTTGACGAACTAGTAGCTGCTGTTACATGAATTTCGCGCTGTATTTTATTCGATAAAATCCCTTTAACTGGTTGGGGCCGTTTAACTGTAAGCTGGAAAAATGCAAAATGATCAGGAATAAAAGAATTCTACGAGTTATTTATTGTTAAATATATACAATAAATATAAAAAAAAAATAATATCATCCATAAACTATCAAATGCAACAAAAAAAAACCAACATTTTCACCATCTTGAACAGTGACTGGAGGAATATTTTCCAAATTTTCCGCAAAAGATACACTTTTTCGATGAAGTTTTCTACTTGGCTCAGATAAATTATTCTGTGTAATCTTTCTTTTTCTCATTGAAGATTGTTTTTTCTCATTTATCTGAAAGGACTCTATTAAATAATTTATTCAAAATTACAAAAATTAAAATATTCAGGTGAGAGACAATGGATAAATTCAAACTGGAAATACGATGATTGCGGGATTAAACATTAGTGTGAAAGGTGAAGAGAAACGATTCGATATCTAGCCAATCAATAACGTGGAAGCACCAAATTTCGACATGTTGTAAGAAAATAAGACAAAGTAGATATTGATTATTGATTAGCAATTGATTTGATAGCACCAGTGAAACGGCATTCATCTCTATCATTTTTATTAGCAACTATTGACAACTATGTTAAAGTTCGTATAGTTACGGCCTCAATTCGTATGAACGCAATTTTCGCAACAACCAATTAAGCTCGTAAATGGTCTTATGCAAAATTCATCTGATATTATTTACCTTATATGAAAGATTCTCGGAGATAAAGCTGCGCTCGAGTAAGTCGTAGGGAATCCTAAATAATTTAGAATATTCATGATCTTTGCGGCTGCCTTTGATTAATGGAATGCAACGATGTTCCAGAGAAGATCATTCGACTCATAAAGGCATTTTATGAGCGTACGTCGAGGTAAGCCTGTGTAAATGTGGAACTGACAAACTCCTTCGAAATAAGAACTGCTGTCCGTCATGGTTTATTTTTTCCCCCAACAATATTCAAAGATGCGATAGACTGGATAATGGACACCGCTTGTCGGCACTGAAGAGGCATCCAAATCAATCCAGAAAATCATATCATAAACCTCGAACACGCTGATGATGTAGTCTCTTTTGCTGACAGTTATGATGAAATGCAAATAATGCTAAATGTCAGAAATGTCGTGTCAGAAACTGCAACAAGAATAGGACTCAGGTCAGGTTAATACGAAAGTCTTTTCGTTTTATGTGCAAGACAACTAGAAAATGCTTCTTTTTGTAGATTCATTGCTGGTTGAGGAAGTGCCCGATTTTAAATACCTTGAGTCCACTCTAATACCAAATGGCCTGACAAAAGACGGTATTATAGCCCGGATCACAGCAGCTAGAAATTCTTCCGGTTGACGGAACCTTTATGGAGCCGTCATGAAATTACCATAAAAACGAAAGTCTGCATCTATATAGCCGTGATTCGTTCGATCTTGCTATATGGCTCGGAGACATGGCTAATGACAGTGGAGGATATTAAGCCTTTGACCACTCTTGTACATTTTTAATTATTAAATCATATCACCTCGTTGCGTTTTTCTTCGTTATATCTCATTGACTCGTATTTTTGGGACAAAATTTTCTTATTGCTTCTTTTCATGATCACCATGCTAAAAAATCAATAAATAGATTAGAAACCGTAAGAGGGCACAAAAATATGAGAAACGTATAAAATATCCAGGGAACGTTAAATATCACTGCTTTTGGGTACATCCGCATTATATTATTTTCGTCACCGCTGTAGGCACACCACTGGACTCCAAAATCAAATCATAAGACCTATCAAGACAAATGGAAAAAGAAAAACCAAAAGATATATGAAACAGAAAATGTGATTTGTACGAAGCAACTTAAAAATATAAGCCCTAGTAAACCAAACCTAAAAAAATGAATCTGCAGTATTATTTGCGGAATATGAAAAATCGGCTTCAGCTCTCTCGTCATTGCTTCGCGTCGTTACGAAAAGCGAATTGTTTGGTGGTGTATGGCGTGGCTTTGCAAATGCTGGTGGATTTAGCAGTGGGATTAAAGAGGTTTTGCCTCCTTGGGATGTCAGTTGGTTCGTGAACTTGTCACTGAGAATGGAATTCGCACGATTCTGGTAACCCAGATTTATTCCGGATCCCAGCTGACTCTTTGCTAATCGCAGCCAAATAGCCACTCTAGCGAGACCAGCGAAAAATGGTGAGTAAGGCTTAAAGGAGGGGGCCATTCAGTCTACCATTTTATTTTCTAGTTTCAGGCAAGCGCGATGCGCGCAATTTTGATTAAATTAAACCCTCCCTCATCGTTATCCTCTGAATGGAAATGAATTAAAATGAATTTTTGCAAATAAGATTGCAAATAAATAAGATTGCAAAAAGTGGGGACAAAAAGTTTTAGTTCTTGGACAGTAACCGTGCGATTTGATAAAAAGGAAAAAAGGTTAGCGAGTAAAGTGAAGCGGCATCGCCCAGTGCAAGTGTCGCGTTATCATCGAGTTTTCAGTTCGTCTAAGAATTGCTCTGATAAAAGTGTTCGTAGCATTCGCGATAAATTTATCGCTTAGTTATTTTTAGATAGTTTCGTTTTTGCAGGGAAATTTCACAAAGATACGATGGCGATTTCAGAGAGTCAGAACGCGTTATTTGCTGTTTTTTTAGCATTTCTTATGGTCACGACGGGCTCAATAAACACACTTGCCGGCAAGTATGGTTTTAAACATACATTATAAATCAGTATCACTTCTTGCAAGAGCATTCGTCGTTTCCGGTTTGTGTTGAATAAATCATTTTCTTATAGAATTACAGAATTCCTGTAGAATGAGGAGAGAAATTCAGGCAGATCCGTAGCAACTCAAAAGGGCTGCTGGATGATATGAAGAAGATAAAGGGAGCATTGTTAATAAATTGTAGCAAAAAAAGTGCAGCTGGATTTGACGAGGTGTTAAGGAAGAAAGAATAGCAAATTTTAGAGGGGCATCAGAAGGTTCTAACTTATTGTAGCAATGGCGAAGAGCATATCCGATGCATATGCTAATGTTTTTATTTCAATGATAAACAAATATTTGATTAGCATTTGTTTTCTGCGGTTTTGTAGTTTTGTAACGGATGCTAATGAATCATATTTATTCAATAAATGAATTTATGAATTGTATATTTATGAGGGAGTCCTATGACAGTAGTATTAGTTGTAACTCAGAATATCATACTGAGTGCTGACTCCGTTAGGAGTAAATCTGCCGTCAAGAAATTCAGCGTGCTGTTTGGGATTCTTTTTGTAGTTTCCCAGCAAGTTTTTCTAACCATATGGATAAAATGTTAATCGCTTATACGCTTACCTTATATTTAATTTTTTGTAATATTAACTAATTTTATAATTCATGAAAAATTTTAAATAACTTTAAAATTTTATTATTCAAATTAAATCTTTCTCACGTAATATATTATTAATTATTTAGTTTATGATTCATTTTAAATTATAAAATTGATGATTTTTTTTGAAGAAACTGAATTTTTTTGGCATTATTGCCTATTCTTTTGGAAAATTGTTCAACATTTCTTGTTATATAGATAAATGAAAATGCAAATATTTGCTTTATTGAACTCAATTAAATGATTCCAGTTAAACAGTTTTTTTCCAGGCGCTCTCACTTTTTATTAAATTGGCTTTAGTAACTGATTGTTAATATAGGACGTCTTCGCCAAAAAGTCTTGAGAATAGAAATATAATTTACAGGACCGGGTCTCGTTTTAAATGACAAATTTACTGCTGTCAAATAATAGTTACAAGGAGAATGAATAGTCAAAAGCGAATAAGGACATCACAGTTTCTTATATGCCCTTATTTTTCAGGCACATTGTAAAAGTATTAGAATATTTATGGAGTGTGCGGTCCAAAAATTTTTGATTATGTTGACAAAAAACAGCTAGCAGGTAGTGAATATGAAGAAATAAATGTTTTCACTTTAGAATAAACTGGGTGGAATAAAAAAAAAATTTCGATGCATATTAAGAAAAATTTTGTGGCGACAAGGAAAACTTGATTTCAAAAGAGCAGTGTGAAGAAATATAACAGGGCTGAGGGCATTAAATGGTTTTAATAATGCGTCAAAAGTTTGGATTGTTATGGAACTTTATGGAACTTGGCAGAGTGTTAATGAGAGTGACGATGTTTGAAGAGCTTAACAAAGTTTGATGGTGTGAAAATGATGATGGTATTGCTAAAAACTTAGGGTTTAGGGATGAGAATTTGAAGTCTTAACTTTTAATAATAATTAGTTTATTAGTTTTATGCATGGTGATACAATGGAATAATAAAATGAAAAGCCAATGCAAGATAACGAAAGGAACGTGGGAAGGGTAAATTCATAACAGTTTTTGGACTATCAAATTGGTTTAGAAAAGTTCTATACGAGTGTTGAGAAAGGTGTTTTGTCAAATAATAGGATATTAAGAGAATTTTGCTATGTTCTAAAGCAGCCATTGCAAGGATGTGACGGAGTTTGAAGGTGCTAAAATGTGGTATATAAGGGGTCCATAGGGAAGTTTAAAAAGGATTCGTTCGATGGTGTATTAAAGGAATGTTGCATAAATTTAAGAAGCTGGAAAAAATGGTTGGGAGGATGTGCATGTTGTTCACGAGCTTAAAACAGAGTTCAAGAAGGTGTTAAGGATCAATAAAATTGTAGGTTTTATCAATATAGTGAACAGGGCATAAAAGGATTATAGTTTGGCTTAGAGAATACGAGGAATATAATATAGAGGAATATGAGAATTTGGGTGATACCAAAGAATAATGGTGATGTTCAAAAAATATCCTAAAATATCTTAAATGGTTTGATAGGGCTAGTTCTTGAGTGGATGTTAAGGTTAAATTTAAAGGAATTTTTAGGAAATTTAAAGGAAATGAGTGGATGTTAATTTAAAGGAAAGAAAATGATGAGGGATTTTGGATTGTTTTTTCTGGATACATCATATTTCGTAACAGGCAAAACAATAGATAAAAGAGAAGTGCATTGTTTGGGAAACGGTTTTTGATCGTTTCGTATGTAACGACTAATTTTATTATTTCTTATTTTTAGTCATTGGGTAACATAAAAACAGTAAATGGAATAATAATTTTAAGATAAGGCGATTTTGTTAAATGATTTTTGGATGTACGTATTTTTATGCAGTAATTTTTTATTATTGGAAAATTTTTCGATCAAAATAAATTATTGTCAAAATGATGAAAATTTAAGGAATCAAATAAATTGATGCGTCAAAATAAATTGTTTTATTTTATATTTTTTTCATAATGAATTTTTCATAGATGGGCCGATAGCATCAAAGTCGATGGCAAACGCTTCAATCATCCTTTTGTACAGGTTATTTTTATTATTCTCGATTGAATTTTATTTATTTTGTTGATTTCTGACTATTTAATATTTGTATTAATATTCATACGAAACTGTGAAATATAGTTTCGTTATGTCGGTTTTTTCAAGATTAATCATTTTAAATTTACCCATTTATTTTTTTTTCTTGAAAATTTTCTTTGTATCCAAAATATGAATTCATGTTTAAAGAATATTTTAGGTAATTTTAAATTTTTTCCTGCAAAACAACAACAGTGATTTTTTTGCAGTCGATATGCATGTTTATCGGTGAATTTTCTTGCCTCGTAGTTTATTTCATGATTTATTTCATTCGTCGTTACAAGTGGAGGCAGATGGGTGTTATAGGAGAAGAAGGTCGTATTGATGATCTTAGTTCTATAGAAGAACCGAAATTACCTGAAGTTAATCCGTTTATCTTTGCGATTCCCGCAACATGTGACATCATTGCGACATCAATTATGTATATTGGGCTTAATCTTACTCAGGCTTCATCTTTTCAGATGCTTAGAGGTTTATATTTTCATTATATTTCATGTTATATTGAATTATTTTTAACATTCACATTTAAAAAATTAAAATAAATTTTTTAAATTAAGTAAATATGGGATAAATATGATGAAGTCTGTTTGAAATAATATTAATTTTTTTAGGAGCAGTCATAATTTTTACTGGCTTGTTCTCAGTGGCTTTCCTTGGCTCTCGTCTGCAAGGATTCAGATGGTTTGGTATGGGTTTTGTAACTGTAGGATTGGTTATTGTTGGCGTTAGTGATATAATTTTTGATAATAATCCCAAAGATGATTTAAATGGTATTATCACAGGTAATTGCTCTTTTTTACTATCTTTCTATTTTGGGCATGTTTGTCAGAGTTTTTGAATGAATGAATCAAATGGTTTTCAAAATCTAAACAAAAATCAACTTGAATGAATCGAAATCAATCTAAATCAACTTAGGGGATCTGCTTATTGTCATGGCGCAAATTATTGTTGCAATACAAATGGTTGTTGAACAAAAATTTCTGAATAAATATGACGTGCCGCCATTATTGGCTGTTGGATTAGAAGGTATCTTTACACTTTTTACTGAATATTTTATTGAAATATTTGAATTATTAAAAGGTTTATATATTTTTGTAACATCTAAAATCTTTTGGCCATTTTTTTGCCCATTTAAACCGATGATTTACATTTTATTACTTCGAAGATGAAAATTATATGGATTTTTTCCATTCAGTTCGGTTTATAAATTTTCAAAACTATTTTAGGATTTTTTGGCTTTATAATCCTAGTTGCATTGTTATGTCCTATGTATTATATAAAAGTACCATCAGCTTTCTCGACGAATCCATACCATCGCTTAGAAGATATTTTCGAGGCATTCAAGGAAATAAAGCAAAATAATTTAATATTGTTGCCACTCTGTCTTACCATTGTTAGGTAATTTTACAATTATTATTACTGTAAGAAATTTTACAATTATTACTATAAGAAATCGTGATGAAATTGTTCAAGAAACTTTCATATCTTTTTATTTTCAAAATTTTCTTCAGCATTGCTTTCTTCAATTTTGCTGGAGTAACAGTGACGAAAGAGTTATCAGCAACTACTCGAATGGTGCTGGATAGCGTAAGAACACTTGTTATTTGGATTTTTTCAATACCGCTTTTCGGTGAAAAATTTATTCCCGTTCAGGTTATTTTATTCTTTTATTTTATTTATTTTATTATCATTGTCAACAGATCATTTAATCTTAAAACCATTTAAATTCTTCAGTACATTATTAAATAAATTTAGCTAATCGGATTTTTCCTGCTCATTCTTGGAATGTTCGTTTATAATGATATCTTAGTGGGACCCCATATTCGAAACCAGGTATTTTGTTTAATAATGCGGCCTTCAATATTTTCGATAATTTTCTTGGAATTTGAGTTTAACAAATAAGTATAATTCTTTTCGAATTGTTTCCAGTTTGCATAATTATTTAGGTGCTTCCACGTATGTATGACAATTCCTTTACAAGATGGTCTATGTCATTTTGGGGCTTGGAAGATTTTCGGCAGTCTGATAGAGAATCAATAATTAATGATGTTGACGATGATAACTAACAACTGAGATGTTCAGGAGGTAATAGCCGTAATATAAAAATATTTTTTTGTTTTAAAGCATTTTAAAATTTCCATCCAATTCGTACCATTCAAATATCAATATTATTTCTACAATATTCATTCGGGTTTTTTATTATATATTTCTTAGATTTTTTGCAGTTTTTCCAAGCAGTGTTTGGTTATATGATTATATATAAGATTTATAAAGGAGAAATTTATCAAGGAGAAATTTGAAAGAAAATTTTGGAAAATCTTGAATTTTAAGCTTGAAATTCCCACTTTTCAGTTTTCTAATGGTTTATTAATCATATTAAAAAAGTTTATTCAATTATTCAGTTTGTATCATTTAATATATCGGTGGTTTATCAAGTTTTTTTCTTTATTCGATTGTAATTCTTGCCTTGTTTTAATTTTTTTATCTTAATTTGTTAGTGCAATATTATTTAATTTTCGGTTCTTTTTTTAAATTGCAGATTATTTCAAGCTTCAGTTCGATTGTTTTTTTTATATTTTGAGTACTTTTTATATTTCTATATTTCTTAATGAACTTACATATTTCTTAATACCCTATATTTCTTAATGAACTTTTGTTCAAAGATTGTTTTATCAACATGAAAATATTCTCAAATCATTTAAGAGACGAGAGAGACGAATCAGGCAAAGTTAGTTTCATTTTGATTCTTCAAAATATAGGGTTTTATTAGATAAATCAAAAAATGAGATATATGACAATTTATGATTTACTTTTATAGGAAATATATGTGGATATCAACTCGTATCCAAAGCTTCTTTTTTTTAAAAAATGCTTAAATTTTATTCTGTTCAGTGCATGGAGAATTTGGGAATTTAGGGAAATTTGGCAAAATATAGAAATTATAATTCGACTTGAATATACAGTCCAGTGGGGTTTGTTTTGTTTGAAATTTTTAGATTTTGGTCAAATTGTTGGTATTATAAGCTATAGTACTATAGTAATTCATGGAATTTTCTTCAATTTTTAGAATTCTTTCAGAATTTTTTTCAGAAGACCAAAAATTTTTGAGCAGTTTCAACAATTATTGAAGTTGTACTTAAGGTATGTGTGAATCATTTTTTTACTTTAATGGTTAGCTTGGAAATATGACCTTATTCAAAAAAAAATATTCAATTTGACGACTATAAACTACATTGATCTTGAATGTTTATCAAGTAAAAAATGTCCCAATTATTGCTTTTTTTCGCTACGCCTCATCAGCTGAAGAAAGAAATTTTATCACTAAAACAATTTCTTATTTAACATCTTATCTTGCCAGCTCTTTTGATTGTTGAGAACTGATTCATTTGCTTCTGCTTCGATTTTTTTTTGCACCACGCATGTTATAATTAGTTCTATTTTAATTTAAAAAAAAGTTCTCAAATGGAACGTGCAAGGAAATCTGAAAAGATGGCATCTGTTCAACGAACAAGTTGCTCTGGGTTTCAAAAAATTTTCATTATAGTACGAGTTGCGCGTAAATTTCGTTAGAAGCCAGTCATTTCAGATGAAAATGGTACTGGAAAATAGTAAGAAGTTGTGGTTTTAGAAAAACTCGGGATTGGTTATTTGTTTCAACTTTTTCTAATATATTAACGACTGAATGAAGATTTTTCCATTCTTCCGATTATTCTATTTATCATAATCATAATTTTTTAAAATGACTAAAGATAAATCGTTTGTCTATTCAGTTTGTTTGAGAAATTTTTTAATCTTTTAAACAAATAAATTTTATGAAGATTGTTAAATAGTTTTCTCGATTTATTTCATTCAATCAAAGTTTTGGCGCTCGCGATTCAGTTTTCCTGCATTATTAATTTTTTTCATTTTTAATTGAATATTCAAAGAACTGTAATACTTTTTTACGGTCTAATAATTTGATTCATGTTTTAGTACATTGTTGGTACAATGAATAAAAATCATCGTCAAATGAATGAGAATGCCAATCGAATCGACGCAGTTATTCAGTTGAACAGTAATGAACAAGATAAATTGGCAATTGGGTTTCAAAATGATAATAAGTCTGATCGAAGGAATTCTGGAAGATTTTTCGGTTTTTTGTTGGCTTTATTACTTGTCATCACAGGATCAGTGAATACACTGGCTGCTAAGTATTACTTCTTTGATTTTTTGAATATTTTATTTTCACTAAACGATTAAATGTGATTTTACAGAATTGCAGATGGGCTGATAATATCGTTATTGATGGAAATAGTTTAACTTTTGATCATCCTTTTTTTCAGGTAAATATTACGTTCAGTTATGCGGTCATTTATCAAATTTTAAAAGTTCATCATTAATTTCTCAAATTTTTCAAATTTGTTTAAAACTTCATTGATTTCATTGCTTTGCTTTCATTAAATTGTTATGAAAATAATTTTAATAATCTGCATTAAACATTAAATTATGAAACATGTAAATTTTCAAGGCAGATATAATGTTCATTGGTGAAATGTTATGCATGGTAGTATATTTTGTTATCCTTTTGGTGCAACGATATCGATGGAAAAGACAACATGCAGCAAATCCATCTCGAAAATCCTGTGGTGAAGATCAATTCAAACTTGAAACCGAAGGAAATCTCTTAACATCATCAACATTTCCTACGATTCCTCGGTTCAACTATTTTCTTTTTGCAGCTCCAGCTGCTTGTGATGTGGTTGGAACATCACTTCAGTACCTCGGTTTAAAACTTACAAGTGCTGCTTCGTTTCAGATGCTTAGAGGTTTTATTCTTGTCTTCTCGAACTCTTATTGCATTTTTTTGAATTTTCTAATGAATTTTTTGAAGGTGTCTTATTTTTTTAATTTTTTAAAATTATCTTGTTTATTATGTAATTATTTTTCAGGGGCTGTTATCGTTTTCACTGGGGTTTTGTCGATGATTTTTTTAAGGACAAGGTTGCAAGCCTTTCGATGGGTAGGAATAGCTTTTATTGTGATTGGATTGCTAATTGTTGGCGTTGCTGATGTGATGTTCTCTGGAGATGAAAAAACAGAAAACACGATTAATGTTATTTTTGGTTGGTTTAATTTTCCTTGAATATCATTTAGTATAAATCATTTATTGATATCATTTATTATCTCATGAAAATTTTAGTTTTTACTCGTTACTGGTTGCGGATGGCGAATGATGAATTTTGAAAATCGTTTTCAGAAATTCTGGGGGGAGAAACCAAATCATGCGAACCGTAGATTCTGAAACAGTGTAATGAAAAAAATTAGACTGAGGACTTTCTAATCGATTGTTTGTATCGAATCCTTAACTCTTTTTTGTTATAGTATCGTATTTATCATTCGTCATGTACCTCAAACTTGGGTAATTAAACTTTTATTTAAGTAATTTAGATAACAATATAATCATAAAAATAGATAACGATGTTATTACAATATTTACAACACAATACGATATTATATTACAATATTTTACCAAATGACCTAAACCGAAAAAAAAACAACTAAAGAAATTATAGATAAAACCATAAAACTGCTAAACCACCCTCACCCTACCTACCGCATCAAAACTGAAATAAAATTACCCCCATAAAGGAGAAGAATCGAAAACGAAATCGCGGCCGCAGCCATGCTTTGATTGGTCCTAAATTGTATTATCGATTCTGCTCATTTTCCTGGAGGGGCTTTTCACGGCCAAGCTCGAATTGTTTCTCGTGTTGTCGACGTATTTCTGATGGATAGATCTATTAAGTTGATTGGTCAACTCGTTGTTCGGTTGTTAGCCAATCTCAGTGAAACTGAACGTATTTTGCCATCGGAACTTCGATGTGACTTTCACTGCGATGTTGGAATGGAATCTGCCAAAACAACAATTTCATCTATCTGAGGTGGTTTTGTAGTTACTCTTGATTGGCTGAGTAAACTCGTCTACACGCAAAATTTATATATATTTTCTGCACTTCAAAAATGTGTGATTATTCTAGTATTCTTCGTCCAATTTTTGGCAATTTGATCTCTCGTATCTTTATTTTCTATTTCATATTTCTTGTATAAAACGTGTTCTACGATCCATGACGCGTTTTGTTGCATAAGTAAGTCACGTGGACGAACAAAATCAAGATTTTCTTTCGTTATGTAGCAAAGTGGTCGCTCGTTTACCACAGCTGCGATCTCATTCAAAAGGGTTCTGAATCGATCTCGGTCTATGATTCTATTTTCTACTATTACTCTTAATGTCCTTTTTATAATCCCAATTAAGCGTTCATAAACTCCACCAGCCCATACTTGGGAATGAATTTCCATTCCATTTTGTCCTTCGCTATATCAGCTTGTATTCTGTATATTATATCGTTTGATAAAGTTTTTTACATTGTCTGATAGTAATGATTTCAGTTTCCCTCTGAGCGAGATGAGATTTCTTAGCGAAAATAAGAAACTTCTGCTTTCAAGTCGTCAATGAGTTCCAAATGAATCGCCCTTGTGGCAAGGCAAATAAATAAGCGATTCAATTTTTATTTTGTAACCATCTTGTTTTATCCAAATCAGGCCCGCCACTTTGATATGTGAAAAATATTCGTATTTATGAAAATTTGTTCATCGTTGGTAATTCATATTGCTTGACTTTCCATTTTTTACAGTATATGCACTCATTGAATTTTTCCGATCGTTTGAGTGCATTTAGCTATCCAATTAGTTTTGGTTCTGGAGCACTGCTATGTGAGTCGATAATACTTATAATACTTGTTGATGATTATCCACGATTATTAATTTGGTTAATCGATGATTTCTAGGCAAAAAAAGATTCTCTGAATCTTTCTTTTATGGCTCACAAATCATTTTCAATTTTTAGGCCAAATTTATGGATATCTTCTTCCTTTACATTCTCTCTTTGAGCATATTGTATTTTTTGTGTAGTTATTGGATCCGTTGAATTCTCCCAATAATTTCGTGTTCTCTTATTAATAAAATTGATTAATAAGATTAATAAGATTGACAAAACGTAATACATAGGTCATTATCCGTAAGTCTTCAGATTACTGAATCTTTCATGATCTAATTTAGGTTGTAACATTGGTGCCATTTTTGACATCGTGAACACATGTGTTAGCTTATAAATTTCCAATTCACCATCTTTATTTTTTGAATCTCCTCATTTCTTTCTAATTGTAAATTGGCCATATAGTATTTATTTTCGTCAACCAGTCTGGTCCATGCCACCATAAAGTGTTCCTTTCAAGTCTTGTAATTTCAACCCTCTCGTTCCTATGTCTGCCGGGTTGTCTGTTGGCAGGATGCATCGGAAATCTGCTTTTAATTTTATCTCCAATATTCTGTTGTAAACAAATCGTAATCTTTGCAACCTTTCTTGGTTTGTAGATGTCCAATAAAATGTGATTTGACTGTCTATCCACACGATAACTGCGGATTTGCTCAACTCCAGCTGCTTAACTAGATAATTTCATTCCTACTCCAACAGCCACTGCCAACAGTTCTGTTCTAGGTATTGTTAATTGATTTATTTGAGTTAAACGACTTCTTGCAAAGATCAAATCGAATTTCCATTTCCATTTGTCTAACTTGTATCGCAAATATATATGTTTTTTGCATATGCTGACGCGTCGCAGAAGCAATGTATTTCCACTAATTTTCCTTTAAATCGTATCTAGCCTGGAAAAATGATAGTTTCCCAATCCGTAAATATATTGTTAATGGGTTGTTGTAATTCGGATTCCAGTTGATCATCCCATTTCACATTCTGCCGCCATAAATACTGCAGATGTAAGACTATAAGCCCAGTATATCCTAGTGGATCATATATCGAAGCGACATATTGTAACAATTGTCGTTTAGTGGCTAGTATATGACTTGAATTCGAAATCTGTGTCGTAAATGTTTCTTCCATATGATCCAGCCAATCCTAAGAACTTCATTTATTCATTCATTTATTGGGTTGTGCTGTGCTTATTTTCTATCGAAAAATTTTCGTTGAATTGTTGATCGTTACTTATTACTTACGAATTGCCGTATGTTCATTTTATATTACCGAATAAGTCCTTTAGTTCTTTGTATCGTTGAAGATATTGCTTCTCCAATATCTTTTGTAAATACCATAAAATTATCTACGTAAATATTTTTCAAAATCTCCTGTGCAACTAGTAAAGCAGTTGTGCGTAGATGTCGGTCGATTACTGCCGCTAATAAAAAAATCCGAAATCATTCCGAACGGAATCCTTGTAAAGCGATATATCTATACATTGTCCTTTCCTTTTGGTTTTCGGATATCCTTTAACCATAGGGATCGTGTGATGTTGCGGTCTATTGTGTTGAGTTCAGTTTGGTGGAAGGCTTTCTTTTTTGGCTCGCGCCGTAAATAATACGCCTATTAAATCATTGAACAATATCGGTCCTCAATAAATTATCGTTTAAGGATGCACCATTTCCATCCTTTGCGCTCGCATCGATACGTAGTTTCGTGCTCGTCTTTCTAATCGTAAACAGTGGGTGATGCAGTAGAGCCCTCACCATTACTGGTTAAACTCGTTCCACTGGCTCATCGCATTGGGCAATATGCCAGAGAGTCCTTTGGCGATAGAAATACAGGAGAGTCGCCAGCATTACCCAGACTCAGATTTTTGTACAGGTTTATTCCTGTGAAGAATTGGACCTTAGCATCGGTATTCCCAATTGAGCAATAACCCACTGAGCCATTCTACCCCCATGTGGTAGATAAAAAACTAAGTCGGAATTTGCTGAAGGTGATTCTACTTTCTCTATAATATTGTTCTAGAACTGCGAGGTAATGATTAGATCATACTCGTCTACTTTATTCCCGCCTGGATAGTTGCAGAGAGTCTTAATCGTCGCTTTCAAACGCCCGAGTGATTTGCTGTTGTAGAGTGATTTGGTAATTTTGGCTGTGTTGTTATCCATGGTATGTTGTCTCGGCATCGCCCTTCCCCGGTTATTTCCACACTGTTAACACATTGTTGAATAAACATTGTCTCGGTGCTTTGGTTCCCATTCGTACTGGTTTAAGCTAAGTTGTCATTCACTGCGAGATTAATAGTTGCTGTGTGTGATGGCAGATGGTGATTTATTGACCCATAACCTGCTGAAAAATTATCCGATCTTACTGTGATATAAATTAAAATCAGAAGTCAATCGTTTTGTCGTCCAATATCAAATCTTTCGAGAAAATCGATATAAATCATTATCTGTGGTTTCTCAGACACGATTGGTACCGAAAATTTCTTGCCTAAATTCAGTTGTTCGTGTGATAATTTCGCAATCTTTGCCGTTGAACCGGTCATGTTAACTTTTTTATCGTATACCTTTACTCTAATTGGTTCGTTCATTTCTGTTTTTATTTCGAAATTCACTTAATGAAATATGAATTGGATTAGAATTTCTAAACGTATTTATCATCATTTCTCTTTCTTAACAAGTCAAATTGAGTCTGTTTGCCAGAGATTCAGTTATTAAGAATATAAGTTGTGCTCCAGTGTCAAATAGTAATAACGTTTTCATACACTGGGAATGTGGATCATCTGGATTTCGAATTTTGCCCTCGCAAAATATCAGTAATGATCTCTATGTTGTTCATTTTGGTTGTATAATTTTTATGATTATATGTTATGGTTGAGAAGTATTAAGATTCTTACACAACGCTGATAAGTGTTGACTGTTGACACTTGCAATAAAAACACTTTGCTTTATAATTGCTAAGATTTAAGCTCAACCCTATCATTGATTTGTCTTCTCGTACTTCTTTCAAACCGCTTTAATACACTTCTCTAAGTTGGCTCCTTGCTAATTCCTCGTTATTTCGGTCATTTCGTAGCGCTTTATAACCAGTTGCAAATTCCACATTTTCAATTGTTCGTATATCTTGGATTCGGAACTTGATCATCGTAGACATTTCAAGTTTGGTAATCTTTTAATAAAATTTCGTACAGTCATTTGAGAATCATCAAGTAAAAAAAGGTAAAATAGCGGTAACCCTTTTAAATCGAATTCATAGTCCTCGTTATTCGTTCCCCAGCTCAGCCCCATGTAACGAAAAAAGTTGGATTGGGCACTTCCTATTCGACTGTTTGTATCGAATCGTTAACTCTTTTTTCGTTATTGTATCGTAATTATCGTTCATCATGTACCTCAAACTTGGGTAATTAAATCTTTATTTAATCTTTATTTAGATAACAATATAATCATAACAATAAAATTAGATAACGATATTATTACATTACTATATACTACCAAATGACCTGAACGAAAAAAGAATAAAGAAATTACAAGTAAAGCCATGAAATTGCTAAACTACCCTCATCTCACCTACCGCATCAAAATCGAATTAAATTGCGCCCATAAAGGTGAAGAATTGAAAACGAACTCGCGGCCGCAGCCAAGCTTTGGTTGGCCTTCAATCGATTATTGATTTTACTTATTTTTGAGCACAAAGGGCTTTATTATTTATTGTTCATTTGCAGAGTGCTTATTAGAAACATTAAAATTTGCTGAAATGATCTTTACTTATTTGTTTCAAATATGATTCATTGTTGATAATTTGATAAATTTATCTCGGAACACTCATCTTAATATGAAAGTGTTGAAAAGTATTCTGCATTGTTTACTTTCTATATACTTTTTTTTTACTGAAGATTTAATTTAATTTCAGGTGATGTCATTATCGTTATCTCACAGGTTATTGTAGCAGTACAAATGGTTCTAGAGCAAAAAATATTGATGAAATCTGATGTACCGGCCTTACTTGCTGTCGGTTTGGAAGGTTATTTCAAATTTTTTATATTACTATATATTATTGTATGCAGAAGTTCATATTCATTATTAAAGTTACTTTATTGATTATTGTTTGTGATATACATGTTTTGTACTTGCCAACCAGCCAAAATAAATAAATGGTTTGTTCTCACCATTTTTCATTAAGGTTTCTCCACTGGGTATTTAATAGGATGCGGTAATTTTAGGAAAGGGTCACTTGGGGATTTTTATATGCAGTTATATATGCTTAATGCCTTTTGCCTTAATGCTTATTCGAAAAATGTCATTCCCATCAGCTAATTTTTTTAATGACAAGTTTAGTCATTATCAAACCATGAAATGATAGTCTAGGCTACAATTTCACATTCTTTTTCCATCATTCCGATTCAAAACCAAAATTATGGACTGGTACTGTTGGTGCAATTTTTTTGGCAGATATGGTATCAAAAATCATTTACTCATTTATGCAGTGGAAATAAATTATACTAATATAGCTTCAAATTGACATATTAACAAATTTCAGGAGTCTTCGGCTTCTTAATCTTATCATTTTTGTTAATTCCAATGTATTTGATTGTGCCTCCTTCTTTTTTACGTCGACCAGGGAATCATTTGGAAGATATTTTAGATGCATTTTATGAAATATCTCGTAGTTCCGAACTTGTTGTTTCCCTTTTAACGATTATTGCAAGGTGATTTCGCACTTTCCGTTTAGTTTTTTTTCGAATTTATGTGGATGAAGTGCTTTTAATTTAATCAACATTCCATTTATAATATCATTAACTGTTAATTACAATGAAGTCATTTTCAGTAGATTTCTACATTTTGCATTTTTTCCATTCAGCTAATTGCATTTTTTCAGCATAGCTTTTTTTAATTTTGCGGGTATATCTGTAACTAAATATATGTCTGCAACAACTAGGATGGTACTTGATAACGTTCGAACTTTCATCATTTGGGGTTTATCTGTATTTCTTTTCCACAGCAGATTCATACCTTTGCAGGTATTCTATCCTATTCGTTTTTTTTTTTTTCAGCCTGGAAATGTATAAATGTGCTTTATCAAGTTCGAATGAAATACAAATATAAATGAAATGAAATACAATACAAAAATTCTAACTTATTTATTTTATACCTGTTTCAGATGAAATTCTTTTCAGGTTCTCGGGTTCATATCACTCATCTTTGGTATTTTTATATACAATGATGTATTCTTATTGCCTTATATTCGAAAAATGGTGAATTTTTCATTCTTAAGCCTTAAAATTAATTTTAAATTTTTTCCTATAATACGATAGCATAGTTTTTTCATAGTTCCATTTATTTGGGGTTTATCTATATTTCTTTTCCGCAGCAGATTCATATCTTTGCAGGTATTCTATTTGTTTTTTTTTTTCAGCCTGGAAATGTATAAAATGTGCTTTATCAAGTTTGAATGAAATGAACAGTACAAAAATTCTAACTTATTTATTTTATACCTATTTCAGATGAAATTCTTTTCAGATTCCCACAAATAATACGCTATTTTATTGGAAGAATTTATTATTTATAAGTTATTAAAATAATTAATTTCATAAATTATTTTCAGAAATTTTTTTCTCGAATTTTTTTAAATTTTAATTTAATTTTTAAGTTTTTTAATATTCTCATTATTTCTTAAAATATTTCTAAATATTAAAGTATAATATAATATTTAAAATATAAATATTTTGATAAATTATTTTCAGAAATTTTTTTCTCGAATATATCCTACGGAACAAGATGCCGAAATCACAAAATTTTAAATAAACTGCAATTATGACAAAATTATCATTTTCAAAATGGCAATATATGATTTTATTGGTCACAGTTAGCTTTGCATTTTCGTTATTTTTAACTTCTCCGAGTGGATTTTAGAAGTCAATTTATTAATTAGCAGATAAAAATATTAAATTATGTTTTTTCAGTTCAATAATTTAAATTTTATTGCTATCTGTTACTTTCTTTAATATTTAATATAAATATTTATATTTAAAATATTTAAAATTTTGATGTTTTGATTTATTTGATATTTATGTTGTTTTTTTGTGTGCATTTTTTTGTAAACTTTTTCTTTTAGTTATTTCTTACTTTAAAAAAAGTCGAAAATAAAGTGGTATATCTTTGAAGTGAACATAATATTAAAGGATAATTGACCAGAATTTAGATTTTTGCATCGTAATAATAAAAGAAATTTGAATCTCTAAAATGGAATTTATTGTTGCCTAATATTCAAAGCAAAGGTGGATCGTGCACGATAGAAATATTCTTATTATTATATCATTAGTTACTCTGCCAAGAAATTTCACGCATTGATATTTTTAAATTGTTGATCATCTGTATAATGATCTACCTGTGTCATTATTTGCATTTCAAGCTGGAATAAACAGTATCCATCGAATGTAATTGTACTTTCCAACATCCACAGAACTAAACTGAAAATTTTACTGTGGTTACCTTAGATTTTTGCCTTTATATGGAATAAAATTCAAGTCGCTTTTTAGAGAAATAAGCGTATGAGTGTAGAAAGGCTCGTTTCCGAGCGTCGATGTTGGTCTTCTACTCCTCGCAAGAGTAAACCTGCCCAAAAATCTTGGTGATGCTGGCGACTCACTTGTATTTCTATCGCCAAGGGAATCTCTTGCATGTCTGTCTAGTGCGATAAGCCAGCGAAGCTAGTCTAACCAGTAATGGTTAGGGCTCTTTAAAAAAAGTAAACATATAGCGACCACTTTACCCGTTATTACTTGACTCTTCAAGTTGTAGCAGAGGTTTCGGATTCGAGCAGCTTAATTTTTTAACTATCGGCTCTAACTACTGGAGCTCTTTGTTGTTGGTGGGCAGAATACTATGATCTTTGTTAATAAATGCAGAAAATATTTTGTACCTCGAATAAAATATTTTTTTGTTTTTAGCTTATATGGAATATAATATTTTTTTGCGACGAATTTTAAAGAGTGATGATTTAGTGGCTACATTATTGAGGTCAAATGTCAATCGGACGAAAACTGTCGTTATCGATTACTCATCGCCAAACTTAGCCAAACGATTTCATATCGGCAATCTCAGGTTCATTTTTATTTAAATTCGTTTTATTATTCACGATGGATGAATTTGTACGTGAATTCATTATCGCTAGTTTGTTCATTTAATGATAACACAATACGTTGTTTGGCGAATTCACATAATTTTAAGTTATTTTGCTCTTTATTATTTTTTTATTATTCTTATTTTATCATTATTACCATTATTTATTCCACAATCAAGCGATGAAATTGTCAATTATGTAGGCAGCATTTTAGAAGGAAAGAATATAGAAATATGAAAATGTGACTTGTCGCTAATTTTGTTCACGTAAATTGCAAGAAGCTTTTTGTAGTATCCATCGTATTCCAGCAGCAGGTGCTGTACTGGTTAGGCTAACTCCTTTGGTTAAATAAGTAAGGCGTTTTTATACGACTCGATCTGACCCTAAATCTGAGAGGAGCAGAAGCCACTCCTTTTTTTCCACCGTCTAAACCTGTTATTACTGGCCAATCCTTCAAATTCCTTCCTAACTATCCGCATCACTCCAAGTCTTATTTGGTTCTCCTCGCTTTTGACGCTATTGGTTATCGAGATATGCATTAATTTCTGCTATGGGTGGTGAGCATGGCTTAACCACCAGAGATGACACTCTATGATGATATTTTTAATGCAGATGATATTCGAGTGAATGTAGATATAATAGAATTATCCGCTTGGCGAACATGTAAAATGCCTTAGATATAACTGGTAGATAGCTTTTTTATATCCTCCGTTCTTTTTGGCCGCAGTTATATATGAAGATAGTACGCATAGTACCGGACTGATGCGAACTTTCGTTTTGGCAGTGGTTTTGCCAGGCGAAAGAATTTCGCTTATTCATTTGGTATAAAATTGGATTCAAGATAATGGTAAGAAAGAAATTTTTGAATTTTTTCTTTAATTAATTCATTTTTCTAGGTCAACATTACTTGGCCGTTTCATTGATTCAATAAATCGTAAAGCAGGAAATAAAATTGTTTCCATTAATTATTTAGGAGATTGGGGAAGACAGTTTGCATTAATCGCTGCAATTTGGCCTGATGTAAAACCTAAAGTAATTTTATTTTCATGTCAGTGATATATGCCTTTTAATTTCTTACTTTATTATTTTGAACTTTTCTTCATGTCATATTTTTTCTCAGAAGTTGTAGAAATAATAACAAATCAATTGAATGAAAAAAAAGAATACTTCGTTATGTAGACGACTATCATTTACTGATAAAAAAAGAATGAGGCCACGAATGAGGAGAAAAAAGTGAAAGAATTCATTTTATTATAGTCATTGGACAAACTTACTGATTTGGAAAAAGTTAAATTTTATACGAAATGCTATGTTGAAGCAACAAATAGAGCCGAAATTGATGGAGAGTTTAATCGAAAGGTGCAAAAAATTTATGAAGAAATGGAGTTGGCAATGGCTTCAAATGATTTAAATGCCAAAATTTTATCGCTTTGGAAAGATATTCGACGAGTTTCATTGCGACATCTCAAAAATTTTTACAAGTAATAAATTATTTCATATCCAATTATGTTTTTCATCTCTTTTCTTCATGTTATACTATCTTATTTTTCTTTATAGAATATTGGAAATTCTTTAAAATCTAGTTTTCTTAAGTCATATTTATGGGCTAATATGTAATTTTGGACAGGTTTACTCCTGTGGGGAATTGAACATTAGTATCGGCGCTATATATATATATTCATAACACCAATGCAAAGTGGCTGCAAGATTTGAAAATAATCAAGAGCAGAAACCAGCTACAATTGCTGACATCCAACAACGACTTAAAAATATGAAAAGCTGGACAATCTGGTGCTGGCTAATGAGAAGCTAAGAGCAGTTTATGAGCGTCTAGCGACGCAGATGAACCAGCTGCTTGTGGCAGGCTCTCATACTGGTTAACATAAGGAAGGACGGCAGTGATCATGAAAGACGCTCATAGGAGAACAACTCTGCCCAACTATTGACCAACAATTTGTCTACCCACAATGTAGAAGGTCCCATCAGGCATCATAGCGATCAAGCTTCATGACCATATGAGCCAGTATATGAATGTAGTTTAAAAAGGCATTGGGAACCCCAGAGACTCCAAATACCAGCTGCTTATAAGACAGTCATTTTATCCCAGGCAGATCAGTCTTGGATTAACTATAGGAAAGTCTATGATTCAATGTCCTACACATGGATTTATAAATGTCTGGCTCTATACAAAGTGAACGTCGATGTAACACAGATCTACAACGAGAAGATCTGGATGTCACGGATTAGAGAAATTTAGCCGGATGGTAAATTGAATGAAAGTAGTAATGGCTAATGAAGTAGACATGCCATCAGCATATATAGTGAACATACAGGCTAACTATAAGTACCGTGGTATCCTACAGTCACATGGTAACCATGATGAGGAGTGCAACATCTAAATATCACCAAAGGACAAGACAAATCTTGAAGAGCAGTGGGACGAGTAAAATCCATACCATAAATATATATATATATATATAATCTGCCAGTCATCAGGTATGCAGTTGGTATTATAAGATGAGCAAAGGAAGATATGAAGGCTGCTGGTCTAAAGACTATGAAACTCCTCATAATGCATGGAAATTTCCACCTCATGTCCACTATCCAAAGGCTGTACATCAGCCAAAAGAAAGCGGGTGGGTCTTGATGAGTGTGAAAGCTATCTTGAACGAAACTCAAAGCATTCACAAATATATCAGCAAGATGGCACCAAAAGATAAGCTGCTGAGAAAATGTAGAGATAACCGAAAATGATAAAGGAGAGGACAAACGATGGCAAAGCAATACCCTCCCTGGATTGACCATCGATAGATAGCTGAGGTAATCGACATTGTGAAATCCTACCAATGGTTGGAGAAAGCTGGATTAAAAGTACTGAGGTATTGATTACAGTAACACAGGAGTACGCACTAGCCACCAGATCCATCAATAACCAGAAATAAGATCTAACACTAAGTGCAGACTGTGCAGAAATGCTCAGAATTAGTCCTCCTTTTTCTAATATTTCTCACCATTACTGGTTAGGCTAGCCGCACTGGCTACAAAGGTAGCATGTTTCCAAGCGGCGCGATCTGATACCATCATTGATGGTAATAGAAACCATTCCTTTTTCTATCGCCTGTCTATGCTTCCAAAATCTTTCCTTACCATATCAGTCCAGGTCTTAATTGGTCCATCTCGCTTTTGACGTCACACATCACGGGATTTAGCAAGTAACGAAATATATGTGTCAACTCTTGTGCTGAGCGACGAAGAACATGTCCTAACCAGCGAAGGCGACGATCTGTGGTGGTACTATACTATTAATACAAGTATTTGAGCGAAGGTGAATGCGATCGTGTGAGATTTTATCCACTCGGTAAAATGTACCTTAGATATGAGTGGCTAGAAACAGTCCAACTCATAATGGCAGGATAAAATTCAAGCAGGAAAAACATTCACTGGATGGCATAACCAAGTAGCTGGCATCGTCTACAGAAACATCTGAATATCTCAATATATGGCTAAACCCCCCTCCCCCCCAAGAAATGGGAGATTTCTCAGAAAATCGTAGAGAATAATAAGGCGAAGATCTTATGGGACTTCTCCATACAGGCATACATACTGGCCAATCAACCAGTGATAACTGGAGCACTTAATCCTTATAACTTCTAAACTAGAAAATTGGTTCAACCAATTGAAAATTGATTTTAGGAACAAAATCAGAGATCTTTATCCAGAAGAGCGCTATTAGGAATAGCTAAGATATTGCGCAGAATCAACCTTCCAGGCCTGGTGTGATGACCTAAGGTTGAGGTTAATCACAGCCGCTCATAGTGGATGAGAAGATGAGAAAAAAGTTTTTTTTTATATATATCATATAATGCAATGAAAAATTTTTACCAGGGAAACGTTTGGTGACAGTAATGCAGATAGGTTTCAAAAATCCATTATTTTGAATTTTTTAAAGTTATTATCAAGATATCTACATCCGAATTTGAACCTTGAAACTAGAGATAAGGGGATTGATAGTTCGAATAATATCCGCTTGTTCCAGTATACATTTTAAAAATTTAAAATGAATTTTAGGGAATTGGGCGTTGAATTTGACGAATTTAATTCAGAATCAGAAAATGTTCGACCGGCTCATGAATTGATTAACAATCTCGTACGAATTGGCTTTGCAAAAGTTATTTCCGATAAAACAACTGTTGTCGAGGAAGAGCAGTCTGCTAATAACATTATTTTGCGAAAATCAAATAATGGTACACTATATTTATCCAGGTGAATTATCCATAGTTTCTTGGGTACAAATATTTTTTTGCTTGCTTTATTATTTTTTATGTTCCTTCTTTAACTATGCCTGAAGCATCGAAACATTTTATATTATTTAATTAGTGACATTAGAATTTTTTTAAAATTATGTTGGTACAAATTTTGTTCTTTAAATTTTTGTTAGGAATAATTTTTTTAGAGATCTGGCTTCGCTGATGCAACGACAGAAAAAATATTCAGCAGACGAATATGTCTATGTTGTTGATCAGTCACAGTTTTTGCATTTTGATGCATTAAAGAAAATTTTAGCAAAAATTGGTGAAACAGATCTTTCGAAAAAGGTATATCACCTAATGTTTGGCAGAGTACATGGTCTGTCCACAAGGTTATTCTTTTTTTTTTTCAACCTTTGGTGACTTCGCCTTCCTGTTCAGTCATCTTTTAATAATTAATGTTATGTGGCCCGAGCGTAACGTTGTGGATGAATCATAAGATGAACCATTTATGCGGCAATATACTACAACAACACAAATGATGATTTAATAAATAACTCACAATTCCCAAGAATAATTCTTCAAAAAGAAGAAGACAAGAAGAAGCTATCCAAAAGAACATGTCCAAAAGCATCAGTGGACATTTACATTTACAATTATACATATTTGTATTGAGTCGTTTCTATTGACCTTTTGCACCAACACAGAAATTATCTTTCCCTGTATTATACAATATCCTATATTCTTTTAAAAAATAGATATCACATAAAGTGATATTTGCAATTCTGTGGGTCCGGATCGTTTCTGATGGTCTTCGAATCTTTATTGATCCTCGTGGATCAGGTGCGATGCTTGATTGATGCTTGATTCATACTTTATAGGTTTAGGCGTATCATTTGCCAGATGATTAAAAATTTTCAAAGGTGTGCTTAAGGCATCATCATAGCGACTGGCTGCGAAATTGGTTTACATGCGGTTTCTGCTACCGATATGGTTTAGTTTCTGCTACCGATTTCTACCTTGTAAATTCTTCCGTTGTTCTGAACTATTTCTACATCTTTCTCGCTGGATTTAATATTACATAGACAATAAAGTTGATTAGGTGCAAAAGGTCAATAGCACTGTGATTTTAGTTGTTTTTTCATTTGCTTATTTAAGGATGGGTTTAAAAAATGTAACGAAGTTCTTCTTTTTCTTCTTGCTGATGTTTTCTGATAAGCCATTTTTTAATGATTCCATGGGCACTTTGATTTTTAAAGTTACGATTCCGGAATGATTTTATCCATTCATCATCATAGTTTGATGAAATTCTAAATTATTTATTTATATAATTTAAATTTAATGGAAATGTTTATTGATAATAAAAATTAAAAAATAGGAAAGGAATAACAGAATCAGTGGAAGAAATATTGAATCATGGTTGTGAAATTGCAGCTAATTTTATTTCTCTATCTAAAACAATGAAAATTGATCATTCAAAAGTTGACGGTCCGTTTTTTAAGATTATTGCTGGAAAAATCTTGTCAGAATAGTGTTTCAAAAATGCTCGAAAAATATTTCGCGTTTCAGATTTATTAGGATTATTTGCTAAATAGAAGAAATATTTGTTAACTGTCTTAGTGTGAATAATTTTGGTGCCAATTTTAAAGCCAAACCTAAAGCACAGTTAATCATATTTTATTGCATTTTTGTTGAAGAAGTTGCAAAAAATCTTTCTCTATCCACTATAATTGTCAACGATCTTAAACGAGGACGCAAAAAAGATTATGTTTTTTCATTTAGTGATGCTTTCAAAATGAATATAAATAATGGATTACTATTGCAGGTTTTTAATTTAATTTTTTTCTTTATTTCTATTTCTAATTATTTTAGTCCGAAGAAATGATTTCATTCATTTTAGGTGATACAACTCAATTAAAAATCCAAGTTTTCATCAAACTTTGAAATGCGAAATATTTGTTACTTCAAAAACTAATTTTTCACGCTTATTTTTTAAAAATTTTTAAATTAGTGATGCTTATTAATTGTTTAGTTTTTTTAATTGAAAAAAAATTGAAAAAATATTTTCATTATTCCTTTTCAGATGAAACATAGTCGACTTTTCTCATTGGAAATGAGAAATTTTGAACTGTTATCGCAGTGTAATGAGAATATGAGCTTTGATATCGATTTGACAAATAACGAAACCGTATTATTAATCAAATGGCTTGAACAATTTGAAAACGTACTGGTTGAAAGTTATAAAGGATTGGAACCGCGCCATCTTATTGATTATTTAGTTCGTTTGGCACATCTTACTGGTAATTCACTAGCTGTGCTTCGTGTGCTTAATCAGCCGCGAGAAATAGCAGTGCCACGGTTGCTATTGTTTTCTGCTGCTCGAAGAGTATTAAATCGTGGCATGAAATTGATTGGCTTGGAACCTATCAATCAAATGTAATAGTATTTGTTTATCGTATTTAGCATTTACTCGAATCAGAAATGATTTTTGAGGATGGCTGATGATTTTCTTTTTAAAGTGGTAGCGATATTTAATGAGGCATATAGTCGTGATACAATTGGTAAGTGAAGCAAATGATATAAAGAACAACAAAAAAAAATTTTATCCATCCACTGATAGTTTATCCCGATAAGTGAATAAGGCCATTTTCTCAAAAAATAATTTTCAGGAGTGATTACTTATTCTTTAAAAAAATTCTTTAAAATGGAAAAATTTTTTGATGACGTTTTTTGCACTTTTTGATTGTTAAGGGTTTCATTCTGAAGTTTTTCAAGGACTCTTCTGGAGTAATTTTATTTATTTGGAAAATTTTCAAATAAGTAAGAGCAGTTATAATTTGAGAATTTTATTTTTTAGAGAGTTTAACTTAATTGTTAAAATATATTTCGATTTATTTTATTTATTTCGATTTATTTTTCATTCTTTCAGATTTAATTATTGTTCTGCTAGTAACAATTATAACTAAAAAAAGATAACACATTTACTGATGAGGTTGCTCACAGGCTATTGCAGTGTTTCTATGATTCTTCTTAAAATTGCTGGAACCAATCGCCAATGACACGGTTAATTCATCAATGCTTGTCCCAATACATTTCATTTTTGCATTAGTTTTATTGTCCTCTATGATATATCCAGTGCCGCTGAAAAAAATCCTCATCAGTAAATTGCTTAAGTTTATGAAACTTCATCATTTTTCTTTCCTTATAAGTGTGCTTGAAATTTTTAATATTCCGATAATCTTTTTTGCTAATTTAAATACGATCGATACGGTGTTAATTTTTCATATGTTATTATTTGGAAAAGTTTAATTTTTTTGAAAATACTTAAATTCCATTGATAATTTTGATTACCTGTTGCAATATCTCATGGTTTGATATGCTTTTAGGTTATCATTCACCATTTTCAACTCTTTCGAACAGTTAAAGAATAGTTGGGCTTGAATGCACACCTGAAAAAGGTTTAATATTGTCGTGTATTTTTGATAGGGAGACGATCAGATCAGAACTTCTTTCAACTTAAGCATACAATTACATACGATTTTTTTAAATTCGTTCTTCAGAACGATGATTTGATTATTTGGTTAGAAATAGTTGAATTAAACAAATAATTCAGAACAGGCATATCTCGCACTAAACTTTTTTGATTCTGTATTTTCGTTATACCTCATTTCGAATTCTTCTGTTGTGAGCGCAGTATATTGGTAATCGACAAGCAGATGAGAGTACAGTAAGCAAGGAAACTAAATCGGTACTATAGGTGTAAAATGGTCGCATATCAGTTGTTAAGAGTGATGGCTGAAAGAGAATTGAATCGTTCGTGGAATTTAAAGAAGTTATTGCTGTTAATTAATATTTTCCAACTTTATGCCTCGTTTTTCTCTACTTATGCTAAAGTTTCTTATAATCTTATATCGAAAAATTTCTGGAAAAACACTTCTAAAATATAAAGAAAAATACCGCATCAATGAATTCCCATGCACTTATGATTACATTTAAGGTATTTGATGCAAGGTATGTACAAGAAACGAGTACAAGCATACGGGTCGCAGCTCGGATGTTGCTCTTAAATTAATTGTTAAGTACTTTTGAGCAAGAATTTTCGTCTCTTCTTAAATTACGATGATTACGAAAAGAAATGGCTCATTTTCTTAAAGAAATGGAGCCAGTAAGAATGAAAAATTGAGGTCGAAGAAAGTGCATGTATGTATAATGATGGTCAACACTCGTCATTGCGTTCCACTGGCTATTAGTATGGGTGAAACTTTTTCCAGGAAGTCATTTGTTATTCGGTCAGCTAATCAAACGCGGAGAACCCAGCAAACTATCCTTACCCCATCCATTAACAATACAAAGTACAAATAAAAATTCGCTCAATCAGATGACTGGGACGTTTTGACAAACTTTCAAGACCATTACTTTGTTGGAAAAATAGTTGAATTAAACAAATATAATAAAAAATACCAGTGGAAATCGAGTTTGTTTTGAGAAAGATCCTTAAAAACCGAATCAAAAATAAACAAAAATTTAAAAGAATTGAAAAATTGAAAAAGTACTCTGTGTTCTGAAGTAGCAAATCTAAACAGGCGTGCAGCAAGATGTTGTTCTCGAAGACGGTGAACGATTCGTACATTACAGTATACAAGAAGCATAAATGGCAAAAATACTGTAATGACGGTACGAAACCAAAAACGGTAATACGTTTTATATGGTTCTTCATCAGCCCATTCCGCTAATATCGCACTATATTCTGTAACGCCTGTACAATTGCCGTTCAACACGACCTAAAAATTTGAGAACGCACACAATCATATTTAGAATATAAGAATTTTTTTTATTGTTTATTTACTGTTCTGAATTCGTCGAAATTCGATCAAATTGCTAAAGGAAATTTCTGACTTAAGATTTCACATAGCCATCGATTCAAAAGATGATTTTAGTAGTTATAAAAAATTTTAATGAATTTTTCTTTGGTGAAAATAATTGTATTAAAAAAAAGGAATCCAAAATTCGTCTGTAACTGGAAATTTGTCAGAATCTTCTAGGAGAATGATATTTGCCTTGATGACAAAGGCTCAGCCCACCACGTAAAAAGAGCTTATGGGTGAACTAACCTTGACTTCGAAATAAAGGGGCGCCTTACAGATGAGTGCAAATAGGAATGCAAAAGCCGAAACAATAACACGATGATTACGCCTGAATTTGAATGAGATTCTCGATATAGTTAAGTAACGTTCAAAAGCAGCAGCAACAATAAGAAGGACTGATGTTGATATCGTAACATGGCATAATGCTAATACTGGACGCATATATGTCCACCATGCCATTGCTAATATTTCACTCTCGAAAAAATCCATAAATAAATTTATCGGGAATAGTAATATATAAGAACCTTTAATATCATGAATTTACAAATTGTTTTTCTTTGAAATCCTTGAAAATTTGCAAATTAGGTGAACTGAGTAATTAAGCTATTTTCGTTTTAAAATTGATATGAGCCAAATGGGAAGCCGATTGACAAACTGTTATACAAATTCTCGCCTCGAGATCAAGGTTCGGACCTTGATTACAATTATGTCAAATCTTTATGGTTATGACGGCTCATTTATGTTTCTATCCATAATGACTCACAAAATTTCTGCCGGAATTCCAATCCTTTAAAGATTTAAGATTTCAAAAATTTAAAATTGAAAAACATTTCAAATATGATTAATATTAATGAAAGCTGGAAAAAATAGTATAGGAAACTGCTGGAAAAAAATGTGGAAAATTTTCCATGATGGATTAGACGATCATTCCTTATCGTGGATTAGTGGATTTAACTTGATATAATTCCTACTACTTTCAGTTCGATAACTGCTGTTGTATTACAATAAGAAAAATAATTATTAATTTGCGCAAATTGCAAGAAAAAACTCACGAACCTGACAAAAAAACATCGAAAAATGCCAAAAATGTCAAATACAATAAATGTGAATGCCAGTAGCGACTATTATTTATAAGTACAATGAATAAAAATGAATTTAAGATCATTGATAGGAGAGAAATAACTGAACCAAGGCATCCAACCAAAATTAATCGTAATGTTTCGGGTGGAATGATTGAGCAGTGTTCTTGCCACCACAAATCGTCTTCCATTTTCGGTTAATATTGAATCGAAAACTCTGTTGCACTTATTTATTTATGAAAACCAATAATTTAATGTAACAAGTCATCAGTAGTAAAAATAACTGATTAGGTAGAAATATTGCTATCATTTTAAAATGAGTTTATTCGTCTGACAGTACTTTCTGAATTCATAATTCTTATTGTGGTTAAAACCCCCTAATGTCCAAAATGATTGGATTTTGGCCACAGAGAAAATTTGAACAATCTAATAAAGCCTAGTTTATTCTCTTTCGACTGATGCTCGTTATATATCATTAATAAGGAAATGAAAAAAATAACTGAAATAAAACAAATAAAAACTTTATTATAATTCTACCAGCAAGCAACGAAATGGCTTAGACATTCAAAATTCTGCAAACCGTAAAATTTTTTCAAAATGTAATTAGTCAGCCGTTGGTTCGTCCAACTGCACTATTGAAATATAGAAAATGATTATTAGATATTATTGTTTCGTTTGGGCATCTCAAACGATAAGTTTTTTATCTTTTTAAAATTGATTTTTTTTTAATTTTCTATTTTTTTTAATCTCCCATCTTATGCTACTTTACGTGAATAAAATTATAAAATAATATAATATTATGCTTATATTCGACAAGAATAAACTGCCATATCAAAAATCAGGATGACTGCTGGGAACCCACTTGTAACTCTATTCCCAAGTAACTCTATGGTGAAAGGTTTTTGACACGGTGTACGCGTCCTCTGATATTTTGAGCCCAAGGTACATGTGATAAGTATGGAATCCGTAAAACGACTCCAAGGTTCATAAATGAAATATGCTCGTAAGCCATGACAATTACTCAAAACCTATCAAGGGGAGTGGCTTTCTGAATATGAGGCCGTATCAGCGTGGAATGCTTATAAACTTTGCAAGCCAAGTGACCACTATCCACAATTTTTCTAAATATCGTGTGAATATCGCCTGCTTATCCACACTTATCGAAAGTCCGACTTTCCTCACTTAGAGTATTGAATAATTACTAATTCTAGCTCAGAGCAGAGGTACTGGTTATATCACTGTGGTATTTCGGATAAATCGGTATGAAACGGTGTAGCCATTATCATGGCCCATTAAAAGGCCCATTCCGCTTTGATTGAGTGAAAACCAGTAAACGACCATATGACCTATGCCTGCTTTAAAGATAAGGTAAGGCAAGTTTTCTACAAAAATCTCAGTCATCAGTTATATATGCTCCAACTTTGTCGGCAGATTACTGTGATAAAGGTAAGTTCTATGCGTCAATTGATAACAACATCTTTAGCCAAAAGTGACATGGTCATATTCGGGGAGACTGGAATGCGCGAATGGGTCATAATGCCGCTGCAATGAAATGTTTCTATTAGCGTTCTACGATGGCACCACGCGGCTTGGAAACGTCTTACCATTGTAGCCAGTGGAATCAACCTAACTACTAATGCTGAGAGCTGTTAGAACAAGAAGAACATTTTATCCATTTTCCATATTTTGCATCATCTTAAAAATGTTTATCTAGAAAATATGGAATGCGAAATATGCAATGTAATAGCTAATAGCTAATAGCTTCGCTCTCGCTGGCCCTCTCCAGTCCACACTTTCCAAATCCCACCATACCACCCTAACAAACTTCTATACTACTTCCTATTTAAGGCAGATAAGGTTGGAAAATAAGCGAAAAAAACTGGTAAATTATGCTCTTTTTTAAGAAGAAATGGGACATAAATGATAAGCGTATCCGAATTACAGGAAAATTAAAAAAGAGTTTAATGAGAATTCACCAATCCATTTTAGGATATTTCCGTCTGAAACCAGTGTTAAATCAGATACTATCTGAATGAAATATTGCCTTATGAAAAAAGGCAAGATTACTATTTGATTATTTCTTCGACATCTGAAATTATCAAGACAGAATCCCAGAATCCTTAGAATAGAAAAAAAGAAATAAGGAATCGAAAAAAAATTGAGTAGAAAATTGGCAATCAGTTTGCATATATGTAATATATATATACAATATGTATATACGCCAGCAATTCATTTCATGCGAACCCTAAGAGATTTAAATCAAAGAATTTCTGCAATTTTTGAGAGCTATTTGAAGGGATAATAACACAGAAAACAACATTTTCAGCCTTAAATTCAAAGTAGAAAGAATGTTAAAAAGAAATATTTTGAAAAATTAATAATGACAATTTAATTTGGCAAATTTTTATTTTTACGGTTCATAAGATTTCTTGCAACAAAATGTGAAGATGGACCGCTTTTCCTGAAAGAAATGCATAGTGAGGAATGCAATTTCAGCTTCAAATATGGAAATAAATCAAATCTATGATTTCTCGTAATCAGTTCAAAATAAGCGAATGTTTAAGCGATTAAATTTTTATTTAAAAATATTTTTCTCGACGAAGGATGGTGCAAATATTTCAATATTATAAAAATTAAATAAACAATATTTGTATTTCTTAGAATATGCAAAAATATGAGAAAAGCTATAAAGTTTTCAATAAATAAAAAAAAGATTATATTTTCCCCAGATAATAAGTTAGCTTCGCAGTTTCATTAATGCATTCTTAATAAATATAGTTATTTATCATTCTTCTAAAGCACCCACCATGCTTGGCTTTCTTCATGTACAACTAGAAGGAAAGCCTTTTCGCCAGAAAGTCAATAGCGAAGGCAAGAAAAGATGGTCTTCGTCTCTTCACTTTTATGATAGTTCCATTTTAATCAAGGAACTTACGCAATATGCCAGTTGTTATATCAGTTAGAGACGCATAAAATTACTTAAAATAAAGGTTTAAAACTATTGGAAGTGATCGACTTAAAATTTTTCAACAAAATAAATGATTTCCTCCTTATTTTTTTTCATTGATAAAATCTTTTTTCTAAAATTTATCAAATTATATGATAAAAAAGCTAAACAAAATGACCATCCTTAGTTATTTTCGGAATATTTTAACGATTTTTGAAGAGAATTAATTAACTTTATTTAATTTTTTGTACAGTAAATATTTAAATGAATTTAAAAATGCAATGTTAATTATTTATTTGCAATGATTTTCAAAAAAAAATTTCAAAGAAGTAAGGATTTTTTTTTAAATTGCTAAATTATTTAAAATGAAACGTATTCTAAACGTGTGTTTCTTTATTCCGACACAATTCCATCATCACTACCTAACAGCAATAATCATTTCTGATTTCGCTGTTTTCGCTTTTTCTGTAGCATAGAACTTCGACCTGACTAAAAATAGCAGTGAAACTGGGCCACCAGCCACATTTCACCTTTAAGATTATTTATTCTCTCTTATGACATCTATATTGTTTCTATAACATGCGCCATTTAGTTTACTAATCATTCGAGCAAATTTTCAAAATATTTCAAATATTTGCAAATCCCAATTTTTATAATTATTAGTAGACAAGAAATAAAAGGATCAAGTGGTCGCAGAATATGCGGAATTAAATCCCAAAAAGAGTGATGAAAGTATGACCGGCGTTACTGCATTTTGCATATACGATTATCATGCTGATAAAAATTATCAAATGAAAACACTCCATGCAATGTTATTCTAAAATTAATTGTTTATTTTGGTTTATTTATTAAATTGAAATTTGAGTGCCAAAATTGGAAAGAAATTTTATCAATTTTTTTATTTTTTCCTCGTTTTCAGTAATTTTGGTACAAATAAATATTTACGATTCGTTTAGTTTGCTGAAAAATTATTACAGTATTTTTCCTTCTTCAGTTCATATATATTCATATATTCGACTTTCCAACTTCTTCACAAAAATTAGAATTGTTTTAAAGTATTTATATGAAAAGAGAGATAATAAAGCGCGAAAATTAAAGAGTAAAATTTTGGCATTTATTAACTATGGTTAAAAGACAAGCATATAAAACTTATTTCTGGAAGGACCGCATCATTTCTTGTTTCTTTGGCTAGTCCTGATTACCAACGAGCTAAGATCGTTTCGCCAAAAATTCGCTTGAGGCAGAGGTGAAGCCTATGGACTTCATTTCTAATGATAGTTTTACTCAAGTGACAAATGTCCGATCCATGGTACTTGACATTTCTTCTTTCGCAGTTGGGAAGAATAAGAGGCGTACGTCATTTTCAAGTTCAAATAGTCTTTAAACTTCGAAATTCAATCAGCGATATCATCGTCATTTTGATTTATTTTATTCAATTTATCTTATCTGATTTATTTTATCCCTTTTTAATTGACCAATTCGTTATAAACAATCGTATTTTTTTATTTTTGGCATTTATTAATATAAAGTAAATGTGCCTCGCCAAAACTATTACTATTTTAATTAATTTTATTTTGTTCCATTAAAAAACTTTTTTGAAATTTATCAGAATTAGTAATTAATTCGGACGTTCAGCTATTTTCTAATATCTTGTTAAAATACAAATCTTCAATAAAAAAGGCTTCCTGAAATCGTTTTTTTTCTCGGCAATAAATGTTTTTTAGTTTTTTGCATTGGCTTTCCACTGATTTCCGAATTAAAGTTAACTTAGCTTCAAACAGAAAAAACAACATAAATTTGCAGTTCAAAGATTAATGACTTCGTAACAAATTCATTACAAATATTTGAATAAAATGATAGAAAAATGATTCACGGAATTATTCAATATTACTTGTTGGATGAAAAGGCTTCACCATAGCAGTCATGCGGAAACTGGCACAGAAATATACAGGAACTAAACGTAATATACGTAAGAAACCGCCCAAAATCGTCCTATATTACTACCACTTGCACCGCGCATATTCGCTCGTATGGCGGGATGCAAGCCCGCAAGTAATTTAAGTAATCCGAAGTAATCCGAAATGAATGATTGGCCTAATATGCAGTTTCTAAAAAATCTACTTGTTTTTGCGGAATGGCAAAAAGAAAATCTAAAGAGAGGAACAGCCTTAATCGTTAAAAACCATATAAGAAAACCAATATATTATAATAGTATAAAATATTCTAATAAATGAAAATTTAGAAAAATTTTTCTTGTAAAACTTTTCTTTTTTCGATCATTAAAATAATTTTTTATCAAATAATTATTGCCGTCATTATGGTTAAACAAATATCACGAGAATATTTATAGGCATTTAAGCCCATTCCAATTTTTTTGCTTTTTGTGCATCAAATTTTGATTTAAATAAATGGAAACCCTTAAAATATTTAGGGCCAAAACGAAAGATCAAAACGTCAAATAAAAAATATAAATTTCATTTCAAAAACTAATTTATTTCCAGTTTCATGGCGAAATTCGTTGGACGATGAATTAAAGAAATATTGAAAAACCCCTTTAAGATTTAATTTTTTAAAATCACAAATTTATTATATTTTGGGTTGCACTAAATCTTACAAGTAAAATATTAAATGGTGATTACAGTTGGTGAAGGCAAAAACAGAACAACCACGTTGGACGCTGATATTATGAGACGCGGATGCAGTTCTTTCTGCATTAACCGAACGAGCTTCGAAAAGTTAAAATCGTTGAACATTTCTCTAATTTTATCAAATTAATGCCCATTTGGAAATACTTTTCTCTTCTATTGCTTCGCGTATATTTTGAACTGACGGCATTTGAGAGGATGAGAAAAAGTCAAATAATTAGATCTGAGCAAATTAAATTTTCGAAAAATTTTTATCGACTAGAAAATTTCGATCAAACGATACACCAAATTTATATTTTTTAAGATTTTATGTGCTCAAATAATAGATAAAATTAACTAAAATTTTCCTTTTCTTTTAATATTTAATTATTTGACAAAATTGTAATAAAAATATTGTAAATATTATTATATGCTTATAAATTTTAGATGAACTTCAGTAAGGAAAGTATAGGAATTTTCTTCTGGATTTTTTTCACACTAAATTGCCACCTTTTTATCAAACAATACCAATAAGATAGAAACATATTATCTTGGTTTGCCATAAAGACTGAACTAACAAAATATAACACGTTACTTCAAGCACTGAAGCTATTTTAATGCTTTATTTATGGTCAGCGATTGAACGTAATCCACATATTTTAATGAAACCCACTACAACAGAAAACACTACATTCCATGACTTACAACCTTCAAATTTGAAGAAAAATGCATCATGATTATGCTCGATTCACTGGCTATCAGAAGAATGAAACAATTTTGCCGTAGAATCATTTAGGAACAAAAGTGTAGGTAGCCCATATGACCACATAAGATGGAAATTTTAATGACAGCTTCAATCCTGCCAAGGGCCGATAGAGGTAGCATCATCATATGATAATTTAAGCAATAAAAATTCCTATAAACACCCACTTTTATAAATAAAGAGTCATTCTTTCAGAAAAAATATGAATTGCTGAAACAGTTAAATTTTACCAAAATTTTTTTCGCATCACAAAATAAAGATTTTAAAAAAGACCGACCAACATTATTTAGTGAATTAATTAGTCTCTCCATGTGCACAGCAAAAAAAATATCTAAAATAATTCCAAAAATGGGTTATTCTGCTCCGACTAAATAGAAAGAAAATAATTTCTCTCAATATACAAAATTGATCACCTTCAAAATTTTCCATAACTAAAAATTTCGAAATTGAAGAAATAAACAAGACGAAAAAAAAACGAAGACTGGTAAAAGCAAAAGCGAAATCAGAAAGAAGGTTGGAAAAAACTCCCTCAAAACATCTCTCTCTTTTTTCACCAGTTCTTCATAATTTTTATGAACAATAAATCAAATTGGCATTTTGCAATCACTGAACTGTTTTATCAAATAATTTATAATTTAAATCAAAAATATATAATTTAAAAAGGAAGAAAAAGACTGATGATAATTTCAAGATAAATCTTAAAACCAATTACTAAACCTTCTAGTAAGAAACAAAAAATTCAATCTAATAACAAAAATCATGTCAATAAAATATGAATTTCAAATTTCCTACAAAGAATGTTTGAAATGAACAATTTTAAGTCTTTATTTATATGAAGTAAATAAAAATAATGAATACCTAAATCCAACAAAATTGCAAAGTATTTGATGAATTAAAATCGAGTGACATTAGAAATAACAATTGAAAAAAAAGAAAAATTAAAGTTCATCATGTCCCTCATCATCCTGTAATGTAACTGGATCAGGACAAGCAGCAGGAGTGTGGAGAACAAAATGATATTCACATTTTGATGGCTCACTTACTTCAATAAGTTTAGTATCTTCTCCACATTCTACAGTAATATGCGCCGATCTATCAGGACCGTTCCAGCATGACTGCCCTCTTTCATAAATTTGCATACCGACCCCAGCAGTTCCAGAAGACCATTTTGACCATGTACTAAAAAGCTAAAGGTAAATATATATAAAGGTAAAGTAAATTATCGATTTCATGATTCAACAATAAAAAAAGATTACCCAAGATTTATTTCAGGTCCTCCACCACTATCTATTTGAGATGCTTTGTCGAACAAACATAGTTTATAGATATAATGACCTTCATTAATTTCAAGGCACTTATTTTTAAGCGGCATCCAAGCTAGATCAGTATCAAAATCGTCCTTTAAGAAATCAGCTACTTCACTGAAACAGTGACATAATTCAACACCAAAATTTGAAAGAAACATATAGATATGAAAGAACATATGAATATTAAAAAACAAATTTGTAACGAAATAAGAGGTCTAATATTTAACAGATGAAATAAATTCTTCTTCTAACAACTCTCACTATTACTGGTCAGGTTGACTTCATTGGCTATAAGGATAAGACGTCTCCAAGCTACTCAGTCTGACGCCACTGCTAGACAAGTCCTACTCCTTTTTCCATCGTCAAGTCCATATAGTCCAGGTCTTGACTGGCTCCTCTTGCTTTTAAAGCCAAGTATCACAGAGTTTGGAAAGTAGTGAAATATGTGTCAACTCCTGTGGTGGACGACAGAAAACTATAACCAGCGAAAGCGACGCTCTGTGATAACATCATTTATATAGGTGGTATTTGAGCTAAGATGATAAAGATGAACAGAATCATGTACGATTTTAACCGCTCGATGGAACCGTAAAATATACCTTAGACATAAATGGTCAAAGGCTGATAGCTTCTTAATATCTTCATTAGCCATGTTTCGCAGCCATATAGCGAGATCGAGCGAATTGCAACTATATGGAAGCGGGATTTTCATCCTTATGGTCCTGATGATTTCGCGACGGTTCCATAAAGGTTCCGTGAACAAGAAAAAACATTTCTAGCTACCATTATCCACATTACAATTTCATCTTTCGCCTGGCCATTTGAGATCAGAATGGATATTTAAAGACAGTGAATTGATAAAAATAGGTATTTTATCAGTATATGTATATATAAGAAAAAACTCTTTCGTTTTATTTACATTGATTTTGACTCCAATTCTCGCTGTAGTTGTTGTCTTACTGTTTATATTTATTTGTATAATATTATTGGCATTTCATTATAACTATAAGCAGAAATGACAGAAATGATAACACCATCAGCATATTCAAGATCTGATAGGATTACCTGGACTGATTTACATATCTCTTAATAATCTCCGACAAGTGATGTCCATTATCCAGTCTATCGCATAATATCGTATTAATATTAATGCGATAGACTGGCATGTGGAGAAAGGAAACATCCTTGATATATACCAGTTTTTATTTCGAAAGGGTCAATCAGTTCTCCATATACACATACCTATACCAAAGTATGCTGATAAAATGTCTTTATGAGACGAATGATTTTCTCTGGGACACCATTATATTCCATCATTTTCCACTGCTTTGTCAATCGAATCGAAGCCAGCTGCAAAATCGATAAAGCAAGTGACGGTGGGTTGTTGAAGCGATATTCCAGCGTGAATACCTGGTCAGCACAACGCATTTTGTTATCTCATTGCCCTAAATCTATTCAGCAGAAGGGAAGCGAAAAATTTTCAGGAGTTGTCCAGCGGACTGATTCTTCAGTAACTGTCGTCCTGCCACATTTCTTTAAAATTGGTAGCATAATTGCTTCGCTCCAGCATTCTGGTTTTTCCTTTTGCCATACCAGAGAGTATATTTGTGAATTATGAATGATGAAAAAAATGTAAGGATTGGCAATAAATTAAAACTAAATTTTCATATCATAACGTTGGTGCATGCCAATTAAAAAATTAATGAAATGAATCACAATAATTAGCATAAAAATGATTACAGAAGTTTGAATGAACAAAAAATGTACTTCATTTGTGAAACCACATCATCAAATCGTTTTTTCATTTCGCTATACTCATCTCGTATTCTATCAGCTTCTAAAGAAAATTTATTTAAAGAAAATTTTAAAAAATTTCTATCGTAAATAAAATCATAAAATAAATAAAATCATTAAAATCATAATTTGCAAAAAAATAATCAATTAAGGGCATAGTGAGTAATCAGCATGAAGATTATTTCCATAATATTATAATAGAATTCAAAAAATGACCTGCAATAATAACTAAAGTTTCTTCATTATAACGGGGACCATCTAGAGCTGAATCATCTTTTAAAGCACGATCATCGCCATCATTATCATTATAATCATCAAAATCAGTTCCTATTCAAAAAAATGGTACAATAGGAACAAACGAACAAAATAATCCAAAGAATACAAAATTTTCCAGTTTTACCAAGAATAAAGATAAATAACAAATTATAAATTTATTACCATTTTTTTCCGGCATTTCTTTTAAATCCTCTTCATAAACTTCTTCATGATTAAAACCTGGTGTAATTTCCATTTTTCTTTGTGGATTTTTTTCCAATATCGGTCTTTTTTTAAAAAACTGATATTTCAGAATTTCAAATTTCTTGAAAAATTTATCGAATGCGATTTCTTTTTCCTCTTCTAGCAAAATCTAAAATTAAGATAAACAATGGAATAAAGGAGTGAAAATAGGAGTTTTTAAGACAAGACAAGATAAGAAATTTGAAATAAAATAAAAATCTTATCTTCATTTCACTATCGCTTACTGTTCCATCGTTATCTGTGTCAAACTCTTTGTAATTTTTTAATTCTTCAGCAGTCACTCTGAAATCCGTAATTAATACTTCAATGATTTATCAATTAAATTACATTTTTTTATTTTTTTAAGTAATGCTTAATTAATAAATAACGGAAATCATGAAAAATATACTTCAAATCTGAATCTAAATCGAGGTCATCAAAAAACATTTTTGCTTCCGCCTGCTTTTTAGCATTTTCGAAATCTAAAAATGAAGAATTCAAAATATTTTAGAATCATTGGACAATGAAATGAGCCAATTTTTCAAATATATTTTTTTAAAAAAATGTAACCAAAATGTTGGATGTAAATATTATTGCATTATAAATGTTGGATAAACATTATTTCGACCAGGAGCATAATGACCGGAGGAAATCTGACCTTAAAACGGGACTGTTTCACGGAAGTGTTTTTCGTTGGCGGGAATAAAATTGCTATTCGTGATCTAAGTTTAATGTATTCTGGGCCAAAAATTGCATCAGAACTTTTTAATAGACCAAATATTTCAAAGAAATTCCAAAAAATTTTTTCAAAAAATTGGGTGGCCTACTGGCAAAATGAATGCCTAGAATGCTCAGTGGATTATTGCTTAATTGCGGTTTTCACGATTTAAGCAATGAAAAACACCGTTTGGACAGGCTGATGTTCCTTTAAGAAGATTAAAGCTCAATAAAGTTTCTTGCAAAAATATGTTAAATCACTAATGCATATGAATGCTGTAAAATTCTTAAGACATGAAAAGCAATATTATATATCAATTGCGGGTATTATTCTATGTCTAACACGAGTGAGTCTATATTCAAAAATGGATGATTCTGGCAAGTCATATGTATCACCAAATGAGAAACCAACAGTGCGACTCTAACCAGCAATGCTGAGCACTTTTAGAAAAGAAATTATATAAAATACGTCGATTCAAAATAATGAAGTATTTAATTAACCCTGCCACTCTTTGTCAGCGTCACTTTTCGCGAGTTGTTCCTTCATTTCCACCTCCTTCTTTCTATCATCTATTTCAGCGAGAAAAACAGTTATATTATTTAATTCATTCTGCAACCTGTCCATCTCTTGCTGCTTTTCTACTTTCAATTTTTTTGCTTCTTCTGCTAACTTCAGTCTTTTAGCATAGCCCTTAAAATAATTTGTCAAATGAAATAAATCAAAATTAAGAAATATTATTTTATTTTTAATGATGGGTATTTTTTTTCGTATGGAAATATTTCATCAAAGAAAATTTCTAACTTTTTGAACAATCAGTACTCTTTGTTCTTTTCTAGCCTTTCTCTCCAATCCAAGCAGAACACAATTATTCTCACAGTGGACTGCACCATTCCATTCATCACTTCCATCGCAACAATCTTAATTTTGACTTTTTCAATTCATGAAAAAATAAATAAATCCATATAAAAAAGATTGTTTACCGGAAAAAAATTATAAAGAAGATAAACTAAAAGAAAACATTTTTATATATTTATAAATTCTAAAATTATTGCAGAATTACCACAAATTTGGTCGTTAACTCGACTTGAGGGAATATTTTCCGCAAAAAATCCACGATTTAAGCAATGAAAAACACCGTTTGGACAGGCTGATGTTCCTTTAAGAAGATTAAGGCTCAATAAAGTTTCTTGCAAAAATATGTTAAATCACTAATGCATATGAATGCTGTAAAATTCTTAAGACATGAAAAGCAATATTATATATCAATAAATATAAATAAAAGCTTATTTTCTCATTACAAGTAAACATAAGATATTGAAATAGATTACCAGTATTAGTCAAAGTTTTTTTCGATCTAATTTTAATACGAAATCTAATAATAATTTTTAATAATTTAATCTTTGAAACAAAGTACAAAGGCAAAATAAACCAGGCTCATCACTGCCATCCGTACAATCACAATAGTCATCATTCACATGTTTAAAAGGTATGGTTTTTAATCCATCGATGCATGTGAAATTCTCGCCTGTCGCGTAGAGGGGACCAGCTAGAAATTTTCATTATAATAAATGCTAATAAAAATGTTAATTGATTCTTTAATTATCTGATTACTTGAAAAAGACTTATTTATATAGAGTAAAAGGTTTCGGCTCCTGCTCTCCCAACAATAGTAAATTTATCTCTGAGGAATTAGAATGGTGCCCCACTTCCACTTCTATGGCCAAGTGATTACCGCAAAATTTTTCTAACCGCATTAGCAGCTATCCGAACGATCCTAACCAGAAATGGTGGGCGCTAATCACTATAATATATGGCTATGGCTATAATATATGCAGCTCTGAAAAATTGTCCTACAAAACTGCTATGTTTAAATCTTTATAAATTCCCAAAGAGAAAATTATGGGGATTTGGTGGAAAATACCAGGCCATCCGAATACGCCGAGGTCTGAAAAAAATCTACCCAACCGTGAGGTAAATAACTAATTTCTTGATAAATGTTGAAAGATCGAAAGAAGTCTTTCTGATTTAAAAAGGAAAATCAAAAAAAAGAAAAGTAAATAAATCTGATTTTACGTAGATAATCAAAAATTTTTATAATATTAATTTTTAACAATTAATGAGATAAAAATAAAAAGGATAATGAAAAAACAGTAATTACGAATATTACATCAATTTAACATATCAAATTAATAAAAGGATTGAAAACCTGGCAACCATTTATTCATCAAATATATATCTTGTCGGTCGCTCAGTAGCAAAATAATGACCACTGAAAATTGAGGATTGGGTTCACCGGGAAAGGAGAATAAAATGGCTCAGTGGGTTTTTACCCAATTCGGAAGGCCGATGCTGAAGTTCTCTACTTCTTCTACTCCTGGCAAAAGTAAATGTGTCCAAAAATCCGAGTGATGCTGTAACTCGCCTGTATTTCTATTGCCAAGGACTCCTTGGCATATTTTGGCTAAGCCGATAAGACAGCGAGCGAGTCTAACCAACAATGGTGATTGCTCTTAAGTTATATTTGTATTTTATACAAATATAATTTTACAAATATAATATATTTTACTTAAAACTTTATTATTTTGGTTTGAAATTTATTAAAAAATTAAATTAATTTCAATATAATTAACAGAGAAAAGTAGAAACTAAATTTATAAAAATTAAAAAGTATGAAAAAATGATATAAAATCATAAAATACATCTTCTATATAAGTTGTGACCGCACAATTTATTATATTTTATGCTTATTTTAGCTTACTTCATTTCCGAATGACTCAGAATATATATATAAGACTAATAATCAAGAAATTTATACTCGGATCGCAGGTGGTAATGCTTTTAATATTTGATTATTACTAATCCGGTTAATTATTCAAGAATTACCTTAGGCAGACTCGTTTGCTGCGAATATTTGCTTCAATCAATCAATCTGGCGTGTTGCTATCTAGAAAAAAAGAAAAAGGAACATACCAACAAATGAAACGCCATATGGACGAGGTCCATAGTTGCTTTGAACAGGTGAATCGTACTTTTTTGCAAATAAACCGAGTTTTATCGAATTCACTTGTAAAAATATTGAAAACAATAAAAACATTGAAAAATTATAAAACATCTGAAATACAAGAATTATTTTCGATAAAAATGCAAATGAAGATTAAAAAATTTACAAAAAATTATTTAAACAAAATTGAATTAAAAGATAATTGAAAGAATTTGAGAATCTTCTAAAGGTACTCACCATTTCTGATTTAGCTAAGACCACTAATTAATTATTTTTTGCGGAAAAGCCACTTGCCGAAGGCACCCAGGTAGGTACCCAGCAGCATGCATTTTTTAGAACCCCAACAAGAGATTTCTCGTACTAACGAAGAAATACTGACACTCACTGCTGAGAAATGCACATTTCGAACAAGGACCGCTTAAAGAGAAAGGTTTATTCGCACAAGCACGCAGAAATCGAACTATGGAACTTGAAACAACATTAAGCACCACTAAGCTAATCCATCTACGAAATCTGTACGCATGTGACAAACGTGCAATATACCTACTCAAAATATTTCACACTTTCCAGTTATACGATCAGTATGAAAAAATTATGTTTGCGTAAAATTATTTATTTATTTTTCCGCCACTGCGTTTTTCATCCTTTTCCTTTTTCATCGTCTTTTCCTCTTTTCCTCTTCTTTTCCTCTCTTCCCATCAATTTCTACCCGAATTCTAATTAGCAGGCAAAAGTGCCATGGACAAATCTTCTAAACGAAATCTTCTTACTGAGATAATGTTATTACAATCTTAAAAATTACAGTCATAAAAACTATATTCATAATAAAAAAAAGAAAAGAAATTAGAAAAAATTATTTAAACACCAAAAAAACAAATTATTTAGTTGTTAGCTTTGAACTGGTCCTGAGAGGAATTTTTTAAATTAGCAATGAGTCACTTTTGGCTGCTCGCCAATGTTTTTTCAGTTTTTCTGTTATCATTCGTTTTTCATGGTGGTTTTTGGCCGGCTTTTAGTTAGGGAGTTGAAATTTGATTATTTTGATTTTAGAAGAAGTGGGAGAAAAAATGGAGGGAGGGCGGAGGATTAGAGAGAAAGATCGTAGAAATTAGAGGTGAGGTTGAATGGGGGGGATTTTAAAGAGAAAGATGGTCAGGAGAGGTAAGGGAAATAAGAAGATGAACGAGGAGGAAATGGAAAAAAAATAAAGGTTGAAACTAGGAAACAGAAGGTAACATGGAGGAAAATGAATGAAAAAAAATGAATATTTTGGAATGAAAAGAATTTTGCTATAAAGCATCGGTGAAATTTGCTTTAAATATTTTAAAATCACTTTTCCTTGACGATATTCACAAAATCAAATTTTGCTCATTTTCTTCTATAATTTTTCCACTTGTATGGTCCTTAATAGGGCATTCAGCTGGAGATCGTTTATTATATGTTATTTCCCTTTCTTTTCCTTCCACTTTTTATTTCTTTTACGGTCGATTTACGAATTATCAATATTCAGCATCGTTATCCTCTTTATTTTAACTCATTCATTCAATATTATTTAAAATTAATTTAAGATAAAATTTTTGTTGGCTTATTTTTTTGCAACCATATTGTTTATATTATTTTTTTAATAATTTGTTCCTTGCCAGCTCTGTTTCGATTGCAAATAATGTCGCCAAAAATTCACATAGGATTGGAGGTATAGGTGGCCTTCAGCTCCTTTCCTTTTTTTGCTTTTTTGCTTTTGAAAATATTATTCAGTCGGATTACAAATCCCAAATCTGTGAAATGTGAGTCTGTGGAATGTTTTATCAGCTTTATAAAAAACTATTATTAGAAAAAAAAATATATTTTTTCAGCTATATTATTTGCCAGTATATTGAAAATTATTTTGGAATTGAGAATATTTTAACACACTTTTTATAAAAACCGCCTACAGATGCGGGTTATTATTATCGCTGTTTTATTAATAATTTATAATGTATTATTAATCACTGCCAAAGATTACTATCAAATTCTTGGAGTGCCTAGAAATGCAAATATTAAACAGATTAAAAAAGCTTATCGAAAATTGGCAATGAAATTGCATCCGGATAAAGCAGGTGATTCTGCTGCAGAGGGAGATTTTCAGGAGTTGGGTGCAGCATATGAGGTAGTTAATTTATCTTTAATTCATTTTTTTTCGCATTTTTTTGGTAATGAATTTTTTAAAGAGATGTTATAGTAATAGTAATAGTGAGATTCGACTTCTAGATTCACTTTTTTCTCAAAATAGTTCATTATTTTAGTAATTTATGAAGATAAGGCACTTGTTGCAGAATACCTGAGTTCTAACAGTGCTTCTTATTCCTATAATTCATAGAAATAAGATTTCGCAATGTACACTTCACATTTCACATTTGCTTTCTTATTTTATATTTGTTAAATATTAAAAATGTTAAGCGATTGGCTTCTGGCCAAGGTGAAAAATTGTTTTTTTGTGGTAAATTTTGACCAATAATCTATCGTTTATTTTAAATGGATGTCTTTCTGCGTCGAAAGAGACATCTCTCACATGGAAATCTCAAGATAACATTCTAATCAGATTGGTTACATTCTGATCAGTCATCACTGGAAAAATACTAGATGGTCGTTCCTATAGCAGTGCCGAAATAAGCAATATTCAGAGATCAGACCATGGTTTGAACCAAGACCTGGTGATCGCTCGCAAAAGCAGCATCTCCAAAGCTAAAAGGCTTTTGACAGAAAATGCGTTTCAGATTTGAAGTTGTTGAAAAATGATGTGGATATCAACATCGTTTCTGGTTGAATATTGGTCTCAACGAAAGGCATGCCTCTGAAAGTCGACCCAAATCTAGGATATGTCACTCGAAAATTGGGTATTACTATTGGAATGAGCTGAATATGGAAATAGCTACCAGAATAGGGGTAGTACTATGAAATTATTCCGCAATTTGAGGACAAATTTAATCAAGGTGCGCCATCTATCGTCCTGAAACGTTAACCACCAAGAGAGCAAGCAGTAATCTTTTTCGTTCAGAAACTTATGGTCAGCACTGCTCCCGGAAAGGATGAAGCCTTCACCATCTTCCAAAATATTTCAATTCGTATACTGTTCAGGATATGGAAGAAGGAATAAATATCAGATAATTGGAGCAAAGCAATCCTCTGAATCTTCAAGAAGAATGATAGGGTATGCTGTAACAGTTGCATAAGCATTGACCTGTTAGACGTCTCTAGAGGGATTTTCGCCTTCCTTTTGCTGAATAGATATGGCAGGACAAAGCAGTGCTCTAATCAAGCTGAATTCAGATTGAGATGCTGGCCAAATATTCAGGATGATTTTGGATGATTTTGGAACATCGATTCAAGTAACCCACCGCATTGGTTTTGCTGCTGTCTTCGATTTTATTCAACTGATAGAAAGGCGCTTTGGAGAATGATGGAGCTATACCAGACGCTGATAAAATATCTATTTCGTCATTTGATCACAGGTTGAAGAAAGCATTTTAAATTTATTGGATCACTCTAATACCAAACGGCTAAGCAAGTGGCGTAACTTCAACTTGCATCTTTGTTTGCCTTTTTTTAAAATACCCGCGGATATAATATCCCACATGTTTGCATCTAATGAACTTTCGCTTCAAGATCACCATCTGTATTAAAATATCAACCGTAAAAATATTTCTTGTGCTAGTTAGGCCATGTTTGTCGCTCATCGCAGGAATTAGCATATATGTATCTATGATGACTTTGTTGAATGGTATCCAATGGCGTGAAAGCAGTCAAGACCTGGAATGATTTAGTCAAGAAATATTTTGAATCTATAGATGGGCTAGTGATATATGGTATAGACGATGGAAGATGGAATGACATCTATTAATGTTAGGTATGATATCAGATCGAGCGACTTGGAAATATCTTATTCTTATAGTTAGCTGAGCCATCCTGACCAGTAATAATGGAAATTGTTAGAAAAAAATATGGATGTAACAATAATATTTTCAAATTTTAAATTAAATTACAGATATTAAGTGATCCAGAAAAGCGAAAAATATATGATAAGTATGGTGAAGAAGGTTTAAAAAATATTGCGAACGGTGGTGGTGGCGGAGGGCAAGATATTTTTGCCTCATTTTTCGGTGATTTCTTTGGTAGTACTCATCAGCAAGAAACTGGCACACCTAAAGGAGCTGATTTACTTATTGATTTATATGTGACATTGGAAGAAATTTATGAGGGCGATTTTGTCGAAGTGAAAAGGTAAATGTAACTTTTAAAATAGCTGTGGTAAATTACATTTTAAAAGTAATAATCGTGAAAAGTACTGTGAAAAATTAAAAGGGAAAATTTTTGAGAATTCAGCCGAATGTTAGGAAGTTTTAGATTATTTTTTGAAAAATTTCTTAGAGAAGAATTGTCATCTCAAATTTAAAATAATAGAAGGATGGTAATTTTTTCCTTTTTTTGGTTTTTTTTACACTGCTGCATTTTATTTGGTTTTCCAGTTTTTTTTTTTTAAACCGTAATTCGTTTAAAAAGCTCCACTTATACTATTTTATGTTGGATTCCAAATTTTATGAATATAATTGTAAACAATTTTTTATGTTTATTTTTTGTTGTTGAAAATTTTTTGTCATTTTATTTGTTTAATTTAAGAATAAAATCTGTTTATAAGCCTACATCTGGAACACGACAGTGTAATTGTCGTCATGAAATGCGTACTGAACAGCTTGGTGCTGGCAGGTTTCAGATGTTTCAAGTACGCGTTTGTGATGAATGCCCAAATGTTATTCTGGCGCAGGAATCAAAAATCTTGGAGGTACTTCATAAATTTTTAAATTTCATAAATCTATTGCAATGGTAATTTTTTCTTGGTAAAAATAATATTTGGTGTGATTGTTTTTTTAAATTGCCATGAGCGAAGCGTTTTATAGTTTTTTCTTCAGTTGATTTTACTACACTTATTAAACTTTAAACTTATTCTTTGTTCTTTTGTCCATCATTTTGTTGCATCGGTGGGTTAGTGGAGAAATATCGAAAATGGTTCAGGTTCGAATCTAACCAACAACTAACACCCTTCATGGGGCAGAAGCATAGGATGATAGAATGATTTAATGGGTTGTTTGAATTGTTGCTCTTCTTTTGGAGCGCCGACGCGGGAATATTATTCCTAGGAGCAATAATAAAACCATCCTATTCTTTCAAAAAAATCGGACTATGTTGGCAACCCTACGCTTCTATTGCCAAATGTTTTTCTAGCAAAGTTTGTCCAATACAATAAGCCAGCAAATGGTTAGCGCTCTTAGAAAATTTCTTATTCTTAATTCGTTATTTTATTTTTTCATTTAGGTGGAAATCGAAATTGGTGTTGATGAGGGCCAAGAACAAGTTTTTGTTGGTGAAGGAGAACCGCATATTGAAGGTGATCCTGGTGATCTTAGATTTATAATTCGAGTCCAGAAACATTCGAGGTTCGAACGTCGTGGTGATGATTTGTATACCAATGTTACGATTTCTCTTTATGAAGCTTTATCTGGATTTGAGATGGAAATCAAACATTTAGACGGTCACAAAGTTAAAGTAATTGAATTTTATTATAAGAGCTACATAGACAACCATAAGCAAGTATTTTTTGTAGGTTTTTATTTTCATTTGCATTTTGTTAAAATATCTTTTCTATTCTTTCTCCTTTTTCTAATACTTTTCACCATTACTGGTTAGGTTGGCTCCGCTGGCTGTGGTGCAATATCTTTAAGTTTTGTTCTGATGCTGGCAACCCTATGATTTCAATGCCATCGTTGACGAGAATGGAAGCCATTCATTTTCTCATCGATATCGCTGTATAAGTCCATATCCCTAGTTTTCCTATTTGTTCGAAACCTTTCCTGATATCAGTCCAGATTTATATTGGTCCACCTCGATTTTGACACTACTCATCACAGGATTTAGCAAGTAACGAAATATATATCAGCTATTAATGGAAGTGGTATTTGAACGAAGGTGGATGCTATTATGAGATTTTATCCGCTCGGTAAACCTGTAAAATGTACCTTATACAGGAGTGATTAAAGGCAGATAACCTAATATCTTCCACTATCATTGGCAATATATGGCAACATCGAATCGCGGCTATGTAGATGCGCACCTTAGATTTATGATGGTATAGGGACGGCTTCATAAAGGTTTCGTCAACCTTCGCATTTCTAGCTGCCGTTATCTGAATTGTAATTTCGTCTTTTGCCTGGCCATTTGGTATTAGAGTGGATCCAACGTATTTGAAATCTTCAGTCGGCAATGAATTTATGAAAACAGGCATTTTATCTTCTTGTATATAAGACGAAAAGGCATTTTTATTTACATTGAGCTGAATCCGAATCTCGCTGCAGTTTTCGACACATTATTTAATATTATTTCGCAATAACAGTCGGCAAAAAGGACATCATATTCAAGGTCTGTGATAGACGCTCTTAACTGATTTGCAATATATATATACAACATTGGGCTTGGTTAGTACTAGGATCGGAGACGGTCTGGGAATCCCAAGTGCTGTAAACTTGTGCAAAGAATACTATTATATATATATGTCAAACTAATTCAAAAATCATTATCATTATTATCAGTGCATGCATATCGACTCATGTTGAAACTTAATTTAAAAAATTTAAGAAGCTTCATTTGAAAAACAAAAATTTGTGGCACAAAATCTATTTTATCTAAATCTACAAGATGAGGAATCATATTAATGAAGTGAAAATCTGCTCATAAATAAAAGTGCGCAAGATAAACCTTTGATTTGAAAAATATCTATCTCTCTGCCGTGCTGTCGGGTCGATTTTGATGTAATATGAGAGTTTGCAAAAGATTGTAAATTATATATACATATATATATATATATATATCAACATAGTTAGTTGGTTTTCAGTCATCTAGATTGATGTATATTTTTGTGAATTATGGTACTCACCTAATAGCAAGAACTTATTATTTCTAGTTAAGTTTTTGCACATCTCTTAAGTCATCCTTTGGACAAGCCATTATCCAGTCTATCATATAGTTGAATATTGTAGATGAGAGGACGCAGTCTTGACGTACACCAGTTCTTATTTCAAACAACTCCCCATATATATATATATATATATATATAGGGGGTTATATATAGATATGTGCTGATAAAATGCCTTTATGAGTCGAAACATCTCCGGAACATCATAATATTCCATCATCGTTCTATCAATTGAAAATCGATAAAACAAGTGATTGTGGATTGCCGATATTTAAAGCGATGTTCCAACAGTTTCTTAGCATGAATATCTGGTCAGCACAACTTTGTCCCAGTCTGAATCAAGCCTGATGAGGATGTATCCTATTGTTTCATATTGCCATAAGTCTATTTAGCAAGAGGGGAAACGAAGATTTTTTAGATGATTATAGTAGGCTGATTCCTCTATAATTGTTACAGTATTCTGTCACCTTTTTTAGAAATTGGAAACAGAATGGTTTTACTTCAATCATCTGGTATTGTTTCTTTCTTCCATACCAGATAGTACATTTACTGAAGGATAATGAAAAAATTTGAAGAGTTAAAGCCGCAGACCATCTTTTGTTAGAGTTTTATTGATTTTAAGCTTATGTATCACAGAAATTATTTTCTCTTCTGTTGGCACATTTGCAAACATATGGCTCGATGAACGAATCAGCTGTGTACGGAGCAACAGATGGTGCATCGTGGTTAAGTTTATATTTGCCAATTACTGAGTTGAAGTTTCGCATAGCACTTATTCTTATCGTGGCCATATGCGCATAACATTGTAGCTTCACTGATGACCGAAATATTGCAGAATTTTCCTTTGAAGCGAGTATAGCGAGTGCGTTCATTTACCGGTTTCTATTTAATCAGAGTAGACCGAGCGTTTTCAGACATGACAATCGCTATGCTATTTTGCCTTGAGTTTTCCGAGATACCATAGTGATATAGTCAATACCTCTGCTCGGAGCCAGGAATATGTACCTCAGATAAACGAGCGAAACCCGCATGGTATTTAGAAAAGTTTGGACAGTGATTGCTTGGCTTGCAACGTCCATAAGTGTTATGACGTTTCAGGCAGTTATAGCCAGCACCTCGCCGCACTTGCAGAGTAACGCTCGTTTCTCTCAACAGATTTTAAGTAATTGACACATCATATTCTGAAGCCTTAAGATTTTACTACGTTGGAATTAAATACTTGTTGCTTGTACCACCGGGCTAAAAGTATCATGCTCGTTGAAGGACGTGGACGCCGTGTCAAAGAGATTTGACACTTTCATAGAGAATAATTACGGATGGATCTTCAGTAGCCACACGGATCTTTGAAGCCATGGCGGATTTACTTTCAAAGATAAAAAGATAATATCAAAGATAAAAATAATTAATTAAATGTTAGGAAATACAAGAAAAATAACTTTGTAAGAAAAAGAAAAAACTTATGTAATATCGATTAATATGAGCCTTTTCTATTAACTTCTGAACACAGATAAGCCGCGATAAGATAACGTGGCCGGGTGCGAGGATAAGGAAGAAGGATGAAGGAATGCCTTCTTTTTCTGATAATACCAAACGTGGTATTATGTATGTAACCTTTGACGTTGAATTTCCTCGAGGCGAATTAACAGAAGAACAAAAATCTATTATGGCGAACATACTCAAACAGGAATCAATTAAAAAGGTTCATCTTATCATTCTGTTCCTCTCTAAACGTTCAAAAAAGTATGTTGTGCTGTTAGTTTGAAATGATATTGTTGAAATGTCTTCTTTGCTGTTAATCAAGAGATTTAATTAAAATTTAATTGAACTTCAATTTATTCGATATTTTGGATAATTTTCATCAAAAACTTAATTAAGGATAATATTGGAAAAAAAATTATTGAAAGTTTGGTATTGTTTATTTATAATTGAATCCATTTTAGGTTTACAATGGGTTGCAGGGATATTAGAAGCAATAATTATTGTGCATTCAAAACTTATATCATGTAATTTATTTATAAATATTATTTATAAAATATTATTGTTATGTTCTGCTTTTCATTTTTGATCTTTTCTTTAATTATTGTTGTTATATTGATATGTATTGATAAACAGTTTTTAGACTATTTCATTTCACAGTGATTTTTTAAAGTTATTTCTTTGATTTATCTCAGTTGCCACTGTTAAATTTTGGCTTAAAAAATAATTTTGAATCAAATTATGTAAACTTATATAAAGTGTTTGTGTGGTTCAATTAATTAAAGTAAAAAAGGTACATATAAAAAATAATGAAAATAGAGGTAAATGTGGGTATAACTGATCAAAAATATCAGAAAAAAAACACTTCGTTTTTAAGCACTCCTTTTAGTTATATATGCTATTATACAATTAGTCGCAAAATTGATGGTTGACCAGTTTTGTATTGTATTTTCAGGGTAGTAACTTTTTACGGGAGGTAATGGGGACTGTGTCATGTGAGCATATTGCGAAATATCGTCGAGTAGTGAGGAAAGTATTAGAATCAACTATTTACAAAATACTTTTTCCTACGAAGTTGAGTGATCGCTACATTCAAGTAAGAGATTTTTGAATCAAGTTAGAAAATTTTTGTCGAAAGATTTTTTTTTAATTTTTAGATTATCGAAAAGTAAAATCGGTGTGATAACGTGGGAAATCTAAAAATTTTTTATATTTTTCATTTAGCTAGAAGGAAATGTTTATTTTTTGTGATTTTTGCACACTTGAAATTTTTCAAAAGAAATTGAAAAGAGCTTATTCCAATAAAAAAATTCTTTTTCTAACAGCTCTCACCATTACTGGTTAGACTGGCTCCAAAGGCTACAAGGGTAAGACGCTTCCAAGCGGCGCGGTCTGATGCCATCGTCGGCAGTAATTGAAGCCATTCCTTTTTCCATCGTCTGAGTCCATATATTGCTGGTCCACCTATACGTTCAAAATCTTTTCTCACCGTATCAGTTCAGGTCTTGATTGGCCCACCTCGCTTTTGACGTCAACCGTCACAGGGTTTAGCAAATAACGAAATATGCGTCAACTAGCCAACAAAAAAAAAATTATAAAATTATAATTTTTTTTTACCTTGATTATTCTGCAAAAAATGTTTTTCAAGTTAAAAGGAGTGAAAACTGAGCCGCTTCACTGAGTTTTTACTGTTTTTTAATTTTATTTCTAATTTTTCGTATTGCTTTCGTTATAATTTCCAACTTGTCAAGGCTAAATATGTTACCTGTACTGAATGCAGTGATGGACGTCGCTTAGTTATTGGGTTGAGCGTATGTTGTGGTTGTCCGAAATTTGCTTGCCTGAAACATATTCGGTGCCACATGACACAAAAGAATCATTATTTTTGTAAGTTTTTTTACAAAAATATTTCATTTTAATTGATTAATTGTTAAAAAACATTGTTGGATTGTCTATTTATTGCAGCGATTTATTCAGAAACGGGTCATATTTTTTGTAATCTGTGCAGCGCAATTATTTATGATGTGAAATTGGAAAGACTGCGTCGAGAAAGAAAGAATGCTTCACTCCGAGTTTTAGGCCTATGTGCTGAATACAGATTACGACCAAATAATACATTTGTCCATTTATTTTTCTCTCGGCATTCTAAAGTTATCAAGCTTAAGAGAAAAAGTAATAACGGTATAATTTTTTTCACTTTAAGTCAAGCGTTCTATTTTCTTGCTTTTTGAGTCCTCAATTTTTGATAAAATTGGAGATGAAGAATCCTTTTGAACTCTTTCTGAGAATTTCAATTCATTTTTCAGAACATTTTCAGCAAAAATATTCAAAATAATAAAATAATAAAAATAATTCTCCAGGGTTGAGAGGATTAGTGAATTTGGGAAATACGTGTTTTATGAACAGCGTTCTGCAGGCATTATTACACGCTCCATATTTGAGGCCGTATTTTTTAAGTGACTTGCATCGATGTAACAAAAGTTTGGGCAATTGTCTGATGTGTGAACTTTTAACTATATTTCAAGTTCGTTTTGTTGGAGACTTTCTAACTGTTTCAACCTAATCAGTTTTATATCTCTTTATTTCTTTTTCTTAAATTTACTTTCTTCATGTCTTATGTTATTGAAAAACTTCAGGCATTTTATGGTGGCAGTATTATGCCATATAGACCAAATCGGTTCTTATATTTGATGTGGCGTTTCGTTGGGAAATTCGCTCAATATCGACAGCAAGATGCCCATGAATTTTTTATTGCGTTGCTGGGAGTGCTTTGTCCATCAGGACGTAACCTTTTGAATTCATTAATTTTTATGGTTTTTTATTACTTAAGACATTCATTTTATTCATTGTTTCAGAACCAAAACCGGGGTCTGAAAACTGTGAATGCATCGTTGAGAGGCTATTCAAAGGCACTCTTCAATCAGATTTGTCGTGTCCGGCTTGCGGGTTTGCTTTTTTATCAACTAAGCTCATTAATTAATGTTGTCTATTCTACCATTTCAGTGCTGTATCAACAAAATGCGAAGTTCTTTCCGATATAGCTGTGGACGTCGGTAAGGAAGTTTTTCCATCATCATCGACATCGACTGACTCAATTGAAATCACTCTGGAAGAATGTTTGCGAAGGTTTCTATTTTGAAATTGTTTTCGTGGAATAGATATAATAATGACGGAAAGAGTTCAGTCGTTTAATGTTCTAAACCTATTGACTACTGGTTAACATTTTAAAAATAATGAAAAAATAGTGGAAACATGTTAATTAAAGTCGTATTAGGAGAAAAATATTTAAAAACGAATTTATAAGAAACTATTAAATGCAGATATGTCCAGCCTGAACATCTTGCAAGCGTAAAATGTAGTCATTGTACAGCTCAAGGTGGATTAACGAAGCAACTTACTTTCAAAAAGCTACCAAATATTGCTTGTATCCACTTGAAAAGGTTTGAACCGACCAAAAAGATGTCAACTAAAATTTCTTTCCCACAGTTCATTGATATGACGCCATTTACCACTCACCATCGTCAAGGTTTTGTCGAACACATAAATTCGGTATATGGTCCTATATCAAGTCTAAATTACTCGACAACATCTATGGAAGCACTTATTCGAACAAGGAACAAGTAAATTTTCAAAATAAAGTAAATAAATGTATTGAGTTACATGATTTAAGTGTGACTTGTAGATACGAACTTTTTGCGGTCATTAATCACGTTGGAACAATGGACAGTGGCCACTACACCTGTTTCGTCCGGCATGCAAATCAGTGGTATCTGTGTGATGATGATAAAATTTCACCGGCATCGATCCAGTACGTTTTGAAATCAGAAGGCTATATTTTATTTTATGCTAAGAGTCTTCTTGATTTCATATAATTTATTTGTATTGTATAGTGACGATTAAAATACATTTACCTTCATCAGAATTTAACTACTATAATATCCTATAACTCTCCGCAATTTGCTAACTTATTCCCACGAGAGAATATCAAAATTCTAATAACAGTTTATGTAGAACTTAAAAACTTGTACTTTGTAGAACTTTCTTCTTCTAACAGCTCTCACCATTACTGGTACTAGCTTCGCTGGCTACAAGAGTAAGACGTCTCCAAACCGCCCGGTCCGATACGCCATCGCTAGTATTAATGATAGAAGCCATTCTTTTTTCCATCGTCTACGTCCATATATCGCTGGTCCCCGTTCAAAACTTTATCAATCCAGGTCTTGTCTGGTCCTCCTCACTTTTAACGCCAACCATCACAGGGTTTAGCAAAAAGTGAAAAATGCGTCTCTCCTATGCTGGACGATGGAGAACATATCCTAACCAGTGAATCCGACGCTCTGTAATAACATAATAACATTATTACATTATTAATCGTATTTGAGCGAAGTTGGATATAATCATGTGCTTTCATCTGCTGGACTGATCCGTAAAATGTACCTTGGACATGAGTTGTCAAAGACTAATAGTTTTTTGATATCTTCTATCCTCATTGACCATGTATCACAGCCATATAGCAAGATCGAACGAATTGCAGCTATATGGACATGGGTTTTTGTCTTTATGGTGATTTCGCGACGGTTCCATAAAGGATTTCATCGACCGGAAAACATAATTTCTAGCTGCCATTATCTGGGTTACGACTTCATCCTTTGCCTGGCCATTCGGGATTGGAGTGGATCCAAGGTATTTGCAGTCCATCACTTTCCAACCGGTAATGAATTGATAAAAATAGGTATTTTATCAGCATCCTGTGTATAAGACAAAAATACTTTCGTTATAATACCAGTCCTCGCTGCAATTGTTGACACGTCGTTTAACATCGTTTAACATTGACTCTGAACTTAAAAATCGTTGCATATTAATATAAAATTTGTCTGGGCGCAGGAGTAAACCTGTACAACCCCCCGGACCAACACGACAAGCCAGGTGGGTTTAACCAATAATGGTGAGGACTCTTAAAAAAAAATACCTGGTAAATAAAACGATAAGAAACGGCGGCATCTCCCCAGTAATTATCAAATAAATTCTCGATAGCATGTACAAATAAGTTAATGATTTTCTCACCAAAAAACCATAAATTATTTAATGATGATTTGAAATCGCAGAAAGCCACATCCTTTTCCCCATAAAGCTGACGAAAAAAATGACGATCCTTTCTGGACAAAAAAATAAATGAACTACAAAAAAACAAATTCTTATTTCAGGCAGGAAGTAATGGAGATTTCTTAAAGATTACCATAAAGATAATAATACATCAATTAAAAAATTAAATGCTTAACATTGATTAGAAATTGAAAAAAAAATTTCAAATAGAAATTTCAAGGCAAATTATTTGTAAAAAGAAATATCAGGAATATAATTCACTATAATACATCGAATGTAAAATTACATATAGTTTTAAATTTCTAACAAAAATTTATCTAATTTCTTATCAAGAAAAATTTCGCATAATATTAAATGTATTATAGTACAGAATTTTCTATATACATTTTACTTTTATTTTACAACGATTTCAAGACTACTCGCTGAACTAACTGAATCACGATCAGCATCACGATAAGATTCACTTGAAGTCATCAAATTCTCATTCCCTGCCATAATATTGGTTACTTTTCGCATACAATTCGTCGCAGTTTCATCTTCGACAAAACCCGATTCTGGGCTATCAGTAAAATCATCACTTGGTGGTGTCGGTGTTTCAACCATGGGAGATAAATGATTCGATGAAGATATATTGCAACACAATGATGCTGAATTTAGTGGTGATGATGATGTTGATGAAGGTGATATGCTACGTTTACTTGAATGACTTGAACAAGCTCTTTTTTTTATACAGTGAGTTATACGAGTAAAGAAACATGTTGGATTATTTCCACGAACATTTGATGAACAAATTTTGGCGCTTTGAAGGTGTTGGAAAGTTGGATTTTCTACGCTCAGTAACGTCGGTGAACCAGGTAACTTCGAAGTGCCAGGAATTGACTGGGGAATAGCAAAAAATGGATTCGAAACTGCAAAATCGTCGATAGGTGACGGCGTGAAAGAAAGTTTTTGGAATTCAGTTGATGGTGAAGGAAGATTTTCATTAACCGACTTTGGTATGCAAGGAGCTTTTCGTGATCTTAAACCATCCAGAGCTCGTGGTCGGTCCAATAAACAAATGCCTAATGTTCTTTTGCCATTTTCATTCATTTTACAAGACATTTGCCATTGTTCATTACGCCAAAAATTTTGTGGTCTTGCGATTTTCTTGGAGATTTGATCACAACTTGCTGATTTCGCAATCTTTATCGAACATTCTTCAATATACTTAATCTAAAAATAAGTTATTTTAAGTAAATATCTAAAATATTTAGGGCAATATAGGCAATAAATAAATAAAATAAATATTTAGGCAATTTAGCTAATATTTTATGATTTTACAAAAAGATAGCATGAACTGACAATTTTGACATAATTTTAAAAAGTTTTCCATAAAAATTACCAAAAGTTGTCACCAAAAGTTGTCACCAAATCCATTTTTTGCTATTCCCCAGTCAATTCCTGGCAAGGATTTCGCCTCACAGTTTTCTGAACTGACTCAAAGTTTCTCTTGCTAAAATTTCTTTTCTTTCAAAAACTCAGCTTACTTCATCATTTTTTGTATCAGTTGACTGATTTAATGGTGATGGCGAATATTCACATGAAGAACTTGGTGATAGCGCAAGGCGAAACTCTTCACGCAACTGCGATTCATATTCTAATAACTGGCCCATAAAATTAAAATTTGGTGAAATGGATGGGCGTTTTGACTTAACATACCTGTAATTTATTGCAAGATAAATAAAATTGAATAGACTTTCATAATCTATTTATCCATTTATTTTCTATTCATTTACTTGCTTAGAGGAAAATTTCCTCGTTTTTTCAAGGTAGTTCAAATTCCTTTTTTTTGATTTTTCTTTTATCGATAAAATTTGAACACTAAAATGCGAGCCCAACATAATCCAAAAGATATACGTTTAATTGCCAACAAAGTTCCCAAATAATTCAATTTAAATTCCTCAGGAGGAAAATAACCTGTATGCTTGGTCAGATGTCCACTTATTTCTTCGCATAATATATGCAATCGCAAGAGTTGGACTGCGAGAAATGCCAGCCAAACAATGTAGAAGTACATTCGAACCATTTTGCGATACTTTATCTGTTATATATAAAAATGTATGTAAATGTATGTAAATGTACATACATTTTTATATATATATAAATTACTAATAAATTTTATGGATGACGAATATTTACTTAACAGCGTAAGCAAAGTTTAATAAGCAAGATTTCGTAAAACTCTGTTGCTTTAATTTTGGATAAAAAGACAACCAATTGTAGTAAATATCTCAGTTGTGTAATTTTTACCTAAAAATTTAAATGCTTCTTCGAAGTACGGCAATAATTTATCTTGGTATGAATCATTAACAGGTATTCGCAAAAAATGTTCATCATCCTTGAAATGATCGGGCTGTGGGCAATTCACACTCAAATTTATTATATATTCTATACCACATACCTGAAAATTACGATGAAAGCCCATTAAATGAGTTAAAAAAGAGCGAAAGATTTCCTAATATAAGCATAAATAATTCTAGGATGTTGGATGGAGCGATTGCTCAGAATAGTTTTAAAGATTTTTCGCAAGGATTTCGCCTCCAAGAGAAGCAAAGCTTCCATGGAAAGAATCAAGTGATATTTAAGATCTATCGATACTCCTCCCATCCACAAATGACTACCTAGTGAAAAAATTACAAAAATTAGCAAAAATTACAAGCTGTGCTATTAGTCGATAATTATTATTGGAGAGTAAAGAATTTATGTGCTATTAGTCGATAATTATTTATGATGGCTAATAAGAAAAATAGCCTTTATTACCGGTTTTGTCCGCCACCTTTATTACTATAACCGAACCTATCACTTTCATTTTACTTGCCATGTGTAAACTTATTTCAATGTCCAAACGCGAACAAAACCATTGGCGAAGTTGCTTAGTTACTTTGATACTAACAATTTAATATCCCCTTATCAGCACGAAAAAATCTACTGCCTAATCTTTTTGACTGGTTACCGTCAGTCAAAAATATCAGTCACCTACTCAAATTTGACCAAAGCATTTGATACCGTTCCCCACAGTAAATTGCCGGTTACCATTAATAAATATCAAATATATAACTAGATATCAAATCACTTAAAGGACCCGAACCAAGAGTATATGTCTCTTTTAGGTATAGAAACACTTAAATCAGAAGTCGCTCAAGAAAATTATATCGTACACCCATTATACCCATTATATTATACCCATTATATTTTTTAATATACATTGATAATACCACCAAATATATTAAATTCTACCAGCTATGCCTCATGATTATAAAATTTATTACTTTTATGGTAAATCATATTACTTCGACTATAAAATAATCTCAACAAAACTGCCAACAGGTTATTTGACAGGCAAATTATTCTTATTCTTTTATTCTTACATCCGAATTATTTTTTCTTTTCAAACATGTAGTATACATATGAATTCGAAAGGATCCAATTCCTAATCAAATTTTATTAATAGTAATAGGCGTGTATCGAAAGAATCTCAGATCTGTTGTGGATAAAAGCCTTGATTCACTGCAGGACAACATTGAAGAAATTCTCAAGATCACTGCATTTTATTTTTCGGTCGCATAAAAATAAAACCCATAATTTTTTATCAAAATATATAAAGCGTTCATTCGACCTCTTCTTGAAAAATATGTTATTCCCCTAGATGCCACAAACCTTCTAACGGCTCTCAACATCATGGTTAGGCGGCACTGGCTACAGGAGTAAGACGTTTCCAAATTGCGCGATCTGATCATTGACATTAATAGTAATAGTAATAGAAGCCACTCCTTTTTCCAGTGTCAAGTCCAGGTCTTGATTGGCCCTCCTCACTTTTGAAGCCAACTACCACAGGGTTCTGCAAGTACCGAAATATTCATCAACTGCTGTAATGGATGATAGAGAACGTGTTCTAACCAGAGAAAGCGACGCACTGTGATGATACTTGAGAGATATTTGAGCGGAGTTGGATAAAATTATGTTTTATCGGCCAGATGGATCCGTAAAATATACCATAGACATAAATGGTCAAAGGCTGATAACTTCTTAATGCTCTCCACTCATTGCTCATTTCTCGCAACCATATAACGAATCGCAGCTATATAGATGCGATCTTTTATTTTTATGGTGATTTCACAAGTGCTCAATAAAGGTCTCGCCAATCAGAAAAATGCAGTTCTAGATGTCGTAATCCGGGTTGTAATTTCGTCTTTCACCCACAAACCAAATAAATTAAATGAACTCCAAAAATACTTTACACATTGCTCCTCTCCTGATAGCAATCTTAACTTCAGCTGTAACATAAAATCCCTCTCAAATGTGAAATAATTAAACAAGAATTTAAAATTTCATATGGTTATGTCAAATGTCAAATTATGTCAAATTAAAATACTTCATGACTTTTTCCACTCGCACCATTAATTACTGGAATACGCTACAAAGCGACGTAATATGCACATCATGCTCAGCTACTTTAAAAAAAATGATCAAATAATATCAACCACAATATTATTTAGAAGTTTCATATTATTCTTTCAGAATATGATTATGTGCCAGTAACACATTCAGCTGAATCTGTGCTATTTCTCTTAACATTGTCAGCTTTTATCACATTTCTTTTGCATATTACATATTTTATTTTACATATCACTAATTTCTTTTCATTTGACATCTCATTTTTTATTTTTTGTTATTTATTTACAAGGACATGAAGCTTTTCGCTCTGCTAGGTTGCTCAAATAAATAAATAAAAAATACCTTGAGAAGTTTTTCATTCATTGCATCTTGTTGGGAACCAAGATAAAGAAATGGAAGAATTTTTGTTGGACCATTCACTGTTAAATATGTTGCCGCAACACATGGCTGCGATATATAATTACTACTACTTAGCGGTACTTCGGTAATTTTTTGCATTTCATTCGAACTTTCACACAATTCAGGAAAACGAATATGAAAATCGTTAAAACCGTCTGAAAAATAATTTATAAATTATATAAAATAATTTATAATTTAATATGATTATTTTAAAAAATTTCGATAAAAATAATTCATTAAAATGAAAATCAATTTTATTTTATAATTTTAAAAATAAAAAAATAAAGAAAATACCAAAATAGCAAACTGATAAAAAAAAATTTTTATGAATGGATCTGTTCTCGACTAATACAAAAAAATAACACAACCAATGACAATTAACAGAAAAAAACAAGTCAAACCAATGATCTTTGATCGGCTGCGTGAGTCACCAAGGTGTGACACGAATCGATACGATGGAAATGACAATACGTAAAACTCATGTAAAACTTCACCCTTACCAAACCTAACGTAAATTCGTATTGATATCGATCGAGATTCAACAAGAATTGAGTATGGAGAACAAACAAAAAGTTTTGTAAAACATGAATTTCATAAAAATAGGTTTAAACAGTTTGGGCTTGAACTAAACATTAGCAAAACTGGCTTAGCGCTCACCATTAGGCCTGCTTTGTTAATTTGGCAGAGATTCCCTTAGTGGATGCCATCACTACCTCGATCTTTTAAGGAGACGCTTGTCTGCCAGAAGCAACAACCAAAGCCTTACCTTTCAAATCTGAATTATCCATTCACTATCCATTCCACAATCTTACTCGTGAAACTGATAATAATTAATGGACAATAAATGAGAACTTATAATGACCCATTGATTCACTGTCATATGGATATGAATCATTTATGCATTAAAAAATTGAGAATGACAGGTTTTTGAAAATTCAAATATGCTTATCGACTTGATTTTATCATCATTGAAAAAAATAACCTATAACAATCTAATAGTTCTAACCGAAATCCAAAATTTAACTCAGGACTCATTATATATCATTCAAGATTCCTCGTATTTGAATTAGATATTTTTTAAATAATGTTAGAGATAAGCGATTGCCAATTCAGCACCGGTTGTTGCATAAATAGATATCCTATGGGTGGAAGGGTCAGGTAACGGGTTTAGCTGACTCACTGGGTCGGTAAAAGTGCAATTTATTAATTTTGTGGCGATGACGACAATTTGATGGCGGTGGCGATAATATGGCCTCTTTAAGAACACAATACATTTTATTATAGGTAAACTTTTAAATTGTAACAGTAAGTAAAAGAAGTACGAAGAACGCTAAGCTTCGCATCTATTTGCAACGACCTGCATATACTTGACCTTTCTAAGGTACGTTCAAAAAATTTCTTGAATTTAATACGTCATGAACTGCTAGAATAACGAGTCATAAGGTAAATAATATGAAAAAACATGTCATATATGAGATATGTACGGCTCGCTTAAGGTCGAATAAAAGGGCTTGGCTTATATCCATAATTCCGTAAGCGATCGTTGTTCATAATCCGCGAGCTGCAAACAGCTGATCGATGATTCACCGAACAAATAAATTGTTGAATCACCATCATGTATCTTTTTACAGCTTGGAAACTTCTTAATAGCACAGGCAGTTTCGTGGCGATTAGCTTATGATAATCTTATTACGCCACTGGATATACCAAAAATTTTTTAAATTTAAGGCAGTAAATTAATTAAAAGGCAAAAAGAGTCGCAACCAACTAATTGCTGAACTGCTTTTTCAAAAATTTTTGTGACTAATTCCAAAAAGGATTTTAAAACTAAAATAAAAATCTATTATAAAGTTTTTAATCATAGAAAACGCTTTACTTAACCTTTTATTGCAAAGGTCAACGAATTAACTCTCAAAGTGATTGTAAAGCATTCATTTAAAAATAGTCGAATACTTTTAGCAGTTGGCATGGATTAAACTATTTTTCGAACATGAATCATCAGCATCATCATCGTCATTATTGTTATGATAAGGATTAAGCATCACCATAATAATCAGTTGATGGAGCGATGAAATATAGTAACAATCTCGAATAATGAAATCAATAAATCTCCATTAGTAATATTAAAATTTCTTTCTTTAATGAATCCAAGTTATGCCGTAGACCTAGTTATATTTTTATCCTCATAACTCTCTAACGAACATCTCTTCCTAATAGCCAAAGTAGCGAGGCAAATGAAAAATGGTGAGCTCACGGAAGAAGTTAATAAGTAGTCCACATACATTCTCAACGAAAATCATTCTAGAATCGATAGCAACAACTTGAATAACTAAAAATTGAGTGGTCGTCGTTTAGCATCCACATTCATCCATCGCCGTCGACATCATCAATATTCTTCGACTGCCCAAAAAGCAATCGATTAGTAACAGCAAGCTAAGCAATATATAACAATATATAACTTATATAGCAATAAACAACTTTCTTTAACTATATTTCATTACTTTGAAATACTTTGGAAATTTATTAGAAAATAAAATCCACGCTTTAAAGATAAGAAACCAAAAAACCAATAATTAATAAACAGGTCGCGTAAAATATTTTTTATGGCGAAGAGTTTATAACTGAACATCTCCGGAAGTCCGAAGTCATAATTTATTATAAATGATGGTGAGAATTTATTTAACATTCATCACTTTTTTCCGGAAATCATTCTTTATCAAAATCAATAAACAATTACAAACGAGTTCTCTCGTAAAAACATTCACATGGTAAATCATCATAATACTCAAAAGTAATATTCAAATAATACTCAGTTTAGTTTACGGGATCTGGCCTTTAGAGTGAAAGGATAGCAGCATAAGACGCTACCCTTAATATGGTCAAACATCACCGGTGCATGCCTTCCCCTCCTCTCCTGATTGTCTCCTGATGGCAGTTTTTTTCAATCAATACCAACAGGTGTAAATTATATACAATAGTCAATATAACGCCAAGGACGTTCAAGAGAATGTTGTACCCCTCACAGGCTGTTTCGCACAATATAGTGTCCTCTCAGAAGAAGAAAAACTGAAAAGTACCCACTTATAGGGCAAAATGAATAGCGAGATGATCTGAAGTCTTTGCTAGATTTTCGGTTGACCTTCCGAGGAATTCATCTCATAAATCGAAAGCAATAAATATGCCTAAGCACTTGCACTTTTATTGTACTGTTTACTTACTATATAAAATTACAATGTCGTCGTCTAATTTTTGACATAAATAATCGAAAAAACTGTTTTGAAAACCACAAACCTCGAAGTATAAGAACACGACGAAAAAGTTTCGATGAAATGATTTTCTCTTGTAAATTACGCAAAATTTTCGATGGTAATTCCTCAGAATTGACACAAATTTTTCGTCTGAGCTTTCGAAAGGCCCAATTCGTACTATTTACTGCACCAACTGGTAAATCGTCTTCTGAATATAGCACCAATTCCATATAGATCGAACCACAACATTTATCCTCACCAAGCTGTGATAAAACCGTTGAACGGCAAGACTAAAAACCGTATCATTTCGATAATTTAGTTTTTTATGTTCCGGATTGATGTATTATTTTGTTAAAAATTACGTAACACAGCCAAGAGCTATTCAAGTTTCAAAATAGTTATGCCTCATTTAAAACAAATCTATAACCTACAAATAATAAACTTGTAATCGACATCACTTAACTCGCTAAAACCTCGAGCTATAAGTGAAGCATTAGGAATGATATGAAGAGGGGTTAAAATAAGCCAAAGCCGACAAATAGTGAGCAATGAAATCGTTCACCCAAGCAGCCATTCAATGTGCCGACTGATAATTATGATTCACATTCGAACACTGAGCATGATTTATCAGAATAGATAATCTGATGCTAGCAAATATTAAATTCGTAATCGATTACGACAGGACCTACAGCCTTCCATCATTAGTTACAGCTAAAAATCCTCGAACTTGTCGCAGAAAAAAGGAATATTTTAATGAACGAGTGTATGAACGAAATATCATTACTTTCCTATTAACTAAGGCATTACTTTTAATTACTGTTATAGTACAGGTAGGCGGACATTTTCCCACAGCACTTTCAAGATTCCCACGCTTCATTCCTATCTTGAGTTATCATCTAACAACCCATATTGACCACTCGTATCAATCATTTGATAGCTTCATTAGTCATTTGTATGAGTCAGTCGATGATTCATAACGGCTATTCAAATGAATCACCCAATGATTCATGCCGACTACCTGTCTGAGTCATTCAAGTCTGAGTTGTTCACGAGGTGACGTACATTCTGGTCATTTGTTTGAGTCATGCAGTGGTCATCTAAATGAAATTACCTCAAATAATAAGAGTGGCTGCATAGTATACAGAAAATTTAGATTGGATTCTTTATGCACTTTTTTTACTAATTATAAATATTATTATTAACGCAAAAGTTATTATTTAATCTTTTGAATCATTAAAAAAAATAAAAATTATAAATCAAAATAAAAGTTTTATTTTTCGCTATTAATATTATTATTATTTCATTTCTATTTTCTTTATTCTTGTAAGTCAGTAAAATAAAATAAAAATCACAGAGTAGAAAAATCCGCAAAAAAATCCACAATTTAACTATTTAAAGCGATAACAACTCGCCTAATTCAATGTTAAATTTATGCACTATAATTTGAGTGGTACTAGCGACTCATCTGTATTTCTACTGCCAAGTGACCGTGTGACTGGAATTTTAGATCGCGTTCACCCAGAGAAGATAGCTAAGCGAGAAATGCTGATCGTTAACCATTAATTTGGTTATAAATATCTTAAAAGGACGATTCGAACTCTCGCCTCTCAGCATGGTAATACAGTTCGAAACATTTCCAACTCTGTTCTCCTACCCTCTACTTCAAATTTAATGGTGATCTTTCATGCAAAAGCACCCAAAATTCACAAATCGATAACTAGAAAACTAGTTTTTAGGTGGATGTACATGTTTTATATTCGATAAATTTCTGTTTTATATCGATAAATCTCGTCAAATACAAAAAAAAATTTTGCTTTATTTTCATAGTGAAAAAAAATGAACTGCACGTTGAGATAAAGATAGAAATTATTTAAAGAAACACTGTTAAAGGTTACGGCAAGAAGAAACTTATATGGCGTATAACACCTAATTTTACTGCACTTCTGTAGTAGAAAACCAGCGTGAAAAAGGATTTCTACTAATTTTGCCGAGGGATTTCCTCAAATTTAATTAAATTAATTTGAAATTTTTGTGTGGACATCGTCATGGCTACCGCAGTCTTTAGCAGTCGATGTTACATATGATACGTAAAATGTATAGATTCTCGAGATTCCCACACACACACTTACATACTTTTTCGCTATTCTCCACCAAATAATACGTCTCGTTTTAGAAAGGAAAGAAAAAAGTTAAGACTGTCCAACTGTCTTAGGGTCATAAGACACGAGTGGATCGTGGTCCAAATCACCGTTGAGAGGCAAAGATTCAACTTGCACTCTTGGTGCTAATAAATCAATTACTAAAAAATTAGATGAATATGATTCTCTGAAAAAATTCTTAATCATACTAATCCAGAAATGGTGAGCTAATTACTGATTTATTCACCCCCATTTGCACAAAAAATACCCAAAAAAGCGACTAACTTTACTATCAAATAACCTTCTCCTCATCATTTTGGAATAAAATGCATTTATTGCACGGCGTATATGTGATTTATTATAATTGAAAAATGATCGACAATCAACAACTAATACCTAAAATATTTTCGTCTAAATAAAATAAACTAAAATGAAATAAAGCCATTGTGAATAAATAATTCGTTCTAATCGTTATTACTGCTATATGCTTTTTTTGTATACTTTAAATTTGTAAAAAAGTTTTAAAGTTTATTTTAAAAAATAGAAAATCTTATACGAAAAGATACATATACTTACAATATTTAATATATAAATGTTGACCAATTATTAATTAATTAAAATTTCATCAAATTAAATTTCGATGAAATGAAAATTTTCAATAAATTTGGTAAATTTTAAAAAATATTTATAAACCTTTTTAAATGGTTCATTTGAAGAAAGAAGTTCGGCAAGTGAAATTGAATCGATAGCTAAGGCCATTCTAAATATTTCATTTTTACTACTCAAATAAAAACAGTAATAATAGTAATAATAATTAGTAATAATAATTAATAATGATAATAACTAATAGTAATAAATAATAATAATAGTAGTAACTGAGTAGGCAACACTGGCCCGAAAATAAAAAACCGAAATTTATCACCGCAATACAATACAACTTACATGGAGCGTAATTATCTGAATAATTTATTAATCAAATGAATTGTAACGACTATTTTCCACCATTTTCACCACTGAAAATTATTTGAAGCGATAGTCTGTACTTATCAGTTACCCAACGATATAAAATTTTGATGCGGAAATAATGTGACAAGAGAAAAGCATGAAGAGCGAAGAGTAAATGGAGAGGCAAAAGTAGCCTAAGCCTTAATCAGCGCCCCAGCTGGACAGAACCGTGGTACCAGCTTCCGTACTTAATGCGATCTTGGTCCACCCAAGACGTCACCAGGTTTTTCTTCAAATATGATTTTGATATCCTTTCATTTCAATGTTGTACAACGTTATTTCATGAGAAATGAGAACTATTGAACTGCAATAAGTTGTCAAATACTAATCTGCAGCTTTATATCTTTTCATAAATTCATATAAAATCCCCAAAGTAAAAAGAAATTATCAGAATTAAGGAGGGAACTTTTACAAAATCCCTCAAGTCCAAGGATGGAATTTTTGTTTTTCAACATTTTACAATAAATAAAACCATTATGAAGCGATTCGTTTATAGCGATTCAGCGAAATAATACTTAATTTACATTTAATTAATTAATCGGCGATGTAGGCTTAGAATTCCGAGGGAAAAACTTGTTCGAAGCTTGTTATCCGATATTTACGGCTTTTACTTGAACTTTAATATGATGATGTTGACAATCTACTTATATTTCTATTTTTAAGTGACTCTCTGGCAAAAATTTCTCGTTATATTAACAACCAACGAAATAAGATTGACTCAGAAACGGCGAGAATAGCCATTTATTTTTTACTTATATTAATTTGCTGCAAATATATATATCTCAAATATATCTCAAAATTACACCGATTTCATTTTGACGACGGGTCAGAAAGCATAAATGGCTTCATTTTAACACTGTAAAACGATGACTAGAAGTGGTGCATGATAAGAGCATTAGATATTAATGAACCAGTATTAACTGATGGTTAATGGACTACTGAAATCGCACCAGATCGAGGAACTAGGAGAATGAAAATAATATGAAGTTGATGGATTGGTTGAAAGAGTCTACTAACAGCTGCAAAAATCTGGATTATTAAAAGACAGCACTGAAAAAAAATGATCATAGTAGCATGAAAGCCACTTCCATACTAGGATACACAAGTACGAAATGCGTTAACTGGGTAAAAGAACCAACTGTCCAACTGTTTGAAAAAGCTACCAAAGCACGAATATCAGGAAAATCTGACTAATGGATGCTTCAAAAAATTATAGCGATAGCAGCATGGCGGGAAACGCTAATGTAGCGAAATGAAGAATGGAGATGGCAACCCGATTAGGCAATAACAGGAAACTTCTCTATAAAGGAACCATAAGGAAAGTGATCAACGAAGGGATATTATTATGATGCATCTATTAAGGCTATGGATCACTTCATAAGGTGGAAGGAATTCTTTGAGACCAGAATTAATTACAATACGCCATCTGTTGCCGGACATAGCTGATTCGTTTATCGAGCCATATATTTACAACAGCGAATTGCCAGCAGAAGAAAGAATAATCTCTCTGATCCATAAGCTTAAAACCAAAAAAACTCACGGAAAAGATAGCCTAATACAAATAATCTTAAACGATGTGTCAACATAACCACGGAGAACAGGGACCAGGACCAACGTAAATAAAACGGAATTATTTTCGTCTTATATAAGCTGATAAGCTGATAAAACAATTTACCACCGGTTAAAGAAGACTTTAAATATTTTGCGTCTACTTCAATCCAAATAGAAATTACGAGAGGGATAACGGTAACTGAAAAATTGTTCTTCTGGTTTGCGAAACCTTTATAAAATCGTTGCGAAATCACTCTAAAAAAGAAAGTCCTTCTAAGATCCGTCGAGCGGACAAAATATCACATGATCGCATCCACCTTCATTCAAATACAACTTGCATTAACACATGTTATCACAGAGTATCGCCTTCACTGGATAGGGCACATACTTCGTCCACCAGAGGAATTGATACATATTTCGCTATTTTCCGAACCCTGCAATCGTTAGCATCAAAAACGAGCTAAACCTAGATTGATATATTCAATCAAGAAAGAATTTGAACGTATAGCGATATAAGGACTTAGACGGTGGAAGAAGGAAACGGCTTCTATTACTGTCGACGATGGTGTCGAGCCGTTCAGAGCTCGGAAACTCTTAAATCTTGTAGCCAGCAGAGCCAGTCTAACAAATAATGTTAGAAAAAAAATAGAAATCTCGATGGAGAAAATCTTAACAATGATGGATTATACAATATTTCAGATTTCAGAATATTTGAATGAAACGCATTTGGAGCCATATGATTGATATTACGAAATAGTTATTAAGCATGAAAGAATTCGGAAGCTTAAGGCCAATGTTATCTCCGAAAAAGATAATCTTCGAGCTAAATTCCTCAAACCTGTAACCTGCAAAAAATGCCATTCTCAATACCCAAAAAAGACGAAAAACTATATAAGAATTAGTTTGCTGGATATTTCTGGGAAGATTTTTACCACTCTTCTGCTCAATATATTTTTAGTAATGTATTGAGTATTTTAGTAGTATAATTTAGTAGTAGTTATTTTTAGTAGTGCGCAAAAGCAGAATGTCCATACAAGTAGGATTCAGGCCAAAGCATAGCTGTGCTGTACCAAATTTTTACGTAGTGGATATTGGAACAATGCTTTAAGTATGGCCAACCTACCATTACGTGTTTTTGATTTGGATCGGACTGTATTCTAACCATTCATGCGACACCAATCAGCCCAAATATGTATGAGGAATTGATGGTATCCTTACAAATTTTGCCATGAAGTCACTTAATGATAGAAATAGAAATAATTTGCCAGCATTACCCAGATTTTTGAACGAAAGTTTTATTCTTGTCTGACGTAGAAAATTAGCATTGGTACTCCAAAATGATCAACAACCCACTGAGAGTCATTCTTTTGCATTCGTTGTTCGGCAATACTGCAGCCCAAAGAAGTGTGCTGCGATGGCCGAAATCGAACGCGAGTCGTTCCTCATTCACGGTGGTAGTCAATTTTTCACAAAGCCACCTGGATAAAAAATCCCATTCTTTTATCCTATGGGTAGTATAGATCATCTCCAACTTTGAGTCCTTCACCGTGAGCAAGTGAATTCGGAGGTTCAATACCTTAGTTGTTCCACAGTGCACCCTTTCATAGAGTTTGTTAGAACCATTTTTCCAGTTTAGTAGGTTTGGCATCTAGTGCTTTAACCATCATTAAATACCTTGGTCTTAATTTTCCATATCTCCCCCTTTCACTCTCTGGTATTCCTGGTATTCTGGTGTTCCTCATATTTCTTCTTTCTGATGTTCCTGTGGCTTAATATAGCTATATCTATCACCAGTGCTGATTTTTAATTCTAGTCTACCAATGTCTGGTTGATTGGCCAGTATTTGTGTGGATGAAGAAGTCCCACAAGATCTTGGCCGAGTTATTCTTCACGATTTTTCGATATCCTATTGTTTTGGGAGACTCTAAACTCTAAACCATATGCTGAACAGATATTCCTGTAGACAAAAGCAGTTATATTTTTCAATGCATGCTGTTCCTGCTTATATGTTGGATAGTTTTTTTTTGCATAATCTGCATTATAAGTCTTGTCTAATATGGTGTACTCGGATGCATACTTAGTACTTTACTTGGATGGAGAAGTCCCCCAGGATGGCCAGATGCCCTGTTCTGATCGGTGCCTTAGTGCTGCTTTTTAATCCAGCTTTTTCCCGCCACTGGACGATGTCATGTCCAGGATACTTCCCATGTCTGGCCATCGTCTTTCCTCTTGCTTAATCTTTCTCTATTATTTACAGATGACTCAGTAGTTCATCCTTTGGTTCGTTCCATCTTATGCTATTCCATCTACCTTCTTCTTTTTCTTCTAACAACTCTCATCATTACTGGTTAAGCTGGCTTCAACGGCTACAAGAATAAGACGCTTCCAAGCGGTGCGGTCTGATGCCGTCAACAGTAATAGAAGCCATTCCTTTTTCCATCGTCTAAGTCCATATATTGCTGGTCCTATACGTTCAAAATCTTTCCTGACCGTATCAATCCAGGATTTGATTGGCTAACCTCGCTTTTGACGCTATCCATCAAGAGTTTAGCAAATAACGAAATATGCGTCAACTTCTGTGGTGGACGACGGAGAACGTGCCCTAACCGCCGAAGCCGTCGTTTTGTGATAATATTAATAGAGATGGTGTTTGAAAGAAAGTGGATGCGATCATGTGATATTTTATCCGTTCGACGGACCCGTAAAATATACCTTAGACAAGGTCAAAGACGATAGCTTCTTAATATCCCTCACTTTCATTGGCCATGTCTCAGAAACATATAGCAAGATCGAACGACTATGTAATACGGATTTTTGCTTTTATGGTGATTTCACGACGACTCCATAAAGGTTTCGTCAACAGGAAGAACGTTGCCGTGATTCGGGTTGTAATATCATCTTTTGCCTGACCATTTGGTATTAGAGGGGACCTGTAATTTCCATTTGGATTGAAGTAGATGCAAGATATTTAAAGTCTTCCTTAACAGGTAGTGAACTATTTTATCAGCTTATATAAGACGATTTGGCGCCAACCATCACAGAGTTTAGCAAGTAACGAAATATACGCCAACTCCTAATATGTGGGCGAACGTGCCATAACCAGCGAAGGCTACGCTATGTGATAACATTATTAATACAAGTAGTATTTGAGCGAAGATGGATAAATCATGTGCGATTTTATCCGCTCGACGGATCCGTAAAAT